GCAGCCTATTGTCGACATAGATATAAGAGGAGAGCAAATAAAAGTCATGAGAGTCTCCGGTAGGTGTTTTGAAGCAACGGGCGAGGGGTCAATGCTCAGGGAGGGAGATGATGGGAGAGACCGAGAGACCGAGACAAGACCGAGACTGAAACGACCAAGTCGCGACTTGCGTTGGACTTGCGCTTCACAGCCATCTGTCCCAATTAGGCATGCAGCAATTCCACTGTGGCAATCTTCGAGGCTCTCAAAGTATGTGGGCTCGTTCACGCTTCACGGGGCACCATTAGCGATATTAGGCGGCAAACGTATACCGGTATATTGCCCCATCATGGTACCCCCTAATAACTCGGAGTTCAAGTCGAGAACGTTACGAACGACGTGAGTCCGATGTTGCGGAGCACACTCAAAACTTATTCTTCACTCTCACTCTATAGACATATATCTTACAATTAAAGCCGACAATTATGTTGCAGAGGTATAGTATGTTGACTGTATGTATACAAAATAGAACATCAGAAGCGGGAGGCCGTGAACGACGTCGCTGAAGGGGACAGGCCTGTACAGGCCAAACCTCAGCCACACGTTCGACGCGTCGTCCCGATTAGGAATTTTAGCGGAAATTAGCGGGGGGTGGGTTTCCTGATGCAGCCGGCGGAGGTCCATGAGATGAATGCAGGAGACGGTTGTAGAGTGCGAGGATGGGCCGAGGGTTGAGTGTAGTTTCGGAGATGCCAAAGAGACATACGAGAAAGAGGCAACTTGCCAGATTCTGAAGTGCTAGGGAGGCGATGTCGGTTGTGAAAAGAGGTGGTGCCAAGGGGTAAGCTACATGCCAGCCGCCATACGCCACACAATCATCTCATTCTAGTCTGCGCAAATAGATGGTGATGAGAGTGAGGAGAGTGAGGTCAAGATCCCACCGGCGAACGCACACACGCCACGACGCCCGCAAGCTCCAGCTCGAGCATCGATAGCATGCCCGGGAGCAAAATGCATGGCCCCCTCATATACAAATCCGGTCCCAATCTACCATCCTTCACGAGCAAATCATTCGCCCCCTCATCCCGAACATCGAGATCCTGGCCCCAACCGTGTTCGTGTCGAAAATATATTCGGCAGCACCAATCGGCATGGGGCCTGTTGCGAGACGACGAGTAGTAGAGCTTTCCCCTCCACCCTTTCCGGTCTCGAACGGCTTACGACGTCCGCACACACGCCAAGGCTGTACATCTCGCTTGAGTTTTTTTTTTCCATACGAATCTGAGGAGCCAGATGTTTGTATCGATAATAGACTACAATCACGAGAGTCCTTTGTGGGAGGTGCGATGCCGATGTATGCAGAGAGTGTAGGGCCATTTCTTCCATTTCAAATGGCGATTTCAACTTCAAATTCCCATTCTGAAGCTCATTCCTGTACTCTCGCGCAGGCCACTCGAGCACGGGCTTTGAAGACGATGATTTCCCCCCGAACTGCAGGGTTTATACCAACGACTCCGAAACTAAAGAGAACCGCCCCAGCCCGCATATTCATGAATATGTAGCCTCGTACACGGTCTACACAACGAATCGTGGCCCTCGCCTGCTCGGTATCGTGCCCAGATCCATCGCGCCGAAAGACATAGCTGCTCTGAACTCGTCGTCCACATCATCGACTTGACGGTATTGTTTTCTCTTCGAACGGTGACTGAAGGAAAGGGCGGTGCTAGCATTGACTCCTGGTTTGGCGGGACGTGCATGGGACAGAATCTGATGCGTTCGCAAATTCGTCGTGAGCGATGGTGGCTGCAAGGAACCGAGAAGAAGCAAATCAGCGGGCAAGTCAGTTTCGTACTAGGACCACCCACGAGATGTGAAGAGGATAGGGTTACCTGCGCCTGGATCTTGAACATACACAGGTGCATTTTCTTTCTTCATATCAGAGCATTCCGTCTGGATCTTCCTCAAGGTCGCGTTGCTCATGCCCATACCTTTCAGGCACCCTTCGCCGCCCATCGTGTCAATCGATAGTGACCGTGGAAATATCTTCGCAGACGTTTATGGCCCATCAGCGACGGCTGTACGATCCTGACTCGTCGCCCTTCTCAAATCGAAATTCGACATCTTCACGTCGCGAAAGCCGCCCTCTGAGGAAATGAAGGTAAGGGGTATGACGCTGTGGATCATGGAAGGTAGAAAACCACTGAACTCGGATGGGCGGTCTTTAGGCCTCGGTTATGCGTGGGGTGAATATGCGAGCCGCAACCGACGCTCGATATCTGCCTTTTTCTCGAACCTCTTTAAGGCGATTTCCTCACCAGCCATTGTGTATTCGACCTCAGACTTCAATCGTGGCCGTGACTTGCACTCTTCAGGATGATTTCATTGTTGTGTGAGTTATTCTGCTTCAAATACGACATTCCTCCGTGGCAATGCTACTAGCTAACTCTTCTATTTACGTATACCTTCTACCTGTATGTAGCTCTCACTTTCCTCTTGTCCGCGGATTAACCGTACTCCGTGTGATGCAATACTTGGCTGGTTGGTACACTGAGATGACGATACGAGATACAAACTGTACAAGTCGCTGCTCAGCTCCTCTGACACCGCGAACACGTCTGGCACTTTAACTGGTACTACTTCTTCTTCGCAGCCTCTCTTACAGGGACTAGTGACTGCCTCGCTCCCGACCGCATCCAGATCTGCTACTAGCGCGCTGGTCTGCTCCAAGCCCCGTCCTTGTGTTGCATATTTTGTCGGTTCTCGGCTGCTTCCTCTCGTACCAGGAAACTGTGTGTCATCGGTATATGACATGGCCAAATAGCTGCCACTGGATACTTGACACAGCATGTAGCCCGCGCTCCTATCTTGGCTCCGATACTTTTTCATCCCGTCGAGAGGTCCTTCAAGGAGTACCAACTCCTATGTACGACGAAGCTGTGCTGCGTCGGCATTTACTAAGAGGACTACGGGAAGCACGGACGGAGACTCTTGTAGTACTGTACGCTTGTACCTCTTCGTGGGTCGTGGGCTCGCTCGCGAAATTCTTGTGGTCTGAGATAAAATATGCCTTGGAAAAGCGGCTGGTTATTACGGTCTGACTTTGTTCGGCTGTGGCGGCTCTGCACTATAGATGATTTTGCCTTTGCTTCGTGTATTCGTGCACTCTCGTCTCCACTCCAATCTCACCGTAACGGTCCATCACGAGTGCGAGGATGGTACGTTGTACCTGAGTCCACAGTCTTCGTTATCTTCGGTCCTAGTGCCATATTGTTTGACACGCAGCTCCGGGCTTTGAAATTCTGAGCTCTGTTCCATCGACGGTCTTTTCTGGGAGGGGTTTTCCGTCCAGCCCCAGTTCTAACCACGCTTCGCATTAGTCGCCTTGGTCGCCGTTTGACTTCCTTGGTATCCAAAGCCCTCGCAAAAAGTCAAAACACCTTCATTCGGATATCTAGATATCCCGCTCGTCCTTGTCCCGCAACATCTCGCATATTGCACATCCTTTGGGTGGAAGGACCCTTCTTCACACCGAAACGACAGGTCTCAAGCATACTGACCTTATGGTACATCAGCTGGAGCAGGTAACTTCTGTGTCACGCTCTGCGCACCCAGCAGCGGGTTTTCACTCATTCACGCCAAAATGATCAACTTCAATCTGATTGACTCTAGGGAGCGCGACGCCTTCTGAGTAAGGTATCGTTTACAAAAGATCTCCAATCCAAGCTGAAGCGAACTACGTTAACCCCAGCGACCAACCTAATCCGACCTTGTTCAAGCCAGTATACCACGACATATACACCGCCAACAATATAATCTAGGAATTTTAACACAGACATCACAGTGATCAAGACAATGGTCACGACTGGGACGAACGAGTATACAACAGCGCTCATGAAAAGTATGAGACAGATAGCGGACACAAGAAAGGTAAGGGCAGGGAGTCTAGCTGTCAGAGAAAAGAAAAGGTAGGATTGGCCAAAAGCATCCATGGCGTGGACCTAAGATACGATGGGTGTAAATTGATGTTACCATTATACCTTGCAGGATATCTGATTCGATAGCGGAGAAGGGATTATTACATACCCTGAACCTTCCTCCGTCAATACTGTCATATCGAAACACCAACCAGGCGTCGATGCATAGACCAAATATTGAGCAAATGCCTGAGATTGAAATTGCCACTCGTGCTACGTCGTTGGTAGTGAACAGGGTGTCGTCACGAGCAAACCCTAGGATGCTGACATCGATCCTGTGGATGGAAATGGAAAACAGGCGCGGTGAGTGTCACTTATATGCTAAGACTGTTACAGTATACAATACTTACGCAGCCAATGCTGCCAACTGGGCGCATGATCGGGCAGAATTAGTTCATGCAAAGCCCATAGTATTGCACGACTCACCATAGTTCCTGCCCTCTGCCATTCCTTGATCAATTGCTTCAAGACTCTTTCCAAGGCTTCGTCTGTTTGCCCCGAAGCTTGTCTTAATTGGCGATAGACCGTAAGGCTGTCAATGAGAGGGATGTGAAGGGAGTCGGAGATGATGACTTGACTAATAGGGAGGAGGGAGTAGCATATGTGCACGACATCGCTATACGACCTCAGTCGAGCAAGTTCGGCCTGGAGCTGAGATTGGTACTCTAGTTCTCGGACGAAGTTAAACCTCAACTCCTGAAGGCTCTCCTCTTGGCCTTGCAGCGCTGCTTTGAGCTCCCGAATCTCTCCTCGATGTTCCTCTATATCATCGATCATTTCGCGGGCAAAGATCAAATGAGCATCCGTCCATCGGCCCTGGTTGCAGTATGTCAATGCGAGATTCGACATGCTCGCCAATGTGTCGGGATTCTGCTCGCCGTGCAATCGCTTCCTTGTCTGTATCACCATCGTCTCCAATCCTTCCGCCTGCTTCCACTGGCCTATTCTTCTGTACGTTGATGCGAGGCTAGACATGCTGGTGAGAGTCTGGGGATGATCCTCGCCTAGCACCTCCTTGCTTGTATCCATCACCGTCACCTGCAGCACCTCTGCGTCCGTCCACCGACCCTGGTTCCAGTATGTTAACGCAAGGTTCGACATGCTCGTTAGCGTGTCGGGGTGTCGCTTGCCAATGACCCGCTCTCTTGTCCTAGATACGGTCACCTGCAGACCCTCTGCTTCTGTCCACCTGCCCTGGTGGCAGTATGTCGATGCGAGGTTCGCCATGCTCGTGAGCGTTGACGGATGCTCCTCTCCGTGCACTCGCTTTCTGGCCTTGATTACCGTTGTATCTAACTCCTCTGCCTTCGACAACCGGCCTTTCCTTCTGTATATCGATGCAAGATTCGAGATGCTTGTCAACGTTTCAGGATGCTCCTCACCGAGCACTCGTTTGCTCATCTCCATCACCGCTACTTCGAGCTCCTCTGCCGCTACCCATCGACCTTGGTCCCAGTATATTGATGCGAGGTCTGACATGCTTTGCAGTGTCTTGGGATGCTCCTCACCAGATATGCGTTTGTTCGTCTCCGTTACTGTTGTCTGCAGACCCTCAGCCTCCACCAACCGGCCCCGGTTGCGATATATCGATGCGAGGGTTGACATGCTCGACAGTGTGTCTGGGTGCTCCTCACCATGCCCCTGTTTCCTTATCTTCATCACTATCTCATACAGTCCCTCTGCTTTTCTCCACTGACCCAGCATACTATATGTTGATGCAAGGCTCGACATGCTTGCTGATGTGTCAGGATGTTCCTCACCGAGCGTCCGCTTTCTCGTCTCCACCACTATCATCTGCAGCTCTTCTGCCTCTGTCCATAGACCCTGGTTCCAGTACGCCAATGCGAGGGTCGACATGCTCGCTAGCGTGTCAGGATGCTCCTGGCCAAGTACACGCTGACTTGTATTCACCATCGTCAGCACCAGCTCCTTCGCCTCTATCCACCTGCCCTGGTTCACATATGCCGATGCGAGTTTTGATGTGCTCATCAACGTAGCGGGATGGTCTTCACCGAGTATGCGCTTGCTTGTATCCATCACTACCACCTGTAGTTTCTCCGCCTCTACCAGCCGTCCCTGACTGTAGTACGTCAATGCGAGGTTCGACATGCTTCCCAGTGTGTCCGGATGCTCTTTGCTAAGTATTCGTTTGCTTGTCTCCATCACCAATACCTCCAGCTCCTCTGCCTCTGTCCATCGGCACTGATTTCTATATGCTGATCCAAGGTTTGACATGCTCAACAGTGTGTCGGGGTGTTCCGCACCGAGAACCTGCTTCCTAGTCTCCATGACTGTCACCCCCAGCTCCTCCGCCTCTGCCCACCTGCCCTGGCTGCCATATGTCGATGCGAGGTCTGACGCACTCCTCAGTGAGCTGGGATGCTCCTTACCGAGCACATGCTTGCTGGTCTCCATCACTGCCAACTGCAACTTCTCTGCCTCTGTCCATCGACGCTGGCTGCAGTAGGTCGATGCAAGGTCCAACATGCTTGCCAATGTGGCGGGATGCTCCTCCCCGTGGTCTTCTTTCCTTATGTTCATCACTGTCTCATCCAGTCCCTCTGCCATTTTCCATCGTCCCTGCTTTCGATACGTTGCTGCAAGGTTTGACATGCTAGTCAGGGTGTCGGGATGTTCCTCACCAAGCACCTGCTTTCTTGTCTCCACCACCACCACCTCCAGCTCCTCCGCTTCGTTCCATCGGCCTTGCTTCCGGTATGTCGATGCAAGGTTCAACATGCTCATCAATGTTTCAGGATGATCCTCACCGAGCACTCGCTTGCTCGTCTTCATCACCATCATCTCCAGCTCCTCCGCTACCTTCCATCGGCCTTGATTTCCGTACGTCAAGGCGAGGCTGGACATGCTCATCAGTGTGCCGGGATGCTCCTGACCAAGGACACACTTGCTCATCTCCATCACCGTAGTCTGCAGCCCCTCTGCCTCCGTCCATCGGCCTTGGCCGCAGTATGTTGATGCGAGGTTAAACATGCTTGCTAGTGTGTCGGGATGCTTCTCACCAAGGACGCGTACCCTTGTCTCAATGACCATGACTTCTAGTGCCTCTGCCTCCATCCACAGGCCCTGTTTATTGTATGTTGATGCAAGAGTCGAGATGCTCATCAATGTGCTCGGGTGCTCCTCACCTAGCACTCGCTTGCTTGTCTTGGTCACGTTCACATACAGTTCCTCTGCCTCTGCCCATCGCCCTTGCCTCCCATATGTTGCCGCAAGATTCGACACACTTGTTAGTGTGTCGGGATGCTCCTCACCGATAATATGCTCCCTTGTCTCCATGACTGTTACCTGCAGCTCCTCTGCCTCCGTCCATCGGCCCTGCTTACTATATGTTGATGCAAGGTTGCCCATGCTCGTCAGAGTATCAGGATGCTCCTTGCCAAGCACCTGCTTCAAGCCTTCCATCACCATCACCTCGAGTTTTTCCGCCTCCGTCCACCTACCCTGATTCCTGTATGTTGATGCGAGGTGTCCCATGCTCTTCAGTGTGTCAAGATGCTCCTCACCGAGGATCCGCTTTGAGGTCTCCACCACCATCACCTGCAGCTTCTCCGCCTCTCTCCACCTGCCCTGGTGTCTGTACGTTGACGCAAGGTTCCCCACGGTCTTCAATGTAGAGGGATTCTCCTTCCCAAGAACCTTCTCGAGTTCCTCCATAGCCCATATTCCTACTGTCTCTGCGTGACCCCACCATCCGTGATACATATATATTGAGTGAAAAAAGGAAGTAATGTTGGGATCAATATTGCTGTCGAAATTAGCCTGCAACTCTTGCATGTGTGGAAGAAGTGCCCGCGTGTAAGCAAGAGCATCCGGTGCATTCCAGTCGGCCCCAAACCGAGAACAAGACAGGCGGAGGATAAGTGCCGCATGTATAGGACAGGTCTCAGTGGTTTGAGCACGATATCGACTCCAATCGTGAACGAGAGGATGGAATGACAGGTTGCCTTCAAGGGTGATCTCCATAAGGGAGTACAAGATAAGGGTAGTGACGATGCGATGAAAGGCTTTTGAGGTAGCTGCAGTGGGATCGACGAATGGGCGTAAGAAACCTTGAACCCAGGATACCACAGATTCGGAGAGAGTTGTGACTCTAGGCTTGAAGCGTGGAGCTTCGGCTGCTGCATCGATGAACATGACTTGAGGGATATTCTTATGATGTAGGAAAGAGCAGATGAAGAGGAAAGTGGCTGCTTCGGGGTCGGTACGCTGGAGCTGTTCGAGGCTGATATTCCAAGTGGTGTATACGGTCTTTTCGTAATCTTCGGGCTTGTGGATGAATTCCTTGTACTCCTCCAATATTTCACGGCGATTGGAGATGAGCATGTCCAAGTATTGCTCGAGCGTACATGTCTCGTTGACTTGAAGATAAGCGGCGGCCTGAATAATCCCAAGAGCGAGGAAATCAAGCTCCTGTTTTTCACTGTAAGACACGCTATGGAATGCATCAGGTATGCCAATATCTTTACCTCCACGATTTGCGTGATGAGGCTATCTGTCGTGGCTTCGTGATCCGAAATTCGTGAGCGCCGCACAAATAAAGCCTTCGCATCGTCCTTCGGCATTCGCGACACCTCTAACGACTTCTCATAGGAATCAAGCTGTCTATTGCGGGTAGTGATGATGATATTTCCGTGAGAGCATGAAGGAAGGAACGGCTGTAGATTTAGATCCGTGTCGTCGGCATTGTCCAGGACAAGAAGCCAACGATCCCGAGTACGAACAAGCCAGCTGATGGTGTCCTTCGCTTTTTTTCCGAGCCTTTTGTCCATGGATATGTTTGCAAGATCGACATCAAGAGTCGCTTCGGAGCTGGCGTCGACATACAGGACTTCTGAGAATCTGAAAGAATAATCGAAAGAGGAACTTAAAACTTTTGCAAAAGCATGAAGAGACCAAACGGGAATACCTGGGAAGATGCTCCTCCGTCTGCACTTGTGAGTCCGCCACGAACCGTCTCATGATCTCGCTCTTCCCGCTGCCGCCCAGGCCATGCAGTACAAACATAAGCTGTTCGTTCGTCGAGTCGGAGGAGAAATGTTCGTCCATGATAGATAGGATATCTGCTCTCCCGGTAAATGCCCGCGACGGCGCTGGGCAATGTTTCCGCTCAACCGATTTGCGCTGTTTCTCTGCGGCAGAAACAGTTCCGACTAATAGCATGATTGGTGGTTAGTATTTTGTTCTGTATTAACACAATCCATCGAACATCTCACTTGCTTCAGAGACACTTAAGGCTGCTGTCTGTTCCACCAGAACCTTCACAGATCCCTCTAACTTCTCCCTCACGTCTTCACTTTCCATGTATTTCTCCGCGTGTGACATCACATCATCCAACTTGTTCCACTCATCCAAACGAACATCCTGTATCCCTTCGTCGACGTTGAACCGAAAGTATACATTCGGACGTGACTTGAAGCGGAATTGTAGGTCCTGGTGCGTGTTTTCGGTGTCTGTACCAATCTTGGTCAATGCTTTCGCAACTTTGAGCGGAATTATGTTTCCGATGACACTCTGCTTTTCGAGGCTGATAATCGGAAGCTTTCCAGTCCCGATACTGACAATGCAAGCGATGCTTCTGTGAGGAAAGATAAGCCCTGCTTCCTTGAGAACGACGAGGCTTGGATTGTTCTGGGACAGACCGCCATCAATGTATTCCCTCTTGATGCCCTGGACCTGGATGACAGCACGTTTGAAGAACGTCGGAGCTGCTGTGGTAGCACGGGCGGCTTCTACGATGGTGCAGGGAATGGGCAACTGGCCAGAGGCTTCGTAGGAGCGCAGGAGTGAGGGTATGCGTCCACTCATGTTTTTCGCTGGGACTGCGCATACGAACCTAGGGATCACATCGTGAGCAACACACCAACATGAAGTTCAACTTAGAAGGCGTACGTGCGACAGAGTTTATCTCCTGTACGTGGATCCAAGATTTCAGGATCAGTATCTCCGGGGCAGCGTTCGACGATCTCCCTCATCGCGGCCTCCAACCTAGTTGCACTGTACTGTCCATCTCCAAAATATTTCTTCTGCGAGAATATGCCCTCAGAAAGCTTTGCATACGCTTCGATAGCGTCTTCTATGGACATGCGAAGGCGGCCAAGCATTAGGGCAATGAGGCTATGAGTTAAGCACGGATGGCATACCCATTAGCCGCCCGAATGAGGGTCGCACTGACAGCACGATGAAGACTCACCCTCCAGTACCCGTACCACCGATGAGATCAAAGTATTCACACGGAAGAGGCACTTCGGGTAGGCTCAGCCTATCTTGAATGGAAAGCATGATACTCTGCAGGACGAATAGCGTAGACAGGCCGCGTATACCCCCGCTATCTGTCCTCGCGAGAAGTTAGTGTCGCCGTGCCGGTGAAGGAGAGCTATACTGAAACGCACCAAGTGATAGTAGTCTCAGACCTTTCTCCTTTGGCATATCCATGGCTTGCGATGGCTTGTCAGTAAAGCAGAGTGTAACAGAGTAGGACCTTCTACTATGGCCTCAGAGAATGTGGGTGAAGGACAAGGTCCTCGAGGCGCTCCCTACCATGCGGTCTATGTGGCACAGCCTGACAGACGCTTACTTGTCTAAACTTAGAAAGGGCCTAGTATTATATCCTCTATAGAGGCAAACGCAGGAGGATCGACTGCAAACTGAAAGATGTAGCCTCAAGCCTCAATGGCATATTGAAGGGAGACGACGGAAGAACAACGGCAAAGGAAATACAGCACGTTGTCTTGACCGACAAAGGTTTTTACACAGATTGTGCGGCGAGAGACCGTTGCGCTGACTGTTCGAGGTTTATAAGTTGTAAACCTATGTAGTCGTGGCCGTCTTGGTGTGGAATGAAAATAGGGAATGCTAGCTTCTGAACCCTTTGATTGGTTAACGCGAATCAGTAGGCATGATAACGCGTACACACCTGTCCCACTCCAGGCGTTGGCCGCCACGTTTGCATCAGTCTAGCATTTCATAATTGCTATCCAAAACAGTCAGCCTGTTCTCTGTGTGGCCACTCTCAGACGAGCACACGACACAAACAAAATGATCGCATGATGAAGGAGAGACGAGCGATTACCGCATCTATAATATTCAGACCACGAAGCAAACACCCATACGGACACAATGGAATCTCATCCGATATGTACCTCTCACCATATCAAACCAGCTGCCATCGACCTAACTCTTACTACCACGTCAGGCCACTCCCAACTTACTCTGGATCAAGGCCTCGCTCTCACTCAGTCCAAATTTGCTCCCTCAAGCTCATCGTCATCTATCGTCGACTGATCGACGCTCAACACCCCTGCACTAAGCCCAGCACCAGCCTCCGTCTGTCCATGCAAGAAATCGTCCAGCCTCAACGGTCGTAGTTCAAAGCCCTGCATGCACAGAGATTCCGAATCGCCCATACGAGCAACGAGGAACCAGTCAGTTAAAAAAAAGAAACCGTCTTCAAAGGATCAGGGTGAGAGTGGCATGACAAGAAACGCACCTCCTCCTGCGCCTTTCTCATGATCTCTGGATCACCACCTGAATTTCTCACGTACTCCCTCACAGGCATCATCGCCGCATTCCGACACAGTTCTTTGAGATCTGAGCCTGATTGGCCGTCTGCGTATTCGGCAAGTTTGCGGAGGGAAAGGCTGGGTGAGAGGGAGACGTCTTGGAGCATCTGGTGTCGAAGATTGCGCAGAGATCAGGGGAAGATAAGTCAGTGGCGATTGTGGAGGAGGGGAGAGGAGTATTGTAAGGTAAACGCACGAGAGAAAGGATCTTTTCTCTTTGCCTAACGTCTGGACTCGAGAGCGCGAATCGCTTAGGCATTCGACGGATGAACGCTGGGTCGATATCTATTATTCGGTTCGTAGCACCCAGAATCAATATCCGGTCCGTTTCTGAGAGCAGGCCGTCCCAGAGTCTGGTATTTGCAAAGTATACCAGTCAGAAAAATATATAGTAAGCAATAGTAATGAGAGGAGGGGAGAATGAGCGCACGTCATGAATTCCGCCTTCATCATCGCCGTGACTTCATGATCACCCTTACTCCTCTCCCTCAAAAAACTATCAATCTCATCAATAAAAATAATACATGGCTGCGTCTTCCTCGCCAAACTGAACAAACCCGCCACGAGCTTATTCGACTCGCCGAACCACTTGTTCGTCAGCACGGAGGCAGCGATGTTGATGAATGTCGCGCCGGACTCTTTGGCGAGGGCTTTGGCGAGCATGGTTTTTCCGCAGCCGGGAGGACCGTACAGGAGGACGCCTTTGGGGGCGGTGAGGAGGGTGGAGGAGGAGGTGAAGAGGGCGGGGTAGAGGAGGGGAAAGATGACGGATTCGCGGAGGGAGGAAATTATGTCGTCCAGACCACCGATGTCTATAGCAATGAAGAAAGGGCTGCGTAAGTTACACAGTTGAATGAGTGATAAACGGAACTGAGTTGATGAATCGCACCGGAGAAACGGACGTTGATATCGTCTGGGTGAATGACCTCAGAGGCGATGGTCTCTGGAGCGCCACACAAGTCAGTATTATGACTGTTGGAAATCTATAACATGATACAGAATTATGGAAAACGCACTCTCATATTCATCTAGTTTCAAGTCTTTGTGGCCGAGCTTCTTCAATGCCTCCAGTGGCTTCGCTTTCACTTCCTTCTTACGCTCCGGTGAGCCGTAAGAATCGAGCATCCACTACTCGTTTCCCAAGGCAGTCAATACGAGATAGACATCACGGAATAAGTAAAAAGTACATGAGTGGGCGACCTACATGGACTGTATACCACATGGCTGCCTTACAGTTCATTCATTCAGCGACAAGAAGGTGGAGAGAAGGGGGTTGGATGCGCACTTGAGAAGCGACGAAGATAGCGACTAAAAAGCAACATAACACAAAAAGGTAAGGTGTATATCTCTTCATAGCAGCAGTTTGGAGCTTACCATCTAGAATTATCTTCTTCGTGGAAGGAGATACTGCCATAGCGTACTCCCAGTTCGAAACCTTCCCTGTAGGCCGGTGCTTAGGATATACGAAGGAAGAGAGGGCTCCAAATATTACGATGTCGAGACCTTCAGATAACGGATTGAACCAGAGACGAATATAACTGTCTTTCGTAGCCACCCAGAGTATTCTAGCAAGCAAGCAGGGGAAGCCGTAGCGCGGCCGACGTGGTCGAATATCAAAGTGCGCCGAGCGCGTCACGGAAGTGGCGCCGTACAGTGGGACCCTAACCCCGTTTCCTGGTCAATCTTATCTTATCTCTCGCCACACGTCACCCACACAAATCGCCCGAAACCCTCTGCTTTATTACATACAGCCACTCACTCTGGTGCGCCCGACATACCACAAGTCAACAAAATCATCAGAATTCCCAGCATAAAATAAGGGAAGGGATCGATTATACATGGTTTTCCGCTCGTCCTTCAAATTCAAGCCGTTTACTTCCGCCTTTAACCGCTGGCGAACCTCTGCACATCCTCTCCTCCTCTGGTCCCAACGCGTACTCTTCTGGCTTCCCATAGGCGTCGCGTTTACGAAATATGGCTACACACTGAAATCTATCTCAGGTCGGAGTATGCAGGTCCGCTTACACCTTGTATATCAAGTCTTTGTGATGTTCGTGTTGCTCATGCAGAGTCTCCGCTAGGTAGCCAACGTTGAATCCGGATGTATCGCTAGGTGACGACGTAGTCGTGTTCGAGAGGTACTCGGGCAATAGTTTGAATACGCTCAAGAGAGGTGATATTGTTGCTGTGAAGTATGTTTTTGCTTAACAATCCACATTCTCTGGACCTCCGCTGACGAACGTCTCCTCTTCCAAAGATCACCACACGAACTGGGTAGACTGCTCGTCAAACGAATTGTCGGACTACCCGGAGACACCGTACGTTTACACAACGCCAAAATATCTATCATTCACGTTTGAACAAAATACTGACCGCCGATGGGAACGTACAGGTCCGAACTTTACCTCCGTACCCAGATAAAGAAGTCCACCTCACGAAAGGTCAAATCTGGATCGAAGGCGACGAATCCTTCCACTCACAAGACTCGAACCACTTCGGACCCGTAAGTCTACTCATTGCCTCCCTTCTCCAGCTCCATCTCCTGTCGATCTGAACCTTACTCTGCTTATAGATCTCGCTCTCCCTCGTCGACTCAAAACTCACATTCATAATCTACCCTTTCGAACGATTCGGCCCCATCATCCCACCAGCCGCTAAAATCGCCGCGACTTCCTCGAAGGGAAGACCTTCACAGCGCGATTTGGACGCATATGTGAGGGAGAAGAGGAGGATGGAGAGAGTTACTATTGGCGGTGAAGGCGTTGAGAACAGGAATGATGGAAAGAAAGAGGGCGAACTGGATGGATTAGGTGGTAAGGACACGTTGAAGGGGTTTGAGGAGGGCTTAGAGGCGGTGAAGAGATCGTCTTCCTGAGCTGTATCCCCCTCCCAAATATATTTATATTCACCACTCTGAGCAGCCCCTGAGTCTTCAAGCTCTCTCTCGGCGCGGAAGCGCGGGCTTCACACAGGGTAAGAGTATGTATGTTGTGATCCACGTATACAGTTGCGCGTATGTCGATATCGAGCGATAAAGAAAGAACAGCCAGATAGAATGAACGCCGACAGGAAACGTAGTAAAAAATGTGGAGAAATGATTACAGTCTATATCTGCGTCTGCATCGTCTATTGTTTTACTTCTCCTCGTACCCACAGTACGACTCGCCTCCTCGAGATATCCGTCCCAACTCACCCGCCAACAATGGAGCTAAGAGAAATCATAACTCGTCTACTCCTCGCCCAACTCCTCCTCCTCCGCGATCAACTGCTCAACCTCCAACGCCGCCATACACCCACTCCCCGCACTCGTGATCGCCTGCCTGTACCTCTTATCCTGCACGTCTCCCGCCGCGAACACGCCCTTGACGGACGTCTGAGTCGTACCGGGGACGGTGATAATGTACCCATCTGCGTCCGTTTGGAGTTGGTCCCGGACGAGGGAGGTGGCGGGTTCGTGGCCTGTTCCAGGGGAATGGAGATGTCAGAAGGTTTCGATTGACATTGAGAAAAAGAGATAGGGGATAGGGGTTGAGTGTACAGGGGTGAGAGGGAGAAGGAGAAGGAGGAAGGGATATTTTTATGTTTTCGAACTGGAAAGGGAGAAAGTGGACGCACCGATAGCGTAGAAGAGACCGTTGACGGCAAGGTCGGATTCGGCGCCTGAGTGGGTGTTCTTAATGCGGAGGTTGTTGAGCAAGTCGCCGTCACCCTGACACTCAACAGCGACGGTGTTCCAGAGAATGGTCTGTAAATTCAAAGGTATCAGTGAGCATCCAGTGTACAGCAAAATCAGAGAAGGAAGGGTAAAGGGAGCTATAACTTACGATCTTCGGGTTGTTCATCACCCTCTTCGCCATAATCTTCGACGCCCTCAACTCGTTCCTCCTCACCAACAAATACACATGGCTCCCATACTTCGTCAAATACGTCGCCTCCTCCGCCGCCGAATCTCCACCCCCAATAACCGCCAACGGCTTATTCCTAAAAATCGGCACGGCCCCATCGCAAACCGCACACGCACTGATCCCGCTCTGCCAATACGTATCCTCCCCCCTCAACCCCAACCTCTTCGCGCTCGCGCCCGTCGCAATAATAATCGTATCCGCCGTCTCCGGCTCGTCGCCCTCGTTATACTCCCTCCAGTACTTGAATGGCCGTTTCGAGAGATCGATCTTCGACACCGTCTCCGTGATAATGTTGGTCCCGAAGCGGAGCGACTGCGCGCGGAACTTGTCCATGAGTTCGGAGCCGAGGACACCGGTGGGAAAACCGGGGAAGTTTTCGACGTCGGTGGTGGTGGTCAGTTGGCCGCCTGCGGCGAACCCGTTGGCCATGAAGCCTTCGTACATGACGGGGGCGAGGTTGGCGCGCGCGAGGTAGATGGCGGCGGTGTGGCCTGCGGGGCCGGAGCCGATGATGACCTGAGGAGGAGGATGGAAGGTTAGGTTGGCGTATGAATGCAGAGAACGAAAGAGAAGAGAAGGAGGGTATGCCAAGCGAGGTGTGGCGTAACGGGCCACAATGAAATGCCACGGAAGTTTTTCCTCCGAAGACCTGCCCATCGCAAAGCCCGCTGTAAGAACCAATGCTCCCCAAAGCAGCAGCACCCAATCACTGTGAGAGTGTTTACCACAGGCATTCAAGACCGAAGACATGGATAGTCATACATCGCTGGCGACAACAACTACTGACGCCCATGGCCATGACCGGAACGGTACTCATCGCTCACACGTCGCCAAACCACCTGTTCCTTCCGTGCCTTTACAGCCAACGTATACAGAAGGAATACAACGTCCAGAAGTTCTTCTCTAAAGCCTCTCAAAGAGCTCATCGGACGATGTCGTGCTGCACTCGGGAGGGTACGCGACAAAGGCAGTCCGTGTCCCGTCGGAAATGAGCTGTAGGACCGATGTGGTAATGTAGATCGAAGAAAGAAAACATGGAGGGACCTTGAAGGGGCGACAGGACGTGGAAGATATAATGCCAATCGTGTACATCTCAGCGACGATCTCTTGCCGCACTCCTCGGTCTCCGACACCACTAGACCGCACAAAACAAACCGGCGGGTCCTAGGTCGAAAAAAAGATAACGCAAAAACTCACAACTTTCGAGTGCAGCTTTGAGCTTTGACCGTTGGCTGGGGTGGGTGTCTTCTGCTCCTCAGCGTGCAAGTGTGCAACACCGGGCGTGTGGGTAATGGTAGACATCTTCTGGTTCGGAGTTGGCGAGGTAAAGGACGAGTAGGTGTGCAGCGAAGCAGCTATGGGGATGGTGGCCCTAGAGAGATGTACAAGTCCGCGAGAAAGAAAGCTGGCGAACAGGGTGGACCGGGTGGCAAGCAGATTGAAGGTGGAGGGAGAGAGCAAGGGGCGAGATGGGGATAAGAGATGGTCTTATAGAAGACGGCGACGGTGGATGAACGTCCTCAATCAATAATCTCTCACCATTTCTTGATAATTCTCGTCCCGTGATCTCACGTGCGAAAAACGGTGATTGGATGACAACGTTACAGCCCGGATATGGTTTCTTGTATGTTTTTCTGTGTGTGGACCAATCAGGAGGCTTGATGAAGTCGGCGATGGTCGGCGATTCTGGGAGCTTCGCACGAAATGAGCTCTGCGTTGAAAATTAAATGTGAAGTGGTCCTCACCAGCGGAGAGGATCGAGAGCCAACACAAGAGCAAAATATGGAACGCCATGTGTGGCGTAGGCGCCGGAGAACGCGCCGCATTTAGTTCTCTTTCCTTTCACCCGCACTGGACCAATCAGAACACACACCGGTTCGTCCCAAAGACCGCCACATTTCCTTACATGTCTATCTATATATCGGTAGCCCCCCGTCCTGAACGCTAGCGCCGATGAACTTGCTGATATAAATCACGGACGGACAACAACGCAGTCACGCACGGCGGTCTGTAAGCCACTCGAGTTCATCACGCCGCATGTAAGAATGAGAGCGTCCGCAGAGGTCCGCAGCTCCTCTAGATATTAAAGACCACAACCTTCGTCCGTCGAGACCGGCCGAGTACGTCCGTAAGTGAGAAGCATCTCCAAGTTGAAGTTCGTAAGTATGTTCTGAACCTTAAATATATGTTCAATTCTCTCCTTCGGCTCTTTGTATCTCTGGACATCGCACAATGGTACACAAAGTGCCAATCCAGCTCAACTTTTCGACATTAACACCTCTCCATCTTCCCGCCCCGCCCTCAAGCACTCCAATCACAAGCCTCCGGCCTCAACGCACACCACTCCGGCTGCAACGCAATCGCCCCGATCCCCCTCTGCACCATCCTAAACCTCAAATCATGCAGCCTCGGCAGCGCATTGCTCACGTTCCTGCCATCTGCGGACGTGCCACTAATTTCGGTAGTGGTCGTGTTGACGGGCCCGGACCAGAAGATCTCGGCGCCGGCGGCGGAGCGCGGCCAGACGATGGAGTCGAGGTTCGTGGGGGAGGATTGTTCGGCCCAGATGAGATGTTCGCCTGTTTGATTGTTTGTTCAGGCCAGGGAAGAGGCAGAGGTCGTAAAAATATGTGGAGACTTACCGCCGAGTACGAGTGCAGCCTCTTCTGTTGTAAGATTCGCAGTCGGGTCGAACGAGTAGGACTATGTGCACGAATCGAGCACACACACGATCAACGTCAGCATTGCTCCTCTGTCGATCGAGGCCAATAAATAGAGATGTAAAAACGAACGGACGAACCTTCTGCCACGTCTTGAACGGATCACACCAGCTATTTCCCGTCGGTTTGTCGCCTATCCATTCTCCTGCGCCACAATCCTACTTTATGGTTATTTTCTTTCCGATGTGTGATAGGTAGGGAGACGAGGGCAAACGTACGAGGTAGAAGTAGTCTGATGCTGCGTGGACGAAGTTATAGCCTTTCGCTGCAACGGCAGCCGCATTGGCGGAGGAGATCCAGACCCTATTGTACGAATCGTGCGTTATAGAAACTAACGAGGGAAAAAAGCGAGGAAAGGAGGGGATAGAGAGAGTATTGGGGCTTACATGATGACGGTATCGTTGGGCAGGGGGACGTTATAGTTCAATACCATCTCTGTAAACACCAGTCAACCAAACCTCAATAGGCGCCGCGCTCAACTCAGTCCAAAATCCGACCTACCTTCCCAAACAACCGGCGTCTTCCCCCCAACCACCTTCCCATTCACCTCCTCACTCCCACTCCCATTCCTCAGCACCTCATGCGTATCCAACACAAACTCACTCAACGCCTCCGCAATACTCTTCCCCGTCTCATTCAACCAAACCTGCGTCTCCTCGTCTGCCGCATAACAGTTCATATTGACTTCGTCGCCGCCTGTGGACATGAGCGTAGATGGGAACATGGAAGAGACGGAGAGGAGGAGGGAGGATGTGAAGGAGGTTGTGTCTGGGGAGGTGAGGCGGAGTTGGCCTGCGGGGGGTTCTACGTTTAGGTGGTGAGTTCAGTTAGTTGGCACGTACATAGAAGGAAGGGTGGCAAGAGAGGGCAAGAGCATGTCACTGAAAGGGGGCGCTCACCGTTAGCGTAGGAGCCCCAAGGCGTGGCCTGTGGGCACGCTACGTGCTCAGGGTGAGATTCCGAGATGATGGCGGTATGACCTTTTACAGAGGATCGGCAGACAGGTCAAGTGGGCGTCAAGATGGGCGCTTAGACTGCAGGAGCACTCCTAGGTTCGAGATATCCGGGATGAAAGCCTCACCTGGAGTGTCGATTTCCTGGACGGCGGATTAGCTCAATGAGGTGAGTAGACAGTAAGACTCCGACGTACCACCAAAACATCGATACCACGCTACAAGTCGGAGAGCAACGCCAAACGGATCCGCAAAGTCAGTACTAGGAAGACTCTCCAGGAGTGCGGCGAAACCCACCGCTCCGGCGTAAGAAACAATGTTCGCTACGTCATCCGCAGTGTACACCGATGAACTTGAATAGGCGCCTTTCTGAGATATTTCTTCGAAACCGGGGACCACGAGGGGGAAGCTCTGGCTGTCGGTGACATGCCAGTGGAAGGTGTTGAGCTGTCGGAACACATGAAGTTGAGCAGTGGATTTAGATAAAGTATGAAGTAGGTGCGAGAGACGAACTTTGACCATGCTCATAGCATCCAAAGTTCTCAGGATGTCGTCGACCGCGAAGCTGTGCCACACGCCACATACATCAGCAAACCTAGCCGTTTTGATGGTAGACGAACATGGACTCACTAATTCCTTGAAGTATCCAGCATGAACCCCCTGAACGGCTATTCATCACCAATCAGGTCCACTACTTCTGGCCATACCTCTCCAGACCCCCAAAATGGTATAAAAGCAGGTAGAGTTGACAACTCACATAAACCGGCGCATCCTCAATCGTCACCGGAACGCCCAGCGCATAAACCTCCCCATCGTCCATCGTATACCACATCTGCTCAAACGTCGTCAAGCCCCTGAACAACCCCAACGTCGTATTCGCACTCAAAACCGCATCTGTTCCGTCCGCAGGAATACTCAAACTATATCCCTCGTCCCTATCTCCCAAATTCTTCTGTGCCTCCTGCGCGATACTTAGAATCGTACCATTCGCGTCATCGCTATCCGTGGTTGTGAGACTGAGGGTGAGGGAGGAGAGGGTCGGTGCGGTGGATGTGATGTTGAAATCGGCGGAACCACGGCCTACGACGAGTCGTTCGAGTTTATCGGTGTAGAGATGGGTCGAAGTGCGTGAAAGGGCATCGCTAAGATCCGACGGTGCGGAGGCGCTGAGTGAGGAATCGAGGGTGAACGTGAAGTTCGGAGAGAGAATAAGAGCGGATGAACCGGTTTGGATACTAGTAGGTTGAGGCCATAGCGCTAGAGACGGGGATACTAGTGTGAGGATGATAGCAGTAGCTTGAATTGTGCGACGCATGGTGGACGTTCCGGTCAGAGAGAGCGGGAAGCGTCGACGATTCTGGTACCTGCAAGGGGAGCTACTTATAAGACGGCTGGAGAGAAGTCTGTTCGAATTCCGGACTTCCGAGATGAACGTGGAAGGAGCCTTCCCATAAATTCACATAAGGCGACAGACGCATATGGGCGATAGCGAACGACCATTGCATTTCACGAAGATTACGGCGCTGCCAGCTGGACAAACCAGAAACGAGGCGACACCGCGTGCTCGAGTGGTCAGATACAGGGAGGTCGGGCGAGCAGAGATGAGATAAAGGATGGATATAGAACACGCCAGGTGATACAAACACAATGACCACCAAAGGGTCAGTTGTACGTCCTCATGATACTGGCCCACATAGGCTGTTTATTTTGGTGTCGAATTTTTGGGAATAGCGAGCTGTTCAAGAGGGAAAAAACGACACCGTATATCTGCTGGCAAATTGGCGTTGACTTGCATGATGCCGACGGCGCTAGTTTGTCATAACACGTGGGAGCCACGCAGAGCCACACAAGGGATTTGGCTTCCGGATCCACTGCCGCGAGAATTTCCTCTCGTCGACCACTGCTCCGTTTCTGGTCTACCGTTTCTCCTTCTACGACTTCGTCCGATAAACATGTTTTTTGTGCCTTCATAAGGATTGTGGCAACTGAGCAGCTTCTGCCTACTTGAGGGAAGCCACTCCCTTTTCTATTATCGTCTCTGAAGTGCAACTTTCCAGGCAAGTATACGTTTCGTACCGTGTAAGTCCTGCACCACGTCCTCGAGCAAAAGCGCGGTCATCGATGGAACAGTCTCCCGACATGGTCTGGGATCTACGAAACTAATGATCGGAGGCGCTTCTATGCAGCACTCCAGTGAACGCTACTACAAAGATGCAGACTCTCGGGCCACCCGACATCATCGACAAAATGCACAGCCTGAACGAATGGGTCAAGTGGCACACCATCACCACCAACCTCCACCAAGCTGCCTACGGCGCTATCTGCCACTCCCAACCAACCGACAGCGTCGACGGCTTCGACTTCTCAGCACACTTTCACCTCTCTCTGTGAACCGACTCAGAAGATGCAGAACTTCGCCCTTCGAAAGAAGTCTGGGATCCTAGGACGGGCAGCGCAGAGCTGAAAGAGGGTGTTCGCCAGTCGCTGGCGGACTTCGAAGCGAAATACCTGTCTGACAGAGATATATAACGGCGTATCGTGGGGACTCTCGCTGTCGACTACTTCATACCGGAGATTCCAATGCACATCCTCAGCATGTACAACCTCCACGACGATCGGGAGTTTGTACAGATGATGCGGACGACGGGCCTCGATCGTATTAAGGTCATACCACTTCGAGGGACGAGATATGGTTTCCGAACCTGAAAGAGCGCGTAGAGTTGGGACATATGTTCGGACTGGAGAAGGATTTTCGTAAGAAGATATCCGGTGAGTTGGGGGAGCTGAGAACGACAACGACGGGTTCGAAGACGAAATGGACTTGGGTGACGCTGACAGGAGAGGAGACGAAGAAGAGGGGATATCGGCGAGGTACTTGTGGGATGTCGTATTGAGGGTGAGTTTTGAAGATGCTCATTGTTTGTCCGCTCATTTCCGACTCGAGTGTCTACCAAGCTCATTTTCATTCGACATGTTTCCACTAGTGCTCCTTTTCTCTAATGTCAGGACATTGTCATCGCACCGTTAATTCATTTTACAGGGAATCTTGCCACTTTGCTTCGATTCATAGCTTTACAACCAACATCCAAGCCCTTGACGATGGGCCACAATGTGCAGCAAATACTGTCGAGTGGCACTTTGTTTTTCTGTGGCATAAGAAGCTTCGGCGTGGGACCAGAAGCACACCCATCGACAAGGGGCGCCAAACGGACGTTGAACGGACGTCGCTCGGACCATCACCGTCGGTCGATTTTGCATTGAGACGCTCTCCTCCTTATATTGCTGGTTAATCCTCCACCATACGTGCTTGTAATCTTCGTGGAGAAATCGTAAGTCTCCATGGGTGATCTGAGTTTGAACTTGGAATGTTGTGGTTCTGTAAGCCGCCGACAGCTACCTATGTCGCGATCCTGTATCGATCTTCGCCGACATGTTTTGTCGGCGCCTCAACTGCAATATACATGAACATGACTGCCTTCGACGGGCTTTAGAATGCCCCGATATTTCGTGTCGAAGCCTTCTTAGCTGACACAACTTCTAAATAATCTTAGGTTCATTCTTACCCGCCATCATCATGGATTCCGCTAGCACTAGCTCGACAGAATCAGCGCCCGAATTAGTCGACGTTGTTCCTCGAAGCACCGAAGCGGCCAACTCGAACGACACCACAGCAGTCCCCGAAAAAGCGCCTCCGAAAACAGTGACCAACAGGTACAACTGTGCCAAGTGTTACGCCTACCCAACGCCCGGGGCGCCTAAATACAAGGCTTGCTCTAAATGCAAACACATCGCGTATTGCAGCACGGAGTGTCAAACGGCGGACTGACCAGCGCACAAGTGCGTTTTTATATTTCTGTGACACATGGACCCACTGCTAATCGAAGGTGGATGGTGGGTGCAGAGCTCTGTGTCAGTCCATGGTCAAACGATCCCAGAGCCTTCAAGGCAACGATCCTGAAGCCATCTGCAAACTATGCGACTGGATCGAAGTCCATACTCTATCGCTTCATCAGGCTACTCACGCCGCCATCTGTGACCATCAGCCCAGCGACACGACGGAAGGATTCGACTGCAAGGCGTTCTACATGCTCTTCCAGCTCACTGATCGACCTGACGCTGACGGTGACCCGAGCAAGCTCTATCGTCTAGAGGGAGCGGGTCTGAGACCTATCGCAGAGCTCTGCGCAGACTCGGAGACGACTCCGCAAGGAGTAGTAGAGAATCAGAGTGGTGAAGGAGGAGATGCTGACCCTGACCCTTCCGGCAATGCCGCGATCCGACGCAACTTCATCGACTCCTTGGACATTTACGATGCCAAGGAGCGAGCGACTTTGCCGCCACACAAGATCCCATGTTACGTCGGCACTATCGCCTGCTGCTACCAGATCCTCACGCAACGCAACATGTCCGTCATGGCGTGCTACCACCTCACGGATGACAAGGACTTCTTCGAAGCTGTGGAGCGTGGGGTCATCCCCGGCATGGCGAACATCCCTCCTGCGAGGCATGACTTATGGTTCGCGAGGTTGCAGGATAGGCTCGAGTTGGGGCATTGTTTTGGGCCGGAGTTGAGTGTTCCGATGAAGCTTATGCAGGAGTTGGGTAAGATGGTGAGGAGGCGGCCGGGAGGGAAGTGGACTTGGGAGATGTTGACGCCCGAAGAGTCGTTGATGTACGGGTATCAGTTTATCGTCTGTGGGCTCTTGTATTGAAGGTGAGTGGAACGGTTTGGGAACATCTCAATGATTGCTGATGATGTGATCCATTCATCCGCCAGGAACGCGGACTCGGGGCTGATGATCTGTGAGTCCGATGTCGATTTCTTCGTGTATGATCAACGTTGGTTGTTTCTGCTTGTTGTTGCCTTGTGCTCTCGGTGCTATTTGCACTTCATGTACTTTCTTGGATTGTTGTGTACATCTTTCTCTGGCATGATGTGCATCAGATGTTTGGCCAGATCTAACCAAAATAATTTCGCGAGACGCGCATATGGCTGCTCGACAGAGTCTCTTAGTTTTGCCTCTAAAGTACGAGCGAAGAGACTCTGCCCAAATGTTTTGACTACTAATGTACATAATCGCCGGATGAGGATAAACATAGAGTGAGCACAGGTAGACCTCTACATGACACTGCGAACGCGAAGGGAATATAACTGTCTGCACGAGGCCTCATAAGCACGGAAGGTTGCTGCAGGACAAAGAAACAACATCATGGGATAAGCACGGTAAAGGCCACAGGTGGCAACGCCCGCTACGCAGCCCGCGCTGCACTTGCATTGAGTAGAAGAAAACAAGTCTATGAGATCGCACTGAGTCCAAAGTTGTAAGAACACGAAAACCAGAATGTCAATCTTATTTTGTTCAACACACAAGAGACTGAGGCAGTCGCGTGAACATCATATATATATTCAGTAGAGAGACCAGCACATGTACCAGCATGTACCGTGCATCAAGCGTACAATGAGAGCCGGATCTGACTTATACTGCATATGGAAAGGGACATGATGATGGGAGAGAGGCCTGTCGAGGAATCGTGACGTCAAGAGGAACAATATGGGTATGCAAAGTAGAAGATTAGATCGCAAAGGAGTTGCCACAATAAGTAGCTGAAGACGGTGCCACAATGGCCAAGGAGGATGCCACTGCGGTGACAGGACAGATCTTTCACGGAGAAAAGGAACATATGCAGAAGAGTACGAGATATTAATGTGCAATGTAGGCCCAGACTGGGAGTGGTCATATTGGGAGCCGTCGGGGTGAACATACACATACGGCAGAAGGGCAAGGGCCACCGTGACACCGTGCCTTTGATATGAGAGTGTAGAAGTCATGAGAGATCCGACAGAGGTGGACAAGAGCTAGAGGTCGATGGAGTTGAGACTGACAACAAATGTCGTTGGCGTCGAGAAGTAGATTATTGTCGAGGGCGAAGCCAATTGAAGTCGATACCGAGCCTCTGAAGGGATTGAACGGGCACGAATATGGGCGCAACTGCAAAGGTCGTCGTCGTCGACAACGGATGGAAATGAAGCTCCGTGTACGTGTAGGGTGAGGCTCAAAAAAAGCGCAATTCAGGTGCAGTAATTGTGTACTATGCGAAACTGGGAGGCAACAGATGTGAGGCAGAGAAATTGTGTTTGCTGATGTCAATAAAAACGGCAGGAAGAGCCGAAAAATGGTAAGGAAAGTACGCTGGGCAATGCGGGAGACTAGGATGTGTATGCAGAGAGGCGGAAACAGACAGCGGGCACAAAGTAACGAATGAAGAGCAACAAGAGAGCGCAAGAGGAGCGGCAGAGACAATAGGAGGCAACAGGGCCAGCATTGACGAAAATGGAAAGAAAGCATGGAGCATCAAACGGATGCAAAAGAAAGGCACAGCCACCCATTCAGCGCCGAAAAACTGATCGCCTGCGAAACGGAGGCAAAATAGCAAGCAACCTAAGAACCCACTAACAAGTAGCGGGAAAAACTATCATCAAAAGAGAAGTACCATGAGTATCCGAAGAAAATATTCGGCGTGGCTCTCCAAGTCCGGAGAGTCCGTAACACACCAGAAGGAGATATCAGACGCGTAAGAATGTTCAAAGTCCAGGAAGGCTGAAAGACCGTCCTCAAACCTGTTCAAGTGGAGATCGTCCATGTACACTGGACCCATCATCCGACAAAGAACGCCAATCCACACTACTCCTGTGCCCGCTTGGCCAGTGCCCTCCTTCGCCATGGTCATTAGCTCGAAGCAGGCTATGAGCCGACCCATCAGACAAGGGGTCTCCGGCGAACGCGCGCGGAGAGCGATGGGATAAATGAAGAGCAGGTGGTGGAAATGAGGGAAGGTGGAGGTGTGGCCATGGCCTTGAGAAGGCTGTTCCTCCCCTCACCCTCGGGGCTGTACCCCTTCCCGCCTCTTGGTCCGACCTCCGGCGACAGCATGTCTCAGCGTACTCGACACAACTCCGCCAAGTATCTGCAAACAGCGAAAGGAAATTTGCACTGTCAGAGCGGCGAAGTACACCAATAACGAGGGCGTAAGACGCACCATCAGCGCGTGCTCTCAATGTCGAGAAGCGACCAGCGAAGGGCGAGTACCCCCGCCTGTACACTGCGACATAGATAATACTGAGAACGAGGAAGACGAGGACTATGGAGGCAATAGTATGAGGACCGAGTGATGTACAATGCTACCAGGAAACGTACCAATGATGGCGAGGATGGCGAGGGGTGACTTTTTACTTGGTGGGGACGAAGGGTCGAAGTCGGTGACATGGGTGCATAGGCTGGACTCGCGGTGGCGGCGCCTCAAATGGGCCACTTGTACGGTGCCACATGACGTCGTTGGCTGGGAGGGAGGGATGGTGGCGGATGTCGAATAGGCGGCAACGAGGATAACGCGTACGATGGGCATGGCGAAGTCGTTGTATGTCGGAAGAAATAAACGCGGGTAAATGGATGGCACAATGAAAAAGGTGTGAGACTGAGTATGGCGCAGGGTGGAAGAACAAGGGGAGGAAAGGGAGGAAAAACTGGAAAACGAAGTGAATAAGATGCTATTCGTTGACGGGGGTAAGACGTGTAAAGAAAAAGAAAAAAGAAATTCAAGCAGGGGAAGATTGAGACAAGAGGGGGGAGGAACGCGATAAGCTTCAGAGCATACCGTCAAGTGTTATATGCCCACAAGCAAGGCAGTGTCCTCAGGCCACTGTCGATTCTTCTGGTACCATGACCTTGCCGCCTAAGCATGGTCTGGTAATACACGGATTATTGCATCGCACCGGTGAATATTGGACAGATGAGAGATCTTAATACTCTCTGGACGAGGGCTTTAGTAAGTCTTAAGGATTGAGACTCGGTGTTTCTCAAGGATTTTGTGGGCTTCTGCCTTCTAGACGTCTTTCGCGATCGTCTACCAAGCTGCAGAGGCCTATATCGCGATGCGTAGAGGGAAAATAAGAATATATCCAGCCTCGTAGAGCAGGAACACCGCTGGCATCGATATGAGAGAGCTAACCCAAGATAGGCAGTGTGGGCGGCTGTGGGTCCACGAATTAGGATTTCAAAGAGCCGCTCAACTGCCGTTTGGCGGCTCCACTCCCCTTCTCTACGTGAACGCCACAATCCAGCTCGCCAGATTAAGTATTTTCTTTTTTTAATACGGAAGACTATTCCAGCGGCAAGGAAAGCCGCTATTTGTGTGTGCTGCGTATCTGGCAGAGACTTGTTGGCCTACTCTGAGACCCGAAGTCTGAGAAGGGAAGCACAAAGCGCTAGCTGAGGCTCGACACGACACTCCTTCGAACACTTGACCTGGCAGGTACTTTCGTCTGCGCACACGGCAGCCTGTAAGGAGACTTAAACCGTCAGTCTGAAGATCGCTATGTATTGCTCAACCCGCCGAAGCAATGTATAAACTATGAGGGTGAGCTTTTATTTCTCAGACGTCTCTGATCACTTCAGATCCAGGCACACTTCCAATCGAGGTCGCCAATCTTGTTGGCTATCCTCCTTTTGACAGTCCACAAAAAGAGCTGGGGATCGCCGCTACCTGAATTTGAGCGACTCCTCGAAATTAACGTGAGCGTTTCACCTTCTTCTCCTAGGTCAAGCGCAATATCATTGGACAATTTCGATACTCACCTGTTGATGACAGCACATTCTGAAGGATTTCGGCATGTGTGGACTGTGTGAACGGCTTTGTTCGCCCGCCAATGATCCATCACCATTTGGTCGCCGTCGCCCCACGGTCACGCTCGAAAGGAGTTAGAGTCATGTTCCGTACCTGTCAAGTTCGACAAGGTGATGGTTGAGGATGCGGATATGATTTTCCGATGTTCGTCGGGTTCTTCGCCATGGACAATCCTAGCAAACGATAGGAAGGCCCTCCCGTTGCCCCTGATGGACACGTAGAGATCGGGCCAAGATCAAGACACTTTTCAGGAGATCGACAGCGTTAGCGAGGTCAGTTAGAGAGTTGAACGACTGTTCTGCATTCTAAGCGAGATGTTCAAGGTGAAGTCGCGGTGGTCGTCGTCGTCGACGGTGCCGAATACGCGGCGAATTTCAAAACACGGAATTTCACTGTCATCGCCGCCGCCTGTCAACCGGTTTCTCCCGACCCGGAATGTACCAGTACGTTGATGTACACATCCTCCTCCGTCAATGACTGTCACAAGATCCAGCTAACAAGCGGGAGCAGGTATCTCAATTGAGCTTAGGTGAGAAACCGATGCACTTGATATGCTGTGAGTGGCAACCGCGATGCTCCGCTTTCTTCCAGTACGGACACTTAATGCCCGGCCGCGGCTGGGAACACAAAATATCTAGTATCGTACGTGATGTACCAGCGATGTAGTTATGTTTTAATAACCAATTTCAAAGTTAGAAGGTTTCATTTCATGTCTGGATGCGCAACTAATCCTTTTAGCTAATGGAGTACGCTTGTAAGCTTAATCCAATGCTTGGAGATCTTGGTTGCAACTTGAACTTAGTTGACTCCCACACAGGGCAGTGCGCTCGGTCCGTGATCCTGCTCTCCTATAATACCGTTCCCCAGTCCCCAGGCGTCGGTACACGCTGATCTTCGTGACCCCCTTTTGACTACTTATAGCACCCGCTGGTACTGATGATATAAGTTCCCGCTATTGGCCTAGCTTTACTTGCCCACAAAGTTCCCCGTCTGCCTCCGACAACGGCGGGCACTGCCATTTTGTACCCGAGATGTGATTTTGAAGCTCCGCACACCGGAAGAAGGTGAAGGTGAGGGCAATCATGCTGACGAGTGTCTTGATCGTGGCAACGCTGCAACGGCCGACATGATGTTTTAGACTCTCGGTCATGTATACATCCCGCTAGAGCAGCATCTCGTCCGGTCATGACCCCCTTATGCATGCACAGGCAATGCACCTCGAAGATCGGTGTTCTCACATCATAAGCATCGCTGCGTCGGTCGCGTAAATCCTCCGAGTCATCCCTCGCTACGCCACATTGTCAATACAGAGGTGTGCGGCGATCATGGACTTCTACTAAAATAAGGCAAGTGAAAGGAGCTCAGAGCTCGCCGGCACTAGAAGCGGATGTCTATTCTTGACCAGAACCCGCAGAGTTCTTCAGATCGAGCACTTGTCCGACTTGTACGCGCCGCCAGAGGCCGACGTACGATGTCCCAAATCTGGGCAGAGGAATACACGAGAAAAAGTGATCATAATCGATAAGTATATCGGGAAATTGGCATCGCAGAGCCTCATCAATAGTACAGCAAATGAGCATATTTACACGCTACGCAGCAGATAGGAAGATGAAACCGATAAAAGAAGAAATAATAAAAATGCGTAGTGCAAGGCCTGTGGCGATGGAAGACAGTCGAGCCACAGCACGCAACGCAGCCTACTAAACACAGCAGAGAGGACATGAGCTAAACTCTCGGACAAAATCATGAATGGTTATTCACATACCCTAACCAACTAAAGCTCGAACCTCCGAGCCGCCAGCCGTCAGCGACGCAGTTTCATCGACCGACACATATTCGCCACCTTCCACACTGCTCTCATGATCAAACTGACCGATCTCCCCAGCGGGTCCTTGCACAGCGCACAATCCAGCGACGAACGCAGTGTCGCTTTGTAAAGAGCGTGTACTAGGACCCGGGCGAGAGCGTGCTGTCGGAGCACGGAGGTGGAGCTCGAAAGGCCTGGACAGACGGGGGAAGGCGCGACGACTGGAAGGGGAGGCGGTTGCGTGGCAGGGTTCAGCGATCGACGATACACCGAAATGAATGACGCGGGACCTAGCCACTGGAGCACGAGTACGCTGCATGAACATGGGAGAGGGGCGAGCGACGGCACGATGCATGGGATCGGAAGGAGCGCCGTGGCTAGTCGATGGTTCACGACTGAGACTTCCTTGCAGGGCATGGATGACGTTGGTGTAAGTTGTCTTCAACGCTGCAAGAACGGGTTGGTCAATAAGTATGATCGTGCAGGATCAGATAACAGGACGAAACATACCCAAGACCACCCCTCCCACTGTCCCAGTCACCATGGCAATGTCATCGTGCCATCCACGATACCAGACGAGCGCCATGGCCAAGAACACAGACACAAATAGCACTGGCGGAAGACGTCAGAAGAACCTCCGGCATAGAGCAAAGACGTCTAAAAGCAAGAGAGGGGGAGAAAAGGCGTACAGGCTGCTAAGAATATCGCAAAAATGGTTCCTCTCGCAATGACTTGGCGAACGGGCGCCGTCTGGCTATCATGAACCACACGCGGGTAGAGCCCATTACCAGTTGCGACGACAATAGGGGCCGGGAGTGGAAGGGCCTGAGTGCCGAGAATCTTCATGGCTAAAATAGTAGCCAAAGTTTTGAGAAGTATCATGGCGGTCGGCCGTTAAAGCAGGAGGTGGGTATGAGATCGGAGTTGATGGGTGGCGTGACTGAGAGTGGAGGAGAGAATTGTTGAGCGAGTGAATGGAGGGGGGTGGGCGACTGAAGACAAGACCTTTTATACGGGAACAGAGTCATAAGCGGAGATGAACCGAGGATGCGGGACTCTCGTAAGGCCAAAGACGGCCCCATAGGCCACCATGTCACCGATACCTGCTGAGAGTCGTATGGGAGCCATGGAGGCAGTGAGCAGAACACGACGACCGGACAAGCGGATGCCGTTGCGCCCATTTGTGGAGCGCCGGGATGATGACATTCGTGTATGAAGCCGTGCGGCAAAGACCCTAATATTCGGAGAACAAGTCAGTTCGGCGATAGCCAGTATCTGCTGGATCTGGGGCAAAGGGTCAGAAGTGTGGCAGTACTAGAATGACTCAATGTCTCCTATTTGGGAAGTTCCAGATATTCCTTATGGGCACATGAAGGTCCCGATGCCTAATTTAGATGTGGCGTTATGCCGCCACAGTACCAAGCCAGCCATGATCTAGCATTCTAGCAATTTGTTGAATATTGACTGCACGAAATAAAAATAAGATCAAAATGGGTAGAAACAAATGATACCATAGTCGAAAACCCTTGTGTTATTTGATACGTTGAATCAGCAGGATACTTGTTAAAGTTAAATTTCTGGGCTACGATCAATTGTCCCATGATACCATACCATAAACCTAAGCATGATGACACAGAGAGTGCATGCGACCGTGTGAAAGCCCATGTTAATTCTCGGAAGATGTTCCAATCGAAGGATTGTAGAAGCGGCCGGGGGGTTCAGTTGGAAAATACTTCATCGCTGTTATGTTCATATGTGGTGTTGCATCAGACGAGCGGCATTTTATGAGACTTGGCGTCCTAGCGGTGAAGCTTCTCACTATCTCAGATACACTATATCTGCTATGTTGTTACGCCCGCGGCGGCCCAGTACACACATCCCACGACTCCGAACTCAAGCGGAGTAAGGATGAACTCAAGACTCACCGAATATGATATGACCGTCCTTCTATCGACATCCATTTTCATCTATGGAACCGAAGAATCCTCGGAGGGCGCTGAGCCTGATCATGGTGGAAAACGCCGCTTAAACAGGGGGATAGTTGAACCTCCTAATACCTCCTATCACTAAAATACGACGACGGTCATTGTAAAGCCGGCTACCAGGGCACAAAGTAACTTCACTCTATATGGTATCATAAGCAAAATTGACGCAGTCCATACCATAAGACGCTGAGAAAGCTCTCACCGGGAGGAAAGGACTGCCCGTCCGACTGCGGGTCGGGATACAGTGTCGAACGCGTCCGAATCAAGGCACTGTTTGTCGAGTCATCATCCAAAAGTATGCAGATACTCGTCTGTGAGGGTGAATTTTCTGTGAGAAGATAGCCAGACTCACGGAGTTAGAGAATGGTCGCGTGAAGAGATCGCTGGGAGACCCAAGTACAGATTGCATAGCCTCAGGAGGTCGCCGCCGTTTGCAACCTTCGCGGAGTTTTGCGTTCGATTTATACGCTCCGCCCCGGTCTTTTTCGGCACGCGTAGTTTCCGAAAGTACCCGAGCTCAGGTCTTTGTTTCTCTTTTAGGATCATGGTGCTCGTAATTCGTCTATGTTTCGGTTCGCCCCTTGCGGATACTTTGGAAAATGACTCACTAGCAAAGTCGCTTCCGTATGCATATTTATTACTCCGAGAAACATTGCCGGAATTTGTGTGCGTACTTACATGTTTTAGAAGACTTACTTCGCTCTGTACCACAGTGCCAGCGATCGCCCCAATCATTTCTCAATGGTTGCAAATTCGTCGTCGACACATGTCTGAACATTCCAATCCCAACTAGTCCGTACTGTTCAACTTTGGATGACGTCACCACGCTAAAAGCCTAACGTCTAACTGAGAAAAACTGTGGACTACTATATATATAATAGTCAGACCCACTACACGCCCGGTGTTCCTCCGGCCGAGCGTTTACTGATGATGTTATACATGATCAGTCAACTACACTATATGATAGTATAGTAGGTATGTCAAAGTGATAGGCAATAGCAAGAGTTACCGGAAGTACACATACAATCATTAGTCGGGTTAGATAGATATATGGGAAGATGGATGTATGAATCAGGATGATCACCACATCGAAGCACCGGGAAGTCAAACAAGCGTATCATGCGATCATATACGTACTGCACCATGAAGTAGACGAGAAAAAATCAAGAAGAGAAGAAGAAGAAGAAGAAGAAGAAGAAGAAGAAGAAGAAGAAACAGCTAGGGGATACAGAATCTGCAGAGGCTCGAGTGTCCATTGCTTGTCAGCGAGTGTCCATGTCCTGCAATTGATATACGAAGCCTAGGAAAATCACCTATAACTTAAAGAAGACAACGTTAGCCATGGCCTACTACTGGTGACGACGAAAACATAGAGAACGGGATACACACCTCATGCAGTCACGATGACCTGCAAGCCCAAGTCGCCAACAGACGACGACGCGGGGCCCTCAACGACGCTATCGCGCTCAGATCGCCCAATCTCTCCAGCAGGCCCTGGCCCGGACAACAGTCCAGCAATCGACAAAGTATCGCTCTGAACGCTGACGGAGCGAGTGCCTGGAAGAAATTGTGCCATCGGAGAGCGGCTACGCGACATGTATGACCTCGAGGGATGATGGGCAGGAGACGATGTGGTTGAACGACGCGTGGACGGAGGTCTGGCTAGACTGGCTCGCATCTTGTCCACAACGTTGTTGTACCTGGTCCTGATGCCTATCAAAATAAATTGACGTGAGCCTATTACTATAGTGGTAGCTGTAGACAGCGTACCTTGGGCCACCAAGGAAATCCTTTGGGTGGCGACAGAAATGTTATCGCGCCACCCTCGGTTCCACAGCATGGTCATGGCAAGGATAACGAAGATGAATAACACTGAAGGGATGTCAGACAATATCTCAACAAACGATATGATATGTGCGTACGTGCAGCGAGGACAGCGCCGACAATAGTGCCCTTCGTTATCTTCTGCGGTGTCAACGAGTTGGGTGCATCAGCTTCGAGGACCGCGCGAGCACAACGGCATCCGCGTGCGATGACGACGATCTCAAGCGAGGCTTGGATGGGTAGAGCGAGGGTTGAGATGATATTGAGAGCCAGAACGGCGAAGGGGACGATGAGGAATGTCATGATCGTAGGTCGTGGTAGGTCGTAGCAGTCGGTGTCGAATGCGGCGGGATGTTGATAAGATTAAAAGAGAACAGTGCGTGTCAGATGATAGATTAAATATATGTCGATGTTTGTTGTGGTTTGTAGTTGTGGTCGATACTTGAGAGTGCGGATTGGTAGAGGGCGAGTGGGGATGAGAGATGAGGGATGAGAGGGAAGAGAGGGGCGCCTTTATAGGTGTGCACCCAAGCACTCCTCCGAGCAGGCGGCCCGAAAAATCGCCTCCGGAGCGCTTTGCATTGATATTCTGATAAAACATGGTATCATGCAGCAGAGTTGAATCAGAAAGATAGAGGGATACGGACAAGGTTGAGGGGGAAAGCATGGATCCGGCGCGTAACGCAGAGGTCAACGTGTTGTTTGATCCGATTCCGGCAGAAATGTCCCTAATGGGTGCATGTGGATGCCTATGGGTCCCTATTTGTCGCCACATGCGCGTGTAGCCTCGACGTCCCGCCACACAACAGAGCCGTCGCGTTTGAGCGCGTTTTTACATTCAGGCTTCACATTCGCGCATCAGTTAATGAGCATAGGACAAAAATTCGAGGAATCCAAGACATAGTGTGCACGTAACTCTTGGATAAGCCCAAGAGTGCGTTAATTCAAGATAGGCGGCGCCGCATCTGGGCCACACCATCGAAAAACGTGCAAACGATGCTCTTGCACTGAACAGACTTGCCAATCGTCCATGTAGATTAATGGGGCTATTTCTAGGCGCGTCAGTGTGTCATTCGAGGGCCGGGGTTCGTAGATACGGTTGTACTGACCCATCGGGACAGCGTCGATTGTTATTAGAATTTATCAAACCTAACTCTCATGTCCCTAGTGCAAATCAAATGCAGCACAAAACCGAACATAGACATGAGCCCGGTTGCGTGCCTGCCAAACCCCATTACAAATGTGGAAAAGCCGTGTTGAGCACAAGGGACCACGACTAGCCTGAGTGGCGAAAGGCCGGGTCTTCATGACCATTGAGGGCGCCAGGAGGATGGAAGACAGGGGTTCCAACGAGCGCTTGAGGAGGCATTCACCTAATCGAGAACTGGTTTCCTATCGTCGCATTCGAGGTGAAAGGGCAGCGGCGTCCAACGTGACTCGGGCCAGGGTGGTGCGTCGTCGATAGACGGTCCGTCAATTCACTAGGTGGCACAACGGCACTTATGCCACACTACTGCGTAAAGGTGCAGAGGCGGTTCTGTCGCGCTGAACGTAGTGGTTAAGAGTTCTTCCGTGAGAATGGAACTGTTTCTAGGCGCTTCAAGGTGCCATTCGAGGATCGGGGTTAGCTGAAGGTTGGAAATATTGACCCATCGGGACAGCGTCGATTGCCATTAGAAATTCTCACGTATAACTCTCATATCCCCAGCGCAAATCAAGTTAAAGCACAAAACAGAACATAGACATGTCTTCAATATGGCTTTTCCACATTTGCAATGGAGGTTGCCAGACACGCAAGGCAGCCGAGCTCAAGGGACCATGAGTAACCCAGAGTAACCAAAGGCCGGGTCTTCGTGACCATTGAGGGTGCCAGGAGGATAGAAGATAGGAGCACAAGCGCTCGAGAGAGCACTCACCTAATCCGATACTGGTTTCCTACGGTCCCATTCGAGGTGAAAGGGCAGCGGTGTCCAATGCGACTCTGAGGCGGGCCAGGGTGGTGCGTCGTCGATGAATGTCGAACACATCACCACTGTCGATATTCATGAGCAAGTTTTATATCTTGCAGAGAGCAAAACAAAGGCAAACGAAAGAAGGGAAACTTGGTCGGACTGACGTGGATGTGGTTCGGAATGAAGAGGCGGTGCGAGTATTTCCAGCGGCACAGCCTCGCACAAAATTGCGGAGTTGCGGTAACTTACGTTCTTCCGCTATTGCCGCCGGACGATCGCTAGCACGGTGTCCAGGAACTATCGATTCGAAACATCGCCGTCGTTGTTGTTCTACGTGCGTTCTTTCTTCTCCTATGTTCAGAATGGAGCCCGCTACCTAGACCCACAGACTGTATTATCCTTCCCAATATCGAATAAAATTAAAGTCATGATCTCGCGAGTCGAATCGTTTCCGCGAGTGTCGATGGTGTCTCCGCAATTGGGGGCAAAGTTATGGTACGTACAACCAACTACCATGCTCGGGTTGTATGGTCATACAAAACGACAGCCTTGAAAGCCAAAAAGGCTAAACTTTAACTTTCGTGACGGCATTCATCATTTCCTCATCCGACAAGAAGCTCTCAGGCGCTCTCAAATTATCGTGCTTCGATCAACTGGGTATGTTTTAGAATTCTAATATAGCCTAGCGCCGATATGTTCTTCGTCACTCAGCAGATCTTCTCGACATTGCTGTACGGAGTGCCTGAAGGGGGCCTCTTCAGCCAAATTCACCATGTACACCGAGATCGCATCCTAGTTCTTGATAACATGTCTTCTCTATAAGTAACCCATCGATATCGCAATGCACTGCTTTGCTTCAGAACAATTTATGGTCCGCGGAAACTCCTCATACAATATGCGCACAGTTTAGCCAGTGAATGCCCCTGTCACGGTATAAGGAGTGCCTAATTGATGCAGCAAAGCTTAAGCCGAACATGGGACTGCACCGAACCTTGATTATCGCTGGGCCATCGCTCCATTCTCCGATATGATACTGATACTTTTTTTGGTCTCTCTTCCTCGTAGACCACTTTACAGTCCATGGGCTCGCAGCCTGGGGATCAACTGGGTATAACCCTTGAGCCGGAAGAACTGCATCATTCTCTGGAAAGTTTCCGAAGAACTCTTTCTCGGGATCATCCACACACTTGCTCTACCCCTGACACGAGGATCCCAATGGGCGCAACGATAGAAAAGGGGAAAGTGCCCTACAATGCTGCTTCAACGTGTTTTGTGCGTGTTCGTCTCATGAAAACAGTAGCAAGAGCGGGAACCTTATCATTTTCGTCCCCTTTTGCTTTGGTGATGTTCCGTAGATCAAGGGCCGGAGAGTGGCGAGACGACGCAGCATCACACAGGATTCTCCGCCGAACGATGGAATCCAAATGTACGGTTATCACATGAAATGACCTAGAGAGCGTGGAAAAGAATGAATCACACAGCAGAAGATCTTCGTTCCTGCGCTCGCAGGGACGGATTCCGAGTGGCCACTGTAGAAGAGGAGACGCAAATATGCCAACGAGCGCGCAGAACGCAAAGTGCCGTTAAATTGTTTTCTGCGTCTGCAGAAAACCAGAACCGACGTTGTGATCCGCGAGAAGCAGTAACAGTTATCACGAGATAGCGTGCGTCGAGTGTCTGAGATGTATCGTCCTGCGATGAAAGTCTCAATGTGGAAATGGGAAGTGCAAGGATGTCGAGATCAGCAAGACACGAATGCCGAACGGAGACATGATACAAATAGTGGTATAAAGCATGAGTTGCCTTCGCAGGCGAATGGGGATCTGGGTATCGAGAATGAAAATGGAATAAAGAAAGAATAGACGGAAGGCTGTTCGAATAAGGACACCAGGTCCTTCTGCACAGCGAGGCGCGGCATTCGGAATCTGTGCGATCATCAGTTCTCGTGAACCTAACGGAGCTATAGATCTGCTGTCTCACCTTTATTCGAACAAATGGTCAATCAGACGGGCCACCCACAACATGCCCATTTTGAATGCTTCCTCTTTCTCCGTCTCCAACAGAGCGACTCTGTCCATTGACGACGTTCAGCGTCATCTCGCGTTGCGGGTAAGGTGCAGGAAGAGAAGTGGTCGCAAGCAGAGTATCCAACGGTGGGGATTGTGGGACTGAGGCGTTATGAGAGAAAGAAGACGTAGGCGTGAATGAACCGAAGCATTGCATAAAGTTTTGGTGTAACTCTGCACGAGCATCCGGAAGGATTCCTGCAATGATAGTTAGAACCTCTATTGAGGGTGAAAATTAAACTATGCTACGTACTCAGGATATTGATCACCAAATTGGCCGTGTCCGCGGCGGTGGCACGAAGGTCTCGCGTCCAGAGACTGTAGGCTACAACGATCATAGCAACCAACCCCACTGATAGGTACAGAAATTAGACAAGACGACAACCATAATGCAGCTAAAGTACAAACCGACAGCGATCCCGATCGCGACACCTGTGACAGGCGATAGGTTCTGGGACTCCTCCCCATCTGGGAGGGACTGTTCTGGGGACGCGAGGGAAACGGACGAAGCGGTGACCGTGGGATGAAAGGCGGGAACTATGACGGAAGAGGCGGTTAAAGTGGCGCTGAACGTGGCAGGAGAGGCAAGTAATGTTGGAGGTGAGGCGGTGTCCATGATGGACGAGGACAGTGAGGACGGTCTGGCGGGTGTGAATGAGGCATGAAAATCGGATGGTGGAGGTAGGCCGGCAGCTGGAAAGACAGGCGAAGGTGTCGGAAATTCAGTGTAAGGAGGCGTTGCGATCCGCGAAGGGATTTGAATCAATGACGACTTACGGGTGCTGCGTGGCGCATGCGAGTCGGACGACATCGAATAGCTCGACGGAATGGGCGACAAAGGATCCTCTTGGGAGGCCAATGGGAGAGGCGGAGTGGGTTGAGTGGGCGAGGCGAGCACCATTAGATGCAAAAGTTGGCTGGCAAGAAGTAAAAAGACGAGGGTGACCAGTGTCATCTTCGGTGAGTGGAAGTGGGAGCGGAAAGGGTTGGAAAAGTCCCTGTATGCAGACAGCCTCCATTTTATGCCTCTCGATGACGGCCAAGAGAGCTTCAATATGCGGTGCGGCGCAATGCGAACGGTGAGAGCTTGCGAGGCTGTACAACAACTCACCCACATACCCAACATCACTGACAACTCAACTTCTGAACACGCACGAACCCTATTGGCGAGGCCCTACGCTGGTGGGAATGTGCTGCGGTAAATACAGGATGGAAGAGGTCCGTGTTCTGCGCTGCTGGCGGTCGCCGACGTTGCCTTGCACTTCGGGCCAGCTGGGCAGGGCAGAGGGTGATGGGACTACCTTCCATCAAGACCAGATGTAGATAAACCTTGTGGAAAGGCGAATAGACAGACAAAGCTAGAAATCAGGGGAAAGTGGAAATGAACGGTTCGCTTTTCCAGGGGAAGAATGTTGGGGTTGGGGGGTATCGAAGGGGCTCCCCGGTCTCTCGCCTCCCTTCTTGAGGCGAAATCGATGGAATAGAAGCCTGTCAAGCCAGCCCTCTCCCATTCGCCCACTCATCAAAATGGATGGGCGTCCCGCACTTCACACAGAGAGCGGCGTCTATGGCCGAACCATCATGATGTGAACGCCCGCACACGCCGGTGCAAAACTTCGACGGGTAACAAAGCTCGAGCAAACTACGTTATTTGGGTATTGATTGGACCTCGAAGCAACAAGTACTGGAGGAATTACTCTCCACCAATCACGCTATGGTCGTTCTAAGGAAAGCCATGATTTGAAAATCAGGGCCAGCACAGCCCTCGTAAGTGCCTGCCATGCTTACTGCGAAAGGATACGCTGGAATGAAAGCTCATGCTCGACGCAGTGCACAAGGTTGATCAGAACATTAGCCTCTTGTCCGAAGAGAGACCCGGTTCAAGGCCGCTGGGGAGAAGTGATTTTCATACGCCCTGTGCTTTGAACCATTTTGATCAGGAGAGACACAGGCGTGTCCAATGAAAGCGTTTCAGCATAAACTGCGGGCTTGTCGACACCCGGCGTGGCTTGTGCTAGCCAACAGAGTATGGGCGCAAAAGGGACCATGGAGCCCCAGGGTACCATAAAAACACTGAAAACTATGTGTTTTATGTCAACAGCTTAGCATGCACTTCACGACTCTTCTCCTTATCGATTAATACAAACTGGGATACGAAAGCCGCTCTCCGGCCTCTGACTTCCCTCTGGTTGAGCGCACCATAGGATAGCTCCACTCGGTCAGTGAGAGCACCGTGATCTGTTATACATTATATCCTGTTAGAGCAAGGTCCAGAGAGGCCCAGAGATACCGTAGCCTTAGGAGTGGAGTTCCTGCACTCTTCCAGTGGTAAACGTCGACTGCGAGGAGTCCGAATTGAGCTTGTTCAAGTTTTGTTGTGTTCCCGCTCAGTCCGACGCCTCTTGTGCGGTAACAGCTTCGAATAAAGACCTAGATGACGCCAGCATGAGGTTATGCAAAGGACCCGAGAAGCATAGTATGTCGTCGAAGTCAGAGTGCCGTGCCCAGGCTGTGCCAACGACTGTTACCTTGCTTGCAAGGTCTCTCCCACCCCGGTAATTGTGGCTGAGCGACTTTTTCGCACACAAAGCCAAACAGTTTGCGTAAGCTTTTCTCACATTTCTGTGGCACCCCTCACTCAATGCAATCGCGCACTTGATTACCATCATCAGGACGGAGCAATTTCTATTTGCCCTGGCTATACAGTTTTTGTACATGCCCAGCATGTTTCGCGAAAGTATGCTCGATATCTGCGCAACGCGCTCAGGCCTGAAGGGCTATCGACGCCACAATGAATCAGGCCGATGCTTCTCCTGAGGCCTACATACGCTTCGAGGCGCTGCTGCGGTCAGCGAAGCAAGAAACCTGACATCAGTGGCCATCGGAACGTGGATGTATTGTGCAGATTTAAAGGCTGCCTCTAATACGAGTTGAATACGAGTTTGCGAGCCAAGAAGAACCATCTGTGGCGCGACTCTTGCGTGACCATCCAGAAGTAATTTCCGGCCCTGAATACTCTGCAGTATCGCTAACAAAGTTGCTACTGCAAATAAAGTGCACATAAATATTGAGCATTGGTACTTATGCCATTGTCAGAAGAGGTCTCTCAAGCAAGGTCAGTGCCACAGCATGTGGAGCTTCCCTAGTTCATATTGGTCGCGATCATTGTTGCTAAAATTTTGGGGGACTTCGGCAAACTCCGAGCATACACGTGTAACGACTCGTCCAGCGTCGGAGCCTGAATTTGATCCTGGCTCACTGCTCTTTTCTTTCCAGCTCGCGGAGGACATCGTACGAGCGTCACCGTACAATCTTGTCGTGTACGTACAGACTACCATAGAAACTAGTACGCCTCCATATTGCCTCCATATTTTCCTCCGTTTTCTATCCCTTTACTGTGCACCTGCCGCCTGGCTTTTACTATCTGCCTGGGCCGGCACACATCTTCAATTCAGAAGAGTAAAAGATGGAAGGGAGTCAATGTCTCCTTTGACCTACGAGCGTTAAGTTAAGTTCCTAGGGATTACTACAGCGTACCCAGATGTGCAAATTCTGCGGTGCTCGAGCTCCTGTACTCTTTTAACATGCACCAGTGCCAATCTAAGTACACAGGCAGGTGGAAAAAACTCTAAACTACGCTTGACGATTTTATCGGGATTTTTTACTAGTAAGCTATGCTGTCGTCGACGTCGAGCGCGTCGACGAGTGCTTGCACCCAGTAATGCAAATTTTCACTTTTGGCGGGCCGGAAGCCTTCCGACGCGCGTCGCAAGTCAAAAGTGCATACTTTCGACATTTTCGAGCATTTTGACGGGACATGCTCGATTTTCGCCAAACAAAGTACCCAGGGACGATAGTATGCTGTATTTACATGTCGAGGAATATTTTCAGGGGGAACGGGGGAGAACTCGAAGAGTAAAGTCAAAATTTGCACTTCTGTAAGATTTGCACCTCTGGGTACGGGGTAGTACCGGACTGTGTGAACTAACACTGTATCATCACATCGATCGACCAGCGTTTCCTTTGGGATGGGGACTTACCGAGTGCTAAGCAAGACTCGAAAAAAAATGGGGTGTCAGGCTCAGTCACTGCAAGTGAAGCTTAAAGGTCATCATCCCCAACGGATCAGAACTTCCCTATAAGAATGCGGTGACAATGGTCTTCTGATTCGAAGTTCATAAGATTCGTGCGGTGCATCTTCACGCCTGATGTGACTCTTTCTGTTAATTTCGCTTGCATGATGAGCGTGAAAAGTCCACAAGAACTCTCTCCGAGCGCTCTTTGTGGTTCATTAAAGTCGGCAACGAGGCGTCGCATGGTTCAGCATGGAACGTAGTAATTCTCTGAACCCGACTCGGAAAGGCTGTAGGCCGACCTGACGGTGAAAGCATCACAATCGGACCCGTGTTGACATACCCGTTCTATTGTGGCCGAAAACCATCGGAATTCACAAGGTCCGTTGATATTAACCGTTGAATGCCCCGTCCTGGACGTCGTTGGGTGCGCGGGGTCACTCCCGGGTGGCAGTCCCCAGGCTCGTCGAGAAATGTTTGTTTTAATTCAGGACCGCCTTGTGGTCATTCTCGCAGCTCCATTCTCCAATAAAGAGGATACACGAGACTGCAACCACCTAAGTAACAATTTGCACGACACAGTATCGTGCATCGCGTTTTGCGTGCAAGGAACTTTAACTTGTCAATAGCACTCTGTCGAAGGCTGCCCATATGGGGATGTTCGACACTGTATGGTCCACGCACAGACACTCGGGTGAGTGCGACACAGCCCTTGAACATGTATCCGTCTTGTGTTTCGCAGGACTTCATTGTCGTTTTGTTGCTTCCGAGGGCAATACCAGCGGAGCGGAGGCAATTTACGTGACTCGGAGAACGTCCCGCATGAATCAATGCGCCACTGACACATGGGATCCAAGTGATAGTGGTTTGGCACAAGATTATGCATGCAAGGGTGGAGAGGCTGCTATACTTGTCACTAAATGAAAAGAGGTGTGTATAATACAGCCTCTCTCGTCTCTCATCACATTCTGATGTCGCTTGAATATCCATACAGTAACGTTGTTGTAGGGTCGAAGATTTCTGTGGAGGCGGGTACCGCTTAGGCGCAGCTACACTGTGAGAACCTGAGCACGACGAAAACGGTGGGGAACGTCTCCCCAGACGTTCTTTTTGGCTGTGCGTGCTAGGACACTCACAACCTGGGGATCGTCGTGATTTGAGCTCCGAACTCGACGGAGCGGAGTGGCATGTGGACCTCGAGGATCTTTCGCACAAGGACGCAGGTATATATAGCATGTTGAGAACAGGCACGTAGTCCGGGCTAACAAAAGAGCCGTGTGAGAGACGAGGCTATGGTCCCACGTTCAATGTCAGATGCAAGGTAGCGGCGCAAGGAAAAAACCGACAAAGAGGCGAGGCGAGGCGAGGGGAAGGCTGTAGGGAGTGAAACGGGCATCTGTGATTGTAGAATACAAAGTATACGGGAAAGCAGACAACGAGAACATGGGAAAGCAGACAACGAGAACATGGGAAAGCAGACACCAGAGCGTGTGAAATCATAAGTGCGACAGAGCAGAGAAAGGTGATGGACAATGGGAAACGTTTCGAAGTAGAGAAGCCTTCGGGGTCCACCAGGAAGAGTATCCGGCTACAAGCACTATACAATACAGTACGGCTAGCGAGACATAGTGGTTCAAACGAGAAAAAAATGCATGAGGACGCATCCCCCAAACCCCAAATACACAAACAAGCTCAGTCTTCTTTCGTAATCCCACCCAACGTGAGATCAAACCTGATCCGTAATGTCTCGCTCTCCTTGAGAGTCTTCTAAGCCGCGCCTCCCATCGACTATAGCACCAGATTCTGGATCTTTTCCGCGGTGAAAATATATGTCCGACGAAAATATATCGGTCGAGGTATTATGGGAGCCTGATGCCATCGTAGGCGTCTCTCGGTCGGCAGTCAATCCTGTCGCTGACAAGACGGGAATACGATAGGCCTGATCTGCAGCCTCAGCGTGCGGATCAAGTGGCGATTCTGCGACGATGGCTTCTCGTCAGGCCTCTTTATCAAGGCCGGTAATGTTTCACTCACCGACTCGACCGCGCGCTGATAAGGAGACATCAACCTCTTGACGTTGAGGTAGTGGCTCGTCCCTCCAGAGCCGGCACATGGCTGCTACCAACGCCCCCAGCCCGACTATTGGAACGCGGTATCAAGTTGGATACCACGAGAGCCATGGAAGGGACGGTACTCACAAACTGCCACAGCGATGGCGACCGCGGCGACTGGCGACAAGCTGTGTGACTGGTCACTAGATGGATTTCCGTCTGTGTCGCGGGTCGCGGGGTCCGGGTGGACCACAGGAAGGGCAAGGGCCACGCTCATCGTGAAGAGCACTGGGAAGAAGACGTATAGGACGTGCCGGAGAGGGGAAAGGAGACGCATAGGTAGGACAGACTGGCACTAGATCGCAAGGTATGGCTGTCATATATGCTCGGTCAAGCAGCAGTATCACGAGCCGACGACAAGTATCGCCTCTGAGCATGGCATGCTTTGAAAGAGGGTGCCGAGGAAAGAAAAAAACTGAGCTAATTGTTCTCCTTGGGCGATATGAAAGTTACGTGGCGCACCTTTTCAAGTCACGACATTCCAAATGAACTTCTAGTTTATTGGACCAGAATGATTACACCGCTGACTTTCATACAATGCTTAGGACGAGCCGTAGATAGAGCGAAGGGTCGAGACGTGGGGGAGGAGGATCCTGTAAAGTGCGTTGCCGCAGTAGGGGGGACACGGAAGGATGGACGATGGTCCCACGATAGCGCTCCCATAGGCCGTGTACATGAGCAGACTCGATAAGAGTAGTTATAAATGATTGTATTTCAACTTCGCTGGCGATCTTCGGAGTTGAATTGGGGGATTAAGAAAAGCGACTGCCTTTAAGCAAGAATAAAAGAGAACGAGCGAGGGAGTGAGCGGGTAACGGGCGCCTGCCAGCGGCACTGCGTGGAAAACAGCAGAAGGCCCAACATCAGGCCGCTCTCATCCCTTCCACACCCATCATCCCTTCCACGACCATCATCCCCAAGAAATCCATGCACAATGGCAACGGCCAGCTTGACAGCGTCGTCGTGTTTTGCAGTGTCACCCCTACATTATTCACGGATATCCCACAAGAATTCATCAGCTGCTCGTCATAGCCGAGGACAACCTTCATCACATATATCTGCGGGGCACCCTGTCTCACACACCGACAACCGAGACGAACTACGCCTTCACCCTATTCGATTCGACGCATAAGCGCAAGCACTGGAAGTGTAGCCGAAAGCTACCCATTAAAGCTTGCATCACCCAGTAAGGCCCTTCACTCATCGTTACTTGGACCCACGGGACCTCAGTCACCAATATCGGCATCCTCATCGCTTGTACGCTACTGCCAACCGTGGTAGACAGCTGAATCTACAACGTTGGGCAGTATCGAACAGCGAGAGACTGCGTCGTGAAATTACGGTATGTCCCTGTGAGCCGCATCGACCATGGGCAGATGGTAAGCTCCCTCGTCCCACAGTGACGCGCGTCGGCCCACCCATGATGGAGCTCTAGCAATCCAACATCAAAGAATGTTCATTAAAATCGCCGTATGATACGGTCGGTGCGAATGCTATGGATCATGGTGGGCACAGAGTTCCGTCCTGCGCCTCTAGCTCCAAGCTTCTCAATTCAGACAGAGATAGATGGTGGCTGACCGTTACGGTATTCCCGCAATCCACAAAAAACCGCTCCCGCTTCAACGCGTCTTCTAGCATGGAAGTTCACCAACAAGGCCTAACCCGCGGACTCCCGGGTCATGGGCTTGTGCGCGTACTACACGACGCTCAGCATCATACGGGAGAGCATTCAGCGAGCTGTCTTCGTCGCACACATCACACAGACTATAGTGGCTGGTAGGTGGCTGGCGCCACATATGGCGATCCGACACGACAGTAGCGGAGGAAGTGCACAGAGCTCAGGCCCGCCTCAGCGGCCTCACACGCCGGTCAACTTTGTATAACCGTTTTGCCACAGACGTCATGTAGCCGCAATAATCAGACTGTTTTTGGGTCAGTGGCCAGTTATAGACCTATTTATACGCTCAGCAAATGTCGAGAAGAAGACGTTTTCTGCGAGGTGAGCCCGCTCAGACCAGAGTACTACTGTGCAGCCCTTGCATTTCCTGCTCGTCGAGGTCTGGGCAGCGATACTTACCTGTCTCTCCTTCCCATCAGGGTTGCAAGATGTCTTCCTGCTAGAACGCTCTATCCAGCTCATACTACGATCTCCATCATAGAATCGTAACAAATGCAGCACTCACAGGTCATTTCGCGGTAGTCACGGGCAAATTATCTTCGGGTTTGATCAACTCCTGGGACCACTATGGGTGACTTTTGACGGAAGGCCAACGGTAGCATTAGCAGGAGATAGAAAGTCGAAGATATCAACTTCACCTCGAGAATTCTGGTTCATCGGACTCGCATCGTCGACGTCGAGCTCAAGTCGAGCTCATTGTGCTCGACATTTTCGCAGCCATCGGAAGCCTCCGCTACCCCGATCCCGGGGCCCGGCCGGGCCACAACCGAGAGGAGTGCCGCGGCGGTTGAAATTGCCACGTCATGTCAGCGAATTTCTCTTTGGTTTCTTTCTTCCTCTCTAATTTTGCTTCCGCTTGGAAACTCTTTCGTGAGAGTGTCAACAATAACTCGTACTTCATCTCCAAGGCCGCGAGGCACTATGCATTGGGATACCGACGTTCTAGGATGGCTCTGTGATCATTCCGCCTCGATTTTCGGTCCTAAGGCTCATCGCGCCCTCAAGGACCCATCCGATTGTGAGTTCTCCTTCACAGTACAGATGCTGCGCCGACTGTTGGGAGCGCCCAACTGTATTCCAGAATTACATGACTGCTTGAACATTGAAGGCTGTAGCGTTGTCTACGTACTAGACGCCATATAACGACGTGAAACATTTCCATATCATCCCCTTTACTCGCCCCATGGGGTCGACGTCGGAGAGATCGCAGGCACCGAGGAGACAGGTTCCATTCTCTTTCGAAGTTGAGTCGAACTGAGTCCCCGAGTCGACGGAATAATTTTTGGTGACCGTTGGCTATGTACGATCTACTCCACGAGGTCCACAGCCATGGTCGTGACGCATTCTCGGCCGCTGGCCCGTAGCATCCACGAGGTTCGTGCGTGGCGAATAATGGAGGTGTATTTACGTGTGTAGGCGTATTAGGTTGCTGTTCATAGCCTCGACTTTACAAATCGCCAGTTGTGGTGCTGAAGGAGCATGCGCTCGACGCACAAGGCGTTCTACTTGGAAACACTTCCAGTGGAAGCGGTCCTCCGTAGTGTCGCTCCTACATTCTCCGACTGTACATTTCACGCGACAGTCCATCGGCGTCGGTATCAGTGTGTGTCAGCCTCGTTCTGTGGTTGGTTGACCGTACACAGACAACAGTGCGCACACCGCCTTGCGATCCCGCTCGCCACCCAATGAGCCACTCATTCCGGACCGCATTCTTCATCTCAACGCTCCCACACCACTTACCCCTATGAGTTTCCCGAGGCGCCCTGTACAAGGTTCAGTATTGCGTCACGTTTGTTTCTTGCAGCTGTTCTACAGTCTGGACTCTCCGCCCTAGGATATCAGTGGCACAGCTGGCGAAAAGGGGTCAGAGCTCCTCCGGGACTTATCTCCGCGTCAGTCGGAACCAGCGCTGGTGTTCGCAGTCGTGTGTCTGTATGGACCATGAATAGAAGTGTACCATGAGCGACTGTATCCCGCGATACATTAGCGCATTGTGAGGTCGCGCAGCTGCTGGCGTTGCTGAAACAGAACATTGCGAGAAGAGGAAACACGAGGATGCCTGCACACAATGATGCTGTGAAAAGTGCGAAAAGAAGAATGGCAAAGCAGTACGCAGAGCGATCGTTCGTGGTGAGATGAGATGAGAGATGATAGGGAGATGGGTCATGATAGAGAGAAGCGTCCATCCAGCGCGAAGAGTATAACGAAGAATAATGTGAAGAAGAAAGAAAATGATGGCTACTGGCAGGGCTCTACGTGTACACACAAAGTGGCAGTAAAACTTGCAGAGTCCATACGATGCATGAGATATGGCGATACGGAATGCGATGGAGTGTTATATGATGATATGGAAAGATGCAGACAGGGCAATAGAAAGATGAAGACAGAGCAATGCAAAAAAAAAGTGAACGATAATGCCGTAAGACCTACATGGACCAGTGGGTCAGTATATACATGGGACAGATAAACGTCGTACGCACCGACGACTGATACAAAGTAGGGCGACGGAGGCTGCTCAGTGGTTATGCGAACTGGTCGATGACCCTTCGCCTCTGTCATCACTGTACTCTGACTCTGTCCCGTCCGTGGAGATGGTCTTGCCCATGTCGGTGACATCCAGCTCGATGGACTTGTCGTCTTTGGCAGAGACGACTTCGATGTTGGGAGTGGTGGTGAAGGACAACGGGATAGGTCGGACGGAATGGGGAACAGGAGTCGCGATCAACGGTGAGGGCATTGCCACAGCACGGTCGCAGACGGCATCCAAAGCAGCAACGGCTCTGGAGTGGACGTGGTCGACGGTCCCGGGCCCGATACCGATGAGGAAGACAGTGAATTCTGAGGAAGACCACGTTGAGTGTGGCGTCCAGGGAGATAAACACGACCATGCCAACTATGGCGATGGATTGTGGGTGACACCGGTGTCGAGGACTCACTCTTCGCTTGAACCAATGTTGGTTCGACCATCGCCCGCCACCCGTGAGCACGTACCCCGAACGCAGCAACAGTTAATAACATCCCGCCCACTAAAAGTGATTCGAGCGGACGTGAGTGTTCGATGAGATACTATGCAACGCTAGACAACCCACAGACTACGGGTCCGACGATGAGGCCCACAAGGGGGCTTAAACTGTGGGACGGAGCGGGCTCGACCCCCTCCGAGGCGGCAGTAGAAGTCGAATTGGCTGGGAAGGGTGAGCCCACGACGGCGGTGGCGGCGCAGGTGAGCAGGAGGACGAGAAAGTCGTGAAGGGAGGTCATGGTTGAGCGGCGAACGAAGAAGAGGAAGAGGGGGTTGGGCTGTGAGTGCTAGATGGGGCTTATAAGCAAGAATAGGAATTAATGGAACGTGAGGCGTATTAGAGACACGGATGGCGGTGCTCAAGTCTCACCGACGTTAAGCCTGAGTCCCGGCCCCGGAACCACATATGACTCCCTCAGCCAAAGATTACGATTGTGCATGCGCTCCTAGAATACACTTGACGACCCCTCCATGTTCTCTCTGTCGCGGCGTATACTACAATCACAAACTGAAGGAGCTAATGTGAGCCCAGATGAACATCGGAATAGATGTCGATAGAGATAACAGACGTACACAGGCTCTGGTCGACTCGCTTCAGAGCCCAATACAGATCCTTCGATGGATCCTGGTACAGATCCACGAGGCCTTGAAACCCGACACCATTACTCCAGCTCCGCGGGTCCTGCGTCCTTCAAAAAATTCTCAAAAATGCTGAGGCGATTGTGTGGAATGGAAAGAGTGGCAGAGTGGCAGAGAGTGTTGATGGTAGAGGAGAGAACAAAGGATGCGATTGACGCTACATATGTAAAAGTGAATCATGGCGATGACGCGGACAGCCTGGGAGTATTTTACGAGATTGCCCAAACGTGGTCTATACGGCCCAAGAGCCACATGAAGCTGTATCAGCCTCATGGAGGGATATCGATGTGGCCATTTCTGTGCAGAACCTATCTCAAGCAGACCACCACGCTATTCATCGGTTACCGTTCTCTGCTGTCTACTGCAGCAGAAGCATTGCAGAAACGTGTCAAATCATCCTCCAGTATACTCAGGACTCGAAGTCCGCTGGCAAGTCTCTCGCTGCAGTGCTTGTACCAAAGGTCTTACGATGATTACACAGCCAGACGGCGTGCGTACATCGCCTGGTATCACAGAAAAGATGTACCACATAGTAAGCATAAAGGTATCGTGCGAACTTGAAGCACTAGGAAGGTGGTCCGGGTTATACGTATAGTACCAAGCCTCCTTTGTTGGATTAGGGTTTGTCCCGGGAGCGTAAAATGATACGGCCGGCATGTGTCGCTTCATGCAGATAAGCAAGTAAATGAGCAAAGGATTTTCATCGCGTTCGTAAGTCAATGAGAGGATGAGAGTAGGCAACAAAAAGCTTCCGCGGAATCGACAATATTGTCAAAGCGCGACGCGTCAAACTCCGCGTGAAAAATTGAGTGCGCGGATCGCCAGCGGAAGGGCGCGCCACATTCGAACGTCGTCACGCCACAATATTGACTCGCCTAGAATAATACAGAAGTATGTAGAATCAAAGATTGTAGACGGTGCTTGAGATTTTAATACGTGCAACGCGAAACAATAGCAAAAAATAACTCGGGTATAAAGCAATCAAAAAAACAGGACTCGAACGATACTAAAGGATACAAGATACGCGCATACGCTGGGATACAAGGATACAATGTAAAAGCCGACTCAGGAAGCCATGTCCAAACACAGGAAGCTGGATTAATGGTGTGAATTTGACGCCATCAGTTGCGGTGGAGCCTCGCACATGAAACCTATGACTTTTGAAAAAAGTAGCGTCAGAATGAATGCTGCTATGATGGAGGAAGCACGGAACGTACGATACAAGAACAGTTCGATGATACTTGCGACCTCAATGAAGGGTGTGTGAGCCTGTGGACGATCCTTCACCTCGATCATTTATATCACGCCCGGTCATCAACATAGTGCTTCTTCCCATCCACCGTAGCTCAACAACTTCTCCAGCATTGTGCCCAGGCCCTCCGAACGAGATGTCAAAGGGCAGTGCTTGCTCAACGGATTGTGTGATGCTCGAGGATTGTACGACGACTCCAACGGGTTCCATAGCGTCGAGGTAATCACACAGACAGTCGAGCGCACCAACAATGTTGGAGCGATATTCTCGACGGGCGGCCAGCACAAGCCTCAACATTCCTGTAAACATTGATGGATCAATAAAAGAGAATGACGCAACCATGTAGCTACGAACCTGTCAAATAACGGAACAGCCCTGTGGAGTAGACTTTTGTAAGGGCCTGGTCCTCGAGTGAAGAGGCATCCGACATACCAGATGAAAGGCCACACACTGCCCTCGCCATACTTCTCCACCCACACTTCCACAGAAGGAACCCAGTCACGAATATAATGACGACGCATACTAAATTTGGTGCATAGTAAGCGCCGGCATAAATATATCCATAAAATCAAGCGGACACACCGACAGCGACCGCGACCTTGACGGCATCGAACAAGTCCAGCCCCTGTGATTCGTCACCTCCTTCATCAGGCTCGGTATCGAAGTCACGAGCGCCCCCTATGGAGCTGTCGTAGACCGGACTTGGAGAAAGGTTGGCGACGATGACAAGAGAAAGGAGAAAGAGAAGAAGAGCGGCAAGCATGGAGAAGGGTAGAGTTGGTGGGGGCGTACAGAGGACGTGGGGAGACGCAGCCACTGGGCTCAGAGCCTTTAAAGACTGCAGTGTGGGATGATTATTGGATGCGATGCACTCATCCTAGGATGACAAGTTGGCGCAGTGAATTCACGGGCTCGTAAGACATGCTCACATCTAGTGTTTCTATCTCCTTTGCTGGGCACTATGTGAAAGTCGGAGGATGTGGTAGCGTCCTATATTTGAACCAGAGGACTCCGAGGGACGGAAGATATTATGTTGCAGGCACCCGACAACCCCTCCATCCTGGTGGCAATATGAAGTCGTCCATCTCCTGGTCGTCCCGATTCCTCGTCCGCGCCACCCACCTCCTTCAGAGCGACCTGATCGAAGTTTCGGAGGAAGAAAAAGCCTGTGCAACAGGAAAGAAGAACGGAGAGGGCCTAGAGCAGGAAGAGTTCGAGGAAAGGACAGTGAGCGCTTTACGATTAGCTGACGGGCTATTTGCGGATGGAAGATTATGACGACAGGCGCGCTACGGTCGCCCGACCCTCAACAACCCCTCAACTCGAAAGGCGCACCGTTGTCGATGCGGCACTGAAAATAAGCGTCTGCCATAAGAGACGTCAAAGTACCAGGTTGATGGAATGTAACACTAACCAATTCGGTGCACGCCGGTCTGATAACAGAGCGTAACTTGCTTCTTCCACAGAAAATTTAGCCCTATGTCTCGAGACGTCCGAAGAACCCGTAGATTGATCAAGCAAGCGCTTGTGGCGTACCCAGCTGGGGATGTCCAAAGGAGCTCAAAGAAAATCGGGTTCCCAAGAATACCTACGGCGATCAGTGAGATACCATTCAGGTGGTTCCTTGTAAAAGGCGCGGAAAGAATCATGATGAGACGGCAGGACGGTGTGTCAAACGAAAGGAGATGTTTCGAAAGAACTCCTCTGGAACGGTGGGCGCATGACAGTGAATGGAGAGAAGTAAATGCTATTGCGAAGACGGAGTCACTGATGCATAAGTACGAAAACAAAAAAATGTTGAACAGATATGGATAGTCGCCGGACGGGCGTGAACCCTAAAGGCTCTTGACTTCTCTTGGCGATGAACAGAACCTAGAACGCTTGGGGAGAAACAACAGCAGTAACACGGAAGACGGCGAGGTACTGAACTTGTGGGACCAAGGTCCTGAAGCCGAGGTCATGCGAGGCATATGAGCCGATTGGGGGTATAGGTCCTGAGCAGCGTCAAAACGCAAAATGACTGTGTGCATAAGCGAAGGGTGGTCAGTACGATCCAGACCCGAACAGGAAGTGGTGAGTGCATTACGCAGAGGGCCACTGACGCCCCGTCCCGGATCCTTTCCACTACCCGTCACTCCCGTTAACAATCTGGGGAACGGTAGCTCTCTCCCTTCCACCCTGCCTGATATCTTTCAACCTAATATCTTCGACTGTGTTCTCCTCGGCCGGCGCAGGTGCGCGAACGACGACGGGCGCTGGACCGCCATCCGCAAGAGTGTCGAGTCGGCTCACGATTCCGGAGGAAGATAGGAGGTCGCGTGGCCATTGCCCGCCACGTTCGCTCGCTTCTACATCTTGCATCAGTATGTCTCTTCAGAGAAATCAGAATTTTGACGTACTCTTGATGGCTCTGCGAGATCCTCGACATCGGCGACGACCAATGTAAAACATAGCTCCAACAGCAATCAAGAACAAGACTAGAAACAGAATAAACATTTAGGTAGAAAAGGGTGTGTTACGAAAGAACTGACTGGCTGCGAAAACCATCCATCCGATGGTAGACTTCTCAATACGGGCAAGGATCACGTCGTCAGGTGTTCTTGTATCGTTTGATGCCGACTCTGAAGCATTTTCGAAGCCGGCACCGATGGTAGAGAATGAGAGAATGGTGAGCGACACAGATAGACCAAGCACATTCCAAGCACATATGAGATGATTGAAACACATCTTTGGCGCTGTTGGTTTAGATACAACTGGATGAAGTGCCTATGTGCGAGAGGTTGAGGCGAAGTGAGAGCTCGCTCTTTATATAGTGAACTACAAAGCGGTGTATCCTTGGGGAAATATTCCATCGAACAAAGGCGCTGCGTCACCTGCCTCGTCACTGTACCATGTGTAACACTCTCCAGCTGAAAGCAATACATCGTGGCAATGGATGATGTTGAACAAGCATGATTACATGTTGTATATTCATGTCGAGAGACGCTGGTTCGTTCCGGATCGTCGCGATGTGGGTAGCCAATGTGCGACCGCCTCACAAACCCATCTAAGCGGCTGACCTGCAGGAAGTCCAAGTATGCCGAAAAGCAGGCGCCTAATTCTCCCCGAGGACAGTCCTGAGAACTGAGCCTGTAGAGCTGTCCGCTCGCTTGAAGATCTCATCAGACAGGTCCTGCAAACCGTATTTTGTGTCGTAAAAGCACGGATAGAGTGCCGGCGTTGCCTGCAGCAGCGAGCAGTCCTGTAAGGGAAGACCCAGAAATCCAGGAACGATCAAGATCCGTATGTATACAGGAGCCTCGAGACATAAAAGAAACGTGTAAGTGGGGAGGCGGATACAGCGCCGGCCGCTACAAGTGGACAAAAGCACTCTATAAATTTATCTCACCGAGGGACGAGCTTGCCAAGGACATGATCACTGTACCACGCTGATGTAGTGGGACTTACAGAGCATTTGATGCCGACAATTCCGAGCACGAAAAAGTATAAATAACGAGCACTTTGCTGAGCCTCGTCCGAGCGCCACGGCCGAAGATGATTTAGAGGGCAGGAAAGTAAGCACTTGAGAAGCCTATTCGGAGAACTTGGCCGTATTATCCAAATCTACCTAGCTTAGAAGGATAAACGAACGAGCAGGAACGAGCTAACCGTTGCTATACAGCCAAGGCTGCATCAAGACCCGACTAAGTAATAGCAGTCAACCCAATATCTGTTGTTATACTTGGTACACGCCATTACAACGTGTAGACGCGGCTATAGCAATATACCGCTCCTTCGGTGCTGATAAAAAGTTTTGTTAGTCGGAGCGAGTCAGTGAGATACCAGCAATCATACAAGACCGGAGACCACTCCCGAAGCAATACACCACTCTGCTCATCGCCTTAGTTCCGTCGACGCGGAGATGTACGTGGGTAGCCGAGACAACGACGTTGTGCTCTGTTTGGGCTGCAGTTTACACAGGATGCGATCAATTATGTAGATCTGAGGAGCAATCCAATCGTCCGGGGTGGCACACTGTCATGTTACTGCACGAAGATGTAGATCGAAGTCATGATGCGGTAAGTGGCCGTGTCTGACGAGGCAATAATAGCAAACCAACATGCAGCTCTAACGAGGTTAGCGTTTTCTACCCAAATGAGAGGCTACTTGGATTGCATGCGCCCCGACTCCCGCCCTGCGGCTTCAGGGGCTGACAGGCGATTGCTGTCACAGAACGAACAGTGCATGCTCCACCCTAATAGTACTACCCGGGGTAAGTTGAGCATCCCAAACCAACGTCTCGGTTCGGTCGTATATTTGAGTCGGAGTCCAGCCACCACGGAACTCCGGCAACTCCGTGGCCCTCAGAGTTCCGGATACGGTGGAGAGACATGTTTCTACCGCGATAGCCTGGAAACCCCGAGGGAGAGAGCAACATATACACGAGTCTTGATGATGGATTGGGCGATAGGTGGTGGTCATTGAGCTCTGATGGCCTATAGTTAGAGATTTATACCCCGTGATGACTGCTGTTGGTCGGACGGTAAGCGCGGACCAGAAAAACAAAGCCCAACGTACCGCCAAAGTACTGTATACATGCCCGGGTCGCATAATGTATTCCTCTGGTGCCGCTCACGATCGAATGGTCCAGCCAAAAAGCGCCACCCAAGTATGATAGACTGGAGTGCGAAGCTATCGAAAGTGGTTTCATCGCCACGATGGAATGCCTCGGAGGTCTACTAAGGAGACGCTCGTTGCAGAAGGGCACGGAGAGAGGACAAATCCGTCCTTTCGCGAACAGACATGACTTCATGGGTTATCGCGCATGATTAACCATTGTAGACCGGCCGGTCTGCCTCAGATAAATCGCAGCCTGCGTCTTTCAGTCAGAATGCTTAAGCTCGATGATTTCGAAGAGTGTTCGAACAAGGCGCGGCCGTATTCGGAACCACATATGCGAACTGATTCAGGGATCCAGAACTGATCTCAAGACTGTTTCACCAACAAAGGTGACTTGCAGTCTGACAGGCGAAGGTATTGCCCCCAGAATACCCAGGATTGAAGATCGAGCAGATCCGAATTTGTGTATGACGAAAGCAGGACGCTGATTCAGACTTTACTCCTTTGGGTATCTCGCATTCCTACAGAGCTAAAAACGTGCAATAATAGTACGACGTACCTGAATAGCACTGGCTCAGAACTGTAGGACCAGTGGCGATGAAACCGGGCGGTGTAGCACGAGGAGAGTGTTGGGGGAAGAGAAAAAGCCTGCCGAAATGGCGCATTACCGATAGGGCGAGTTTGTTTTGAGCTGTTTTGTGTGGCGTTATGAGGGCCACATCTCCGTCGCGACTCGGATTTGACGATTGTCTCGAGTCTCTACCATTGGCTTCCTGAACTGTCGACACTCCCAGTTTCTTTCCTATATGATCTGGGCCATGCTCCAAGATAATACTAGATACAAAACGATTCATGCAGTTCTTTTCACCGGGTCGATTGCCAGTTTTCGAGGATAACGAGTTGACTCGAGGACGTCAACCACCTGGGGCAAGATGCCAGCGAATTTACTGATACCAATCGCTAAATTACTGGGCGATATACACCGCGACCTCGAAAACTGAGCCATACAGCATATACTTGATATCAGGAGAAAACATCAGGAGAAAACAGGGGTCTCAGGACAGTACCTACGGTCATGAAGGTACGGTTCTTCTAATCTGAAACTTGGACGCACTCCGGTCTCACCTCCATCGTTGAACAGGCCAACAGGCCAGATTAAAATACAGCCCGAGAATGACGCTATCAGTGGTCTCAGGCTCTTTGAGACTGTCCTTCCTCTGGTACCCTCAACATCAGTGCACACCCCGCGAAGGTTGCGTACGTCAAGCTGCCACGCAGTCCGCGCAGGTTGCCCACCCAGATCCTCGGAGATGTTGTATAATCTCCCAAGCATGGACTTTGGCGATGATCCCAAATTGATGTCTCGTCCCCTCATCACTCCTTTGTCATCATCTTCTTTCTCGGTTCTTCACGGTGGTTCTACTGTTACTTTTCAGTATGGGGTACGTTGAAATTTTTTACACCCCCCATTTCCCTTCTCAGTGAAATATTACTGATTCTGTCTTGTTCTCGTCATTTATACAGGATGGTAACTCCGATAGTCGCTGGCTTACTCGTTCGACCTCAACCTCGACCACCACCTCCAACGGAAACCACCGCCGTGGAGTCGGCTCGCCCGAATCCATCTCCAGCAACAATACCATCACCCGAAGCACGTCAAACTCCACCCTCTACCCGCCATCTACCTACGTACCACGCCACATTCCACAATCTACGACATCATATCCCTCGCCCTCGCTCCCTCAATTGCCGGCCTTCGTCAACGCAAAGATATCAAGTTTTGCTTCGAATTTCGATCTACGGAGGGCGGCGAGTCAGATGAAAGATCTACCGTCCGTTCCCGATATGTTGCAGGCTCCGCCGAAGGGCCCGGGTGACAGAATGGGACAAGAGGCGACGAGTATGAGCAGAGAGAGCTCGAGGTCAAGCGAGACAGAATGCTCCGACTTGGAGGAAGAAATGCATGTGCATACGTTCAAGCTTCAGGAGCAGGAAGAGCATTTTAGTCCCATCCTCCTTACTCCACGTCTTGGTCCAGGTCCAGGTCCGAAACTTACTGGTCCTCAGCCGTCCGCTGCTTCTTGGTTCTTCAAGAACACCGATACCCACGACCCATTCACCAACATCGTGGATGCTCTCAACGCACGCCCCACGAACTCACGCATCGACACAGATACCAGTCTTCCCTCCCAGATGCCTACGCCAAACTTTTCCCGTTGTCCCTCCCAGTCCCGAACGACTTCGAACGACGTCCGCTCGCATGCCAACGCCTTTTCGAGGCTGTATACTACCTTCGGCTCCCTTGCACATTCGAACTCGAAGAAGCAAATGTTCGTACCGAGAGACGTGGGGCTACCCTCCGGAGAGTTCATCGCTGGCAGTGCGATGTCGAGAGAGACCTCGGTCGCTTCTTCCAATGCGGACTCCAACTCCAACACTGGCGCTAATCTCACTCCCACGCGTACCGCTTCCGATATCAGCTCGAGGTCGAGTTCGGAAGACGGGCAGACTACCATACGACCCTCGAACTCGAGGGTTCAGACTGGCGAATCGGACTCAACGCTAAAGGGCATCGCTCCAGCCGACAAGTTCACGGATAAGTGGGTCCGTCCACGGTCAACTCGACGGATGGCCGCCTCCGCATCGTCGGGTTCAGTCTCATCTCGCGGACACTGGCTTTCTCGAAACTCGACGTCGAAGTCATCTGCATCGCGGTATTCACTGCTCTCCGGCGCTGGTGCCGATAGCCTCTCGTACTCACAATCTCACAAGGGCCACAATGGTGCTGCGTCCAATGTATTCGGCGCGAATGCTGCTGGAGCTGGTATGACCATGCTTGGGGTATGGGAGATGAAGGATCTGCTCACTGAGGAAAGTGGGTTGGGACTGGATCTGGATGTGAGAGGGTCGTGGACGATTCATAAATGGTGTTTGTTCTTGAGTGTGTTATCGGTGTTGGCGTTGGGGATCGCCGGTGTTGTGGGCTGTGTGTTAACGTGGTTTGCTGGTACGTTCTCATTCCTGCTACTCTTTCTACTACCTCAATATCCCTTCTTTCTGATCGTTGATCGTTTGCCTCGCTTTTCTGCACATCTAGCTTACCCATTGGCCCCACCCCTTATAATAACGGACGTCGCCGCCCTGACACTCCTGACTCTTTCGAGCTGTCTGCTCCTCCTCGCATCTCTCTTCGGCCTCTCCGGTACCCTGCTCAATTCTCGCCAGATTCTCGCACTCTACACCCTGCTCCTCATTCCCGCATTCATCTCCTGGACCTCCATCGGCTACCTCACCTACAAGAAATCCACATTCAAGCTCGACAGAAAATTGAGCGAGGCCTGGTTCGGCGTATACGGTGACCCAGGCCGAGTCCTCTTGCAGAGCGCGCTGGAGTGTTGTGGATGGGTCAACGCGGACCATGGTGCGGTTTTCTCGCCCGGTGGAGGTGTTAGTGCAGGAGGGATGTGTTGGCCGCGGACGGTCCTTCCCGGATGCGAGGGTCCGCTCATCCGATTCGAGAGGGAGGTGCTCGGGACCATCTACGGCGTCGTATTCTCGGTCGTTCCGCTCTTGTTGATCAGTATCTGTGTGGCGTTGTTGTGTTCGAATCACGTCACACAGAGGTTCGGGAAGGGCATCATGCCGCGGAAATATAGGCTGAGCGTGAAGGACCTGGAGGTTCTGTGGCGAGAGAGGGAGGCAAAGGCTGCGGATGAGGCGAGGAAAACGAAGGAAAGGAAGGAGGCGTTAGAAGAGTTGAGAGAATTGGGTGGGGGCGAGGGTTTGGGTTTGAGCGAGAGTACGATGACGTTGGCGTCGACTATCTCGAGAGCTTCGCGGGTGGGAGAGGAGTTCGCCGCTGAGATGCAGGCCATGAATGAGATGGGATTGAGCGTGCCGAAGAATGTGTCGCGGGGGACGTCGACTGGGTTGGGTGTAGGGAGGTTCAGGAATGGTGACGAGGGTGCGGACAGACAGTCTCAGGGTACAAGAAGAAGAGTTTCTGCAAGGCGTGGGTAGTGGTATCGTCAATTACTATTATACATCACAATGTTTGGAAGTCTGGGCGTGTCTATTCGCATGATAACGCGCTGAACATACTCCCCTGGTGAAAATGCGCCACTGTGGCGGAGACTCGGACTGGAAATTTCAATCACATTGATTATTGATATCATGATCATTGAGGCCCAAAAGCGATACATATGCACACATGCAAACGTGGTTACCTCGTACTCAGATCGGGTGCATCAAGCTTAACTCTGTCATGAACGTCATTGCGTCACTCCTATACGTGTCATCGCTCAAAGCCCTCGGGATGAGACCGTCGAGGAAGGTCATCATCGTCGGTGTAGAGTTACTGTATTGGGGCCAGTTGAGGAGACCGCCTGTCACATGTTTCATGCAATAGACACAAACAGAGTCAGAGAAGAGTCGTCAGCGCGAACCATAGCTCAGACTTACCAGTGGCGACGCCGGCAGAGTTTGTGTTTGGGTCCAGAGAGTTGACGAAGTTGACGAGGTAGGTGGCCATATCTCCTCCACCGTAGACGTTAAGGATGTCGGAGGCATGGAACTTTATGATTAATTATGAGTATAGGCAGTCAGTCAAGTAAGTGTCAGGACAAACAAGGTGAAAGGTGAAGAATACTCACCGAGCCAAGAACGGGTATCGCTTTGTTTCTCTTACTCACTACGGTTATATCGTGTCATAATATCACGTATTACCAGACAATCAACCATGAGTACTCGGTCTGTTTCGAAAGCGTCGAATATGAAGCGAAAAACAGCTTACAAAACGACCACTGATCGCTCTTTCCGCTCATCTGTCCCTGGAAGAACCTCCTCGGCGCTTGGAATACCAAATCACCTTGCATTGCCGCCAGTCTCTTGAACTCCGGTGTGATAGCGTTGAAGACACTCGTGTCGAAAGGAGAGCCATCGGAGGCGTCGGATGGGTACAGCGAGAGGAGTTGGGAGATTTCGGAGGAGGTGCCGGTGGGGAGATAGATCTCGGAGACATAAGTTGTGACTTCCGCATCGGTGCTGCCGAAGCAACAATGTCGAAGATTATCAAATTAAAATATGCATGACTTGAAGAATTAAAAGGGCTGTGACGACATACGTAACATTGAGATTGGATAGACTGAAGAGTGTTCCTTCATTCAAATACGCAATCAGCGGTCTTACTTTGAGACTTACTGATCAACCACAACGTACATAACGTACCTTCATCATCACAATCGCCTACACGGACCAAAGTACAGATCGTGGTCGTCACAATGCTGCAAATAAGCACATCCATAGACATAGTGGAAGCACGTACCATTAACAAAGGGTATATTCGCTACGCTGCCCTGGAGCACCAACTGCTGTGGTAAATCTTCCAGAAAGACCCCATCTGCCCTTGGTAGCCACGCCAGAGACAAACTCTGTAATCAAACTCTACACTTTAGTTACAGTTCATTTGTGGTAGATCGGAGTATGATTCGATCCACCTGATATGAAAAAATGGAAGGACTCTGGTTGACTGCGTCCAGTAAAGTCTGATACTCCACTCCCCTCAGGCACTCCAACGTGTCAGAACTTCCACTGCAACCAGTCCTCTCGACGAGATCGTCGTAATATGGTTGACCGCCTGTGATATCACCTACGGGGATAGGGGAGCCCGATTCCATGAAGGCGCCGCGGAAGAGACCTTCTGTGTCCCCGCCGTTTGTTAGCATGTGTAGTGCAATGGAGATAGCTCCAGCGGATTCGCCCCAGCTATACGAAAGTAGAGAACACGGAGTAGGAAGAAAGAAGATCAACATCTCCATATAGGTGCAGAAGCAATATTGATGGTAGGGAAGTAGTCGAACGAACATTGTGACTTTGGTAGGATCGCCCCCGAAGGTGCTAATATACTTTTGTACCCAGCGGAGTGCCTCACGTTCTGGTGTAGTATATGATATATTCAGCAACTCGGGCGAGGAAGCGTCATGGCATGTGGAGCATAGTAGAGAAGCTCTTACGATCTTGCAAGCCCAAGTTGCCAACTCCAGCGTCTTTCACTTCCTGACTGGCCAAGAACCCGAAAGCTGGTGATCAGTTCGTAGCTTCAGTCGAACAGTAAAACTGATATCAAATACTCGAGCTCCACTCACCGGAGACACTGCGTGTTGCGTCAAACAAGGAAAAGCAACGAATGCATATAGGCAGTGCACCCAAGGCAACGAGAGTTGCTTACCGGTATGCCATGCTCACGTAGACTACCGGCTCGCCGAGGTCAATGGAACGTTGAACGATACTTGTCCCGTCATACCTGAGTCAATAATTGTCAGTAACGTACTCCAGATGATTTGTTCCAACGCGGCAAATGGCGTACATAGATGGTCCGCCGAGTTCAAAGCCACCTGTACAGAGGCGGTCTTCAGTCATGATATGATAGATTCTACAGTGATGGAACTGACCTCCGAAGATCCACTACATGATAAAGCCGTGATCAGAACCTAAGATTGCACCATACATAGGGAAGTTGTGCTCACCACAGCGACAGGCAGCGCAGAATCATTTGCTGCACTAGACGGCTTGACTACATTGATGTACAAGCCTGATCGTAGGATTAGTCTCTCAGTACCAAGCCCCATACCTGTTCCACTCGAAACAATATTTGGGAAAATACTCGCAATCTTCGCTATCCGGGAAAACGACCCCATAAACCGTGTTCAATAAAGCGTCGACTGCTTCCTGAGCCAGAACATCAGATATAGGCAGGGTCAAGTCCTGCTGAGGGCATGAGGGCGCCATAGCAGTGGCATCAAAGGTGCCAGTATAGGCATCGACGCTTTGAGGAAGTCGGAAGCGTAGGTCGCCTGTTCTACAATACGTAACATTAAGAGCATGAGCTGCAGCAAGCAATCAACGGAGCGAGAATTAGGGGAGCATGGGCGGTTAAGATATCTGATCTGCATTTGCAGGATGAGGGTGGCAAATGGGAGGCAAAGTAGGCTTACGGAGGTTGGGCAAATGGTATGCCAAGGAACTTATCAATCGTGCCTGTGGTCGTTCCGGTGAAAGTCCCATCATCGAGCTTAATGGTAGGGTTGGCTCTTTTCGATGTCGGTATGGCCTCGACTGACATCGTGGAGAACCAGAGAAGTGACAGGCATAGAGACAGAAGAGTAAGCAGAGCGGTCGGGCGTCGTGACATCGTGTTTCACGAACAAGACGACGGTCTTGACAGGACAAAGGAAGTGCTGCGCGACGAGAGCAGAGAACAGACACACGTCGTTCCACCCGCGCTTTCCTCCAAAACGCGCTGCAAGACTATATAGTGCTCCACCGAGGGGGATCAGCGTTGAAAACACGAGGATAGTGGACCAGCCAAGGGGACGTGCGCATATTCGCAACTCACACACCGGCAAAAATCAAGACGGATTTGAGGCCGAGTTGTAAGCGATTGTTCATCAACCTGAAGAAAAACTAGGAACGGAATTCAAAGGTGCGAGGTCCCAAAGGTCTTCGGAATCACAAGCAAGATGATACAAGGTCATGAGAGTGGACACGAGAGCTCAAAAGAAAGAAGGCCATGTGAAGCACAAAGGTCACTAGCGTACACAGGAGTCGAGGAAGTAAATGATGTCCCCCACTTTTGCCTAGTAAGTCGTGTGAGCAAGTCAACAGGTACAGGCTGATACGAGCTGCGCGGAAATATTACGGGGTGACTTGTCGTCCTCAGATTGAACTGTGAGAGAGGGGGCAGCTTCGACAGAACGGCATTCGTTCCTGCGTAACATGAATGAAAGCAATGTGGCCCATAGAAGCAGGCGGATACGGAGGTATCTAAGTGAAATGATGAGAACCAAACTACCGCGGACTATTCGGGATCGTCGATGAGTGATGTCAGTGCTTGACAGTCAATCGATGCGCTTTTTGTCCAACACGGAGACCTAGAGTTTGGCTCTTCCAAACACAGGATTACCAGAAAGTTATGAACCTCTCCTAACCTCTCCCAGCTCTCTTGGAAGAAACCTGACAGGGAAGGACAGTCTTTGTGTGCATAAATGGAACCGAAACAGACAAACACGATTGAAGCGCAGACTAGCGAAGGTCATGTGCCTTGCTTGACATGAAGGCCGAGTGATGGACCAAGACGGTACCGAGCCAACTTGGCTTCAGCTGATTCGCTCCCATTCTTCGTTCAAGAACGTTTTGAACGTTATCGCACAACCAAATTAAACACCCTGTTCAGCAACAGGACCACCTATAAGTTATTACCTTGTGAGGGCCAATCGACGCAGCAGGACTCGCCGTGATATCCAACGAGAGGAGAGGGAATTCGACGCAGAGGTTATATCTCCGAGTCTCCAGTCACAGAGATGGGAAGAACTGCAAGAAATACGTACATCTTTCGTCTCCAAAGCGACTGTCTGTATAGCGCATGGCATTGGTCTAATACCTTTCCCGCAACTAGGAAAGAATAAGGAAAGATAGGAACGTTCTTACCTACGGTTTGTCTACAGCTGGCCATCCATCGTCCATCCGACTACGTATCCTCCTCATCCAGCGATGCTCCAATTCTCTCAGCGTAATCTTGAGCACTATCTCATATGCAGTTCTTCCTTCATCACCCGTCTCCACTGCAGTTGTCGATTCCGACGTACTATTCGCCTTCGAATGGAGTGACCCCACCATCTAGACTTCTGTAGAATATGGACTAAGTACCATCACCCGGACCTCCAGGATTGGGCCAGAATATGGACAGTGCTGGATTTAGCTCTGGGGGCCCCTACTTACCTGATCATAGACAGAAGAGATGAGTGACGCTGATGTAGAGGTTCGGGCATGATCGGAAAAGCATATTCACTGTTTGTGCTTGTTTTGATCAGAAGCCATCGAAACGCCTGAGTCGCAAGCAAAGACATAGTGGCCACAAAATTCAATATACAAAGGAGCTATGTAAACAAATTCCGCCATAAATACAGAGAAGATCATGGCCCCCCGGGTTCAGTGTGCTTGTCGAATCAATACACCAGCGCACACACGATGTCCAGGTACCCAAACTCTCTTGCTTCTTCCTTCGTGAGCGCCACCCAACTGAACTTCCCTCCTTCCTTCTCTTTTTTCATCTCGCCCCGCAAGTCTTCTTTTCCACCTCACACCGCGGGACAAAAACATGTCCATATTCCACCCTAGTCTTCAGTTTCTCCAACCACAAATCATGCCTCGACCGTGGCCCCTCCCACCTTCATCTGGACCTTTGCTCAACGCCTCAACAAGCTGGCGATCATCGGTTAGATGGTGAGATACCATGAGTGTCAAGTCTGTATCGACAGCAGGCAGAAGATAGAAGACAGGGATGGCACCGACGAAACATTGACGTTGTAAGGGGGAGAGGCTGGCGAGACATTTTGCCCTGTGGTCGGGTATCCCATCAAGGAATGATTGGAACTCTTTGTCAATGCCTTCAGTTATTTGGTTGCCTCCAATATATGGCATCCCTGGCCTGATGTAGAACTTCAAACTTGTCCTGGGCCGTATCTCTGCTGCCTCTACACGAAACAATTTCGCAGGATCTCCATCATGGTCACCCCTGTGAGCTAACTGAAAGGAGAGATAGTGTGCGTCAAAGTCAAAGCCATTGACGGTATCGTCGGGTCGTGTATGACAGATCGCAGAGTAGGAAGCCTGGTAGAGGGACAGCTCGTGCATGTCGAACCAGGATGCGAAGGATTGAAGGGCGTCGTTGGTTTCTTTCGTCCGCGTCTTCTCTGCTGTACGTCGGCAGACCGATCTTGGAGATAGGGTCATTGTGAGGGCAAAAGAAAGCAGTGATGCAAGGTGGACATATCGGTTTGCAAAGCTTATATGAGTATTTGTGGCAGGGAATATAACACGGACGTACTTCTGCGCAGGCCAGTCCTTAACCTGACAATCCTTGCTGCAGTAAGCAACGATCCTAAAACGTCCGCATGCCTTGAGTTTGGTTTGTGGCTTCATGTGGTATACTCGTTTGTAACACCCTAGACACAGGGTCCTATCGGCCAACAAAGGAAGCGATTGTCTGGTTTCGGATGGGCCGCCTCCGACGCCATCTACCTGACGGTCAATGGTAGGTTCTTCTGGATTAGTGGGATCGCCTTTCCCTGCAGAACTCATGGTCGACGCTGTGGGCAGTCGTGATAATGATGTGCTGAAAATTGTTGGAGGTCAGCTCAGGCATTTGGATGTCCGGGGAGCCGATAAACAGGACTGCATTTGCAGCATCAACTGGGACGGACCGAGTGCTTTCAACATTACGGCCGTCTCGAACCTGACGTTCGATGCACTCCGCACTGCTACTCTCCGCTTCTCGCAGTAACGATGATTGAGAAGATATTGACTCACCTGGGTCCGTCTGCGATCTGGGTAACGGGAAATTAGGTGGTGATCTCGCACAACCAGGAGGACGAGAGGTGATGGAAGTTCGATACAAAGAAACAACTAGGAAACTTGCCGGAAATATGGAACAATTGAATCCCCCAAACTCGGCATCGGCCGGTGCCATTACGAAGTACACCACGCCACAACGTGCCACATCGCACATAAAATGAGGTTGATGGACATGCATGATGTAGAGTGAATGAAAAACTAATGAAAATGTTTCTGAAGGCTGACAGGTTTGACGACAGTAAGTACCAGCAAAAAAAGACCTCAGGCGAGTTTTAGATCTCTCACCGTCAATAGCTCAACCCAGACACGATATGTTCATATCCGTGTCTTCTACGTTCCTCGCTCATCAGCAGAATCCAGTGGAATTTCCCTCCCTCCTCCTTCCTCCTCATTTCGCCCAAGCCCGCCTCCAACGTGCTCGACCACGAAGACCTCTCCAGCCTGAAGACATGTCCCAGCTCAACTCTGTTCTTCAACCTTTCCAACCACACTTCGTGTCTCGGCGGCGGCATAGTGCTTCCCAAAACGAATCTGATGAACTCCGGCATGCCGTGCAACAGAACCCGATCGTCGCTGATACGGCAAAGTCCTACAAAATTCAAGCTGTAGCGACCAGGAATGACGACGGAGTAGCAGATGGGGATGATGCCGGAGAAGAATTCGTGCATCGATGGATCGAGATACTCGAGATACTGGGCGGTATGGTGGGGTATGGAGGCGAGTATTGAGTCGCGTACGTCCTTCCATTGCGCATTCTGATCGCTTCCGGTGCGTCTTGAGACTTGGGCCCCTCCCTCGCCTCCATCCTCCTCGCCTTGATCATCTCCGTCACCTTCCAACACGAATGCTTGATCCTGCGAAACAGTTCTGTCCTCACCCTCATAAAATTATTCTTCAGTGTCGTCGAAGTTCTCGACCTCAAACATCCACTCTCGAGGCCTGATCTTCCCCGCCTCCACGCGAAACATCTTCGCCGGGTTCCCGTCATGGTCGTCTCTCGCAGAGATTCGGTAGCGAGAGAGCTTACTTATGAACAGACCAATCGCTGACTTGGCATTGCCTACTACAATAGGCCACCTTCTTACATCGTGTGCAAATCTTGAGTTTGGCGTTTAGCCCTAGATCACTTGCGTCTTGAAAGCATCTAGCGCAGGTGAGATTACGCTTTTCTCCGCCTAATGTGGATTGTCTTGGGAACGAAAAATCTGAGGGTGAATCGGCCGGCGATACATCGCCTGCTGTAGATTCGGGGATAGCAGTGGGCAGAGTTGGAGGTCAGGCGTTAGGTGAGCTCATAGCTGGAAGTGCAGTGAGGAGAAGTGTACTGTATAAACGCTAAGAGATAAGTGTGTCAGTGCTCTTTCAGGTAGTTGATATCCTGCGAGAAGAACCGCGATGGTAGGCACTGTTTAGCCTAACGAGTACACTGTGGACATATACATTGCTCATCATAGAAAGAGACCGAAGAACACAGGTAGAACGTCAAGATATTCACGGTGAGTGGGCAGGTAGCTTATCTCGAGGTGTAGGCTCTGATCCCAGGTGCGAATCCAGGTCCATGAGACGCATCAAGAGCCTAAACGGGTCGGAAATTTTCACTCACCGGTGTGGCTATAAGAATCCTAAAACACCAAAGGTAAAGTGCAGAAACGTCGCAGAAGCAAGCAGGTCGAACGAGTCGTCAGCAAGACCAAAGATAGGAGCCCTCGGCGGACTTTGACAAGACATCCGTCTTTCGGCCTATGCCGAAGGATCCAGGTTGCGCCACACTGGGTACAGTGGGCCACATCTGCCTCCACGTCCCTGCCACGCATCTCCTCCGCTACACGAAAAGAGTAGAAACCGCAGTTAATTCATAAAATTACATAGTCACCAGAGAAGATGCCCGGACAACTTTTCATCATCAGGTTCAGAGGCAGAGATCTGCCTCTGCAGCTGCCAGGTCCATGCTTTTCTTCTTCCGACCCGCCCTCCTCATGTCTCACACCGGACTTGCGCTATACAAATGCATACATCGGACTATATCAGCAAAATCACCCTATAAAGATGACGAAAAAGGATGGTCACGAACCTCACAAACCCAGACAAACTCCCCGTGACCGTAGCCGTCGCCGTCGCCGACCCAGTAGAAGTAGTAGTGCTCGACGAATTTGACGAAACACCAGTCAGTTCGACAAGAGGATCCGGACATGTCGGAGCGGTGAGTACGTGGCCGAAATTCGAGGCTGCCCAGAGGACGACACCGTTCGTCCAGCCAAAGCCGGCCTGTTGTGCATATGCGTGGAGGTGAGGATGGATTGGTGTGTGCAGGTGAGGGGGAAGGGGTAGGCAGGAGGGATTAGAGCCGAAGTCTATGGGTAAAGAAATGGAAGGCGTACCTGGACGGTATACTCCCCTCCCGTCCCTCCGATATCGATATCTGACCTCGAGAACTTCTCGAACATCTGTATCCAATGAGCGAACCGACCTCATAGGTTTTTTGCCCGGGGAAATGCAAGACATGATGGCGAACGTACGTTTCCAGTGTTATTGATGCTCCCACTGATATTCAACGCCGCGTCGGAGAGACGAGGGAGTAAGCCTGGGAGGGAACCACCGGTCGAGTACCTATGTCAACGGTAACACGATTATTAGTTCTGTGCCGCGTTAGAAGCACACAATGACAACACAAACGAGAAAGAAAAAGATAGAAACTCACCAACTACAAAACGCACTCCCAACATACCGATTCGCCACCTCCCTCACCAACATATCTCTCCACCCCTCTCCTCCCGCAGCACTCCCACCATTCAACACCGTACTTCCATTCCCTCCACCAAGCAGATTAATATCCGCCCCCGGCCCCACCTTCGTCGCGTTCACCCCCGAGCTAAGTGGCGCGATCGGCTGGCCCGGCAATTCGTCCTCTGCAATACTGAGCTGGCCGGACGGGATGAGAGCGTAGGAGGATGCGTTGGTTGGCGGTGTGGGGAGGGGAGATGTTGTGAGATTTGAGGGGAGGGAGAGGAGGGCTTGGATTGCGATGTACTGGTGGGGTGGCCAGGCGTTGTCGTCCCTTTATGTGCAGGAGGAGTCGTTAGCATGAGAGTGAGGAAGCGAGAGAGGGAGGGGGGGAAAAGGGGGGACGTACCACTGCAGCCCACTCTCTATGAACGTGACAGGTAGCGTTCCGTTATACCTCTGCATCACCATATTGACTATCAAGAAAAATCAGCTTCTTCGCCGTTCAAGATGATGGGCATAGGCGGGGGAAGAAGACCCACCGCTCGCAAACGCGCCAAACGCATTAGTCTCGTTCGTCAAGATCTCATCAGGCACGATACCCACCCAAAACGGATAGAACGTCGCCATCGAGAAAATATCGTTCCGCCTGTTCAGCGCACCACACCAAAAACAACCACATCAACAAAGTTCTTGGTCGCGGTAAAATGTAGGCAGGAGGTAGAAGGACGGAAGGAGGCAAAAGGTGGGAAGGAGGCAAAAGGTGGGAAGGAGGCAAAAGGTGGAAGGAGATAAAAGGTGGGAAGGAGGCAAAAGGTAGGAGGGAGAGCACGTACGCGTCGCTCGTCAGATTATAGTCATAAAAGGCCAACTTCTCCGCATCCCAGAATAAGTCCAAAATGCCCGCTTTGATCGTTTCCGCGATCTCGAGATGCTGCGTCGCGAGCGTCGTCGCCGTTTCGTTTGAACTTGAAGGGTCGGAGATGGTGTAGAGCGAGGCGAGGAGGGCGTTGGCGTTGTCTGTTCGTGCAAATGCGATTAGATACTTCGTTCTCAGTTATCAGAGACAAGATGATAAAGGCAGAAAATGAAGGCGTGGGGAGGGTCCCGATGTAGAGGCATGGGAAGGAACAGAAGAAAGAGAGAGGGGAATGAGAGTTAACGCACATAGCAAACTATTCAAATCCACCGGGATCGTATTCTTCACATTCAAGCTCCTCAGCGCCGGGATCGTGTTATTACTCCCGCCCGCGAGCGGCTGCGACACGAAGCGAGTCGAGTAGTCCCATCCTATTTTCCCCACACCAATATCGTAGACCAGCAGGTTTTCAGAACCATTGGGTGGTCAAGAAGAGAACCATTTTGCGGTTAGCGGGGTCCCCGGTGGACAGGAAGGAGGGGGGAAGAGAAGGAGGGAGAGAAGGAGAGAAGGAGGGAGGGAGAGAGGGAGGGAGGGAGAGAACACCGACGGACAACAGAGGGCATGAGAAAACGTACCAGTCTCCGCACCGCTGGCTAGCTCAGAATACAATTCCGCTCGTTCCGTCTCGTTCAGCGCAGGCAGCGTCGGGTCGTTCGCCGTCTCGTAATCTAACGTTTCGTGTCGTCCAACAACCGACCATCAGCACACATTCGAGGAAAGGTACAATGAAATATGGTATTTCTTTATGAAGAAAAGGGGGAATGATCGTGGTGGCGGGTGACCATTGTGGCGAACAATGAAAGTGGAAATCCAAACTTAAAGCTGCGAAACGCACCAGTAAGATACGACTCCGGCCTCGGCGCAGAGTTCGTGACCGCATACCGAGCCATGTCGTACGTCTGGTTCGTGTATGAGCTCCGTACTTCGATCGTGCGGTTGTTTCGCCACCAGGAGAGTTCGTTCTGTGGACGATCGGGGTGGGTTAGCGTTAGAGGAGAGATGGACAATGGAGGAAAGAGGAAAGGGGGAGATGTGGAGGGATTGGCGTACCTCGGCGAGAGGAAGAGCGCGGGTGAGGATGGAGGTGTCGTTCGTTGTGGTCACGTAGTTGTAGAGCATCTGAGATTGTGTGTTATAACCCCATATAAAGAATGCAAAATCATGGATGTGGACATACGTGGATGAAAAGAGGTGGTTGAGACCGGTTGAGATCTGATAGACGTCAGTAAGTTCGGAAAATCGCTTGCTGATAACAGGGGAGAAAAGAAAGACTGACAATAGATACGACCTCCGTTGGGTATGAAACCAAGCGTCTCGATTTCGTCCATGAAGTTCTGAAGTGTCGAGTTCACAATGTCGTACAACTCCGACTTCAGCAGACCCTCAACGATCCAGAAACTATCCCAATAATCTGTCCACAAGATAAATGAGAACCACAACCACACCTCGTATCCAACCACTCGAATACGGAGGGGAAAAAACTCACATTGCTCCCTGAACCGTCCCCCCGGAATCACAAACGTATGATTCAACGGAATCAACGAACTCTCACACCTCTCGCTCGTCCCCTCCTCACAAACCGCACTCTCATTCGTCGACCTGATCAAATCCGACCAATACCCATTCACCACGCCCGCCCATGCATTCAGCACCGGGTCCGTCACATTCTGCAAAAACGCAGGAGTGGAATTGGATGACGAAGAGCCGAGAACGAGCGCCTCGAGCTCGAGACCCTCACCGCCGAAGTTGGTATCGACGAAGTTGAGGACAGAGCCTTCGGTGGTCGTCCCGTTCGAGTCTGTGGCGTTGATGGAGGCGAAGGCGGTCAGGACGGATTGGGTAGAGTTGAGTGTCGGTTTATCGACGAATGTTTTGGGGTCGGTGTAGAGTTGTGCGAGGTTGACAGTTTGAAGGATCTGTCCTCAACACTGGTTTGGGATGCTTGTACTTGGGCAGAACAAGATAGGGGCGACGTACCTCGCCTGCACAAAAGATCTCGCTCGGGCACCAAGCTTGGTGTGGCGGGAGCGGAACCTGGGAAGGTAATGTGGCGCTCAACGACGCGGTCGGGCTCGCTACCACCGTCGAGACCGACACGGTCGATACACTCGTCACCGTCGCCGTCGCTGATACACTCGTAGAATCAACACCAGCCTGAGGAGCAGTACGGGCCAGATCAACAGAGAAAGCTATAGTCGCCACTACAAGCGAGACCGCTCGAAAATTGGGAGACATTTGTGCCACACTGTCCAGGTGAGCGGGGGACGAGGAGTGGTGGAACAGAGAAAGTCGAGCGCGTCATTGTGATGCGCAATGGAGGGGTATTTGAGGGCGGGAGTTGGCGCTAAGACCCAGGTCAGGTGGCTGCTCGGCATGTGAGACCGCCCGTTGTCTCGCCCTTTTACATACGTACTGTGGACATGTCCTGGGCCTTGGCTTTTCTACAAAGTCAGCGTTGCTCGTCAGCAAGGACTGCAATCGGCGTTGTAACTAATGGTGTTTTGTTTAATGTTTTGGTTCATGGTGCACAATGAGGAGAACGTGGGAACCGAGTTGGAGACGTTGCGGGAGCAAACTGTTGGAAGCTAATGGCCTCCGAATTCAACAAGGACAAACAAAGACGATGTCACCCCTCCACTCCAGGCCAACTCGAGCACAATACGAATTTCCCAGGCAATTCCCAGGAGACGCTGACTACATTTCATGCTTGCTTTCTGTCCACACGGCAGTTTATGATCTTGTTCGTTGACAGACTTGACCTCTTGTTCAGCCCTGAATTTACCTACTGGTAAGCTCGCAGTTTTTTCCTATTGCGAATGCGCCTTGGACTTGTCTTCGGCGGACTTGTTTGACTTCACGATCCGGAAAGTTGGCTGGTGATCGTTCTTGTGCCAGCGCGAGGTAGATATAGTGATCATGAAGAAGGTGAAGACAAGGGATGTACGGTGGACGTAGCTTCCGAATGGCAGTGCTGAACTGGAAGATATTGGAGGAGAGCATACAACGTTAACTCGGCACTAGTCACTGGCCTCCTCGCCCCACCATGCTGTATGTACTGCTTTTCATTCTCGTCAGTTAGGGGTATTCTCAATGACAGTAGTGTTCATGTCTTGACTTCGAGCTTCAAGGTCAACGCTTCAAAGTCGAACATTGCACGAGATCGGGGGGTGCCGGCCGATCAAGGCGACCAGGAAATTTCTACATCGATATCACCGTGGTACTTTCGTTTGTGTGTGTCATCCTGTGCTTCCGCCGAGCTCATCCTGGGATCTGATTCGTTTCCGAGTAATTGTGCTTGTGTTGTTGGTCATTCGGAAGCGACGCCATTCCTGACTCGTCCCCGTCAGTACCTTGTTCACTCCAGATCAAATAGTCGCATCTTCATCTTGGACATCTCAGACCCGCACAACTCAGAAGTGGTACTCAGCTGTTGCACAATGCCAGTCTCCAGATCTACCGTCATCTCCGATCTTCCCTGCGAGATCCTCCAAAAAGTCGCTCTCTGCCTCCCCCGGACAGCAGACGTTTTCCACCTCTCGTTGGCTACTCGATACCTAAAGGCTTCTCTCACTGACCCCGTCCTGTTCAAGCGACGTCTCTCGCTTGCAGAGTGGGATGTAGAGTCGTGGGAAGAGGAGGACAGGGATCGTGTTGAGACTGAGGCGAAATACAGGCGCGCTCGGATCGTTGGATGCGTATCGATCATATCCACTCGAGAGTACAAGAATTATTCGTGGAAGGCTCTTCCTCCAGAGCAATAGCACCGCACGCCTCCCCTATGATCCTCAGCGGCCAGGGATCACACAACGGTCCGAACGAATCTCTTCGCGGTATCGCTGTTGAACAACGCGATGGCACAGCTGAACTTGGTCAGAAGATACTATGGCTGGCCAATGTGGGTCGCCTTCTCCCCGCAGTCATCATGCATCATCGTAAGTCCATCTACTGCCCACAAGCTTCCTGATGGTTACCAGTACGAATGCATTTGCTACCGATCAATATTTTGACAATTTGAACCCCAGGAGAACATAATCTCATCCAATTGACTTCCCCGCTGTTCTCTCCTGCGCGGTCCACGATCATCAGGGCCGTGAACGAGTTTGCTTTCGCGGACAAGCCTGAGCCTCAGTGGCAAGATGAAGCCATTATTCCGGCAGCATTATTGGAGCAGTTGTCCTTCTGTGTGACATTCATGTTCTTCGCTGGTACGTGCCCCTTTTCCTTTCCTCGGCGATTACAATCGTGCCCTGCCAGACAACATACTGACCCGATCATATGTATTACTTCATGATAATGATTCAAAGGTGATGCCTCCTCGTTGATTACTCGACCATCTCATCTGCCGCACAGTACTTCCATCCAATTTTACAATGCTCTATTAGGCTATGGCCATCGACATTCCCAGCGCCGCGGTCCCAGCAACATCGAATACCTTTCTCCGACTTCCGGTGCAGGGGATTATCCCTGTGACCTTCTTTCCAACGACCATCCAAGCTCCATTTTTATCTCCAAGCGATTCTCCGGTGCATTCATCAAGCTTGCATCTTTCCACGCTTATCTTGTACAATTCATCGCCGCCCAAGGCGCATTCTCTCCTAACCTTCTACCTCCGAATTTCGCCCATACCGTCGCACAAGGACCTCTGGTCGATCCTACCCCATGGCTAGCATGGTCTGACCATCACGAGGGCCCATGCGCTCTATCGCAGATATCTGAGCGGCCCTGGCTCGACCTGGGCCACGGTTCGGACAATGGCAAAGGATTCGGCATAGGGCGCATACTCTCTTTCTTGACGAACGATGACTCAGAGTGGGCAGGATACTACGTCTACAGCAACATGAGGCTCGTACGCGCCGATGCACCCATGCATTTCACTTTGCGCGCTACATCCATCGCATTGGCTTCCTCCGACACCTATTATGATGTGTCTGGGTCCTACCCGACACCCCCGCGCATATTGCACTTCGACGGCTCTGGCTCGGACGGTATCGCCGCTTTCACTCTCGTGGGGAGCATAAATCTGAGGACTGGACTGGTCGAGGCTGTGAAGGATTATGCAGGGTTGACGACAAGGTGGAATTGGGCGGGCGTTGTCACTCCGTTTGGGATGGTGGGGAAGTGGGGGGATCGTCACTCGTGGGGAGGATGGTGGTGGATTTGGCCGAGGAAGTGGAGTGAGTGAGAGGGAGCTGACCCTCACGAAAGACATGATGATCGTCAAGGAGAATGGAGCCGTTCAGTAGCGCGATGAAGGAAATATAAGCAGCCAAGTTCGGGCACGCGTCGTTATCTGACGCAAATAATGAACAACTATTCCCGAGCTCCCACGTACAGCCGTGGAAAAATCGTCAGGGTATTTCAGGCTCATACGTATGCGAATCCCAGACTCGGAAGGATATCCAGTCAGTAAGTGGTTCTACTTATTCGAAGCGGCAATATTTGAATTGGGTTCCGTTGACAAAGGAGGAGAGAGGAGGTTTTCGTTTCAGCATGTTGTGTGTGGGTTGATCTATTGAGCGGGTTGAGGTCTCGCTGATTACGTGAATGAAAGGTTGCCATTATTGCGTCTTGTTTATTCTCTATCCCCTCGAAAAAGTTCAAATATACTTAAATCAAACTACACGGACAAATTTCAGGCGAGGATTTGCCCAGTGGAAATAGCATATGCCAGTACCACATGGAAGAAGGGAACACACAGGTGTGGCCCATATGCTTGTGGCGCAACACCCGGCAGGCGCCGCAAGACAACGTTCAAAATCTCCAGTGCGAGCTCTGTTCCTCATCTTTCTTCACACCAACTACGAGCTCGGGTTGATCGCTTCTGTCGCATTTCCTGATTTCACTTCTCATTCGGCCCTGAATTTAGCTCCTGGTAAGCTCGCAACTTGTCCTCATTGTGGATGTGTCTTGGACTTGTCTTCGGCGGACTTGTTGAACTTCACAATCCGGATTGGCTGGTGATTGTTTTTGTGTCATTTGCAGGGGCCCGCAGATAACATCGAGGGATGGGCCCACCGTATGTGATATGAAGTCTCTCCTAACGATCTATAGTGAGGACGAACGATCGTCGATTGTCTTCCTCGCTCGTTGAGTCCGGATTTCTAGACTATCCTGGCGATGATCATGATAGAAATCATGCGAAGATATTTCCCTTCGAAACCGTGAAGTAGTGGTTTATACAACAAATCATATCATGAAGGATGCGAAGACAAAGGGGTTATGGTGGGCGTAGCTTGCGAACAGTGGCGAACAATGGAGAGCATGTGACTCGTCGCTGACCTCCTCACCCCATCATGCAGTATGTGCTGCTTTTCATTCTAGTCAGTTACAGGGATACTTTTAGAGACCGTAGTGCTCATGTCTTGACTTCGAGCTTCAAAGTCGAACATTGCACGAGATCGTGAGGCGCCGGCTGATCAACGCGATCAGGAAATTCCTATCATACATCATCGTGGCACTTCCGCTTTTTGTGCGTGACATGAGGTGCTTGCACCCAGCTCATCCTGGGATCCGATTCGTTTCCGAGTAACGGTGCTTGTGCTGTTGGTCATTCGGAAGCGACGCCATTCCTGACTCGTCCCAGTCACACTCTGAACTAAATACTCGCGCCTTCATCTTTACCACAGTGATTCACGCCTCAGACCCTCACGGCTCAAAAGTGATACTTAGCTGCTGAACGATGCCAGCCTCTATATCTACTGTCATATCTGATCTTGCTTGCGAGATCCTTCAAAAAGTCGCTCTCTGCCTCCCTCGGACAGCAGATGTCTTCCACCTCTCATTCGCTACTCGATACCTGAGGGCCTCTCTCACTGACCCGGTCCTGTTCAAGCGACGCCTCTCGCTTGAAGGGTGGGATGTAAAGTCGTGGGAGGAAGAGGATGGGGATCGTGGTGAGATAGAAGCCACAGGCGAAGGCGAAATACAGACACGCTCGGATCGTTGGATGCGTATCGATCATATACACTCGAGAGTACAAGAACTGTTCACGGAAGGCTCTTCCACCAGTGCAACAGCACCGCACGTTGCTCCTCCAGTTCTCGACGGCCAAGGACCACATAATGATCTGAACCGCCTCATTCGTAGTATCGCTAGTGGACAACATGATGGCACAGCTGAACTTGGTCAGAAGATACACTGGTTGGCCAATGTTGCTCACCTGCTTCCTGCAGTGATCATGCATCATCGTAAGCCTATCTATTTGCCACAAACTTCCTGCTGGTTACCAGTACAGATGCATTTCCTAACGGCCAGTATTTTGACACTTTGTACTGCAGGAGAACATAATCTTTCCCGATTGACTAACCCGCTGTTCTCTCCTGCGTGGTTCACGATCACCAAGGCCGTGAACCAGTTCGCTTTCGCAGACCAGACCGGGCCTCAGTGGCAAGATGAGTCTATAATTCCGGCTGCACTGTTGGAGCAGTTGTCCTTTTGTGTGGCATTGATGTTCTTCGCCAGTGCGTGTCCCTTTTTCTTTTCCTCGGCGATATAATCGCGCCCCGCCCAATATACTGACCTGATCGTCCGTATCACTTCATGATACCGATTTAAAGGTCATACCGACTCGTTGGCTTCCCTCTTCGACCAACCATCCCGTCGGCCGTACAGTACTCCTCTCCAATTTTACACCATTGTATTAAGCAATGAGCGTCGACATTCGCAGCGCCGCGGTCCCAGCGTCGAATACTTCTCTCCAGCTTCTGGTCCAGGAGATCATCGTTCTCAGCTTCTGTCCCACGACGATCCAAGCTCCATTTTCATCTCCAAGCGATTCTCCGGTGCATTCATCAAACTTGCGTTCTTCCACGCTTACCTTGTACAGTTCATCACGGCCCAAGGCGCATCATCTTCTCTGAACATACTGCCTCCGAGCTTCGCCGATACCGTCGCCCAAGGACCTCTGGTCGATCCAACCACATGGCTAGCATGGTCTGACCATCGCAATGGCGCATGTGCGTTATCGCAGACATCTGAGCGGCCCTGGCTCGACCTGGGCGACAGTTCGGAGAATCGCAAAGGGTTCGGCATAGGGCGCATACTCTCTTGCTTAACGAATGAAGACTCGGAGTGGGCAGGATACTACATTTACAACAACATGGGATTCGTACGCGCTGATGCGCCCATGCATTTCACTTTGCGCGCCACATCCACACCATTGGCCCCCTCCGAGACTGACGTGCCTGAGTCTGAACCGACATCCTCGCACATACTGCACTTCGACGGCTCTGGCTCGGACGGCATCGCCGCTTTCACTCTCGTGGGGAGTATAAATCTGAGGACTGGACTGATGGAGGCTGTGAAGGATTACGCGGGATTGACGACGAGGTGGGATTGGGCGGGCGTTGTCACGCCATTTGGGATGGTGGGGAAGTGGGGAAATCCTCACTCGTGGGGAGGATGGTGGTGGATCTGGCCGAGGAAGTGGAGTGAGTGAGTGAGAGGGAGCTGACTGTGAATCTGATGGAAATGATGATCGTGAAGGAGAGTGGGACGTTCGGCAGCAGTTGCGATGAAGGGAATGTAGCAGCCAAGTTCAAGCACGCGTCATTAACTGACACAAATAATGTAGAACTGTTTCTTGACTGTTCCTGATCTCCCATTAACAGCCGTGGAAAGCACGGTAGGGGTATCTCAGGCTCGTAAGCGGACCCAGAAGGGTATCCAGCCCTCCCTTTTCTCCCGCGAGCCAGCGGTTGTAGACTCGTAAACCAGTACCCCGCGCCGAGTCGGCAAAATAGCACGTGAGCTGAACGACTGTCTTCAGATCCGATTCAACCACGCTCGTTCGTGGGAGTGGTTTCGAGTCCACAGCGGTTGTATTCAGAGGCAATAGCTTCGGAATTCAACAAGACCAAACATGTCTGTCGGCAGTCCCCGAGAGCGCTCGAGAAATCGTTTCCGTTTGATTTCCGTCTTTCACTAGCTCCTGCTTCCACCATGGTCTATGCTCCTCTACGCAGACACTCTCTTCCTTGACAATTGCTGATAACATCAGCTCGCATGAGTAGCCTCACAGATAATTGCTTCGTCATACAACTATTCGTGAAGAAAGATGTTACCCTTTCCGATTGCGATGCTTTCGCTGATGAACGGTTCCAGTCTACACGGTCACTGCGTCCATGTAGTGTGTATTTCCTGAACTTGTGATCCCTGTTATCATTACTGATGCAGTCTCAGTCATAATTAGCATCCGAGCAGAGTGACGAGTTGTGATCTCGCGTTTCCTTTTCCCAACTTATGCCTTTTTGCCGTGGAGCTGGAGATCCTTTGCTATAGCATCCGAGGTGCGTTCTTTGGAACGTCTTCTTTGGATATTCGTGGCTGTTGAGTGTCGGGCACATATGAAGTCCGAATGATCCTCGAGCTCTCGCCATGAATTAGCATCTGGACATTTGCATAGCTCTGGACGATGTCCTAAGACCATACAATGAACAAACGTCGCTTCCGATTGATTCAATGCTTTACCCCTGTTTCAGGGCAACATTTCATATCGGTGCGGTCAGCGTGTGAGTGTGTGGATGACTTTGTGTTTGAAACGAATCCCCGCGGTCAGTTCACTCATCCACCATTTATGTGCATGTCTTCACGTCAGGCTTGTCTCGTGAGAGCGCGTGGCCGAAGCCTCCACATCAGCGGACCCACTGCGGACAGTACATTTTACCTCCCAATCCCCGTAACTCGAGTATTGTGGTACTAACTATGTGTCCTCGATTTGAACCACACAAATCGGAAGGCTTATGATGGGACGCTAACCAGCAGGGCCCACAAGCGTGACCGAGCTACGCCACCCGTAGGGCCCCGTTCCCGAAAGAGAAATTGGATGCCTCAAAATGTTACTGAAGAGAGTCCGCGTGAGCTCATGATCAGTACCAACTCCTCGGTCAAGTATTATGCCCATTTCACCCTCATATTTCTCGTTGGAGGATTTTTGCACCCGACGATGACGTTATACGAGTCAATCAATTTGAGCTTACGAGGGGTATATAACACCGCTGGAGCTATGCGACCTTTTGTGCTACCTGTCCCCTCATCTCCTTCTAACGTCCGTTAAGACTTGAAACCTCCCGTACCTCGACACCATGGGGTCTCTCACACGCACCGCGCACGCAGGCTTTGGGCTACTGCTGGCTGCTGCTGCGATCGTCGGTGTTTTTGGTCATAGTGTGCCTCATGCTCGCAGCTCTGGACCTACTGTACAGCTGGACCAGGGGACGTTCTTAGGAAATGCTACAGCGAATGTGACGCAGTTTCTCGGTATACCCTACGCTATCCCTCCGTATGTCCTCGGACTCTCTCATCGAGGTCTCGTCGTTTTCGAGCTGACAGACAAAATGTTGGCCTACCGTTGTCAGTGTTGATACCTTGCGCCTGACGATCCCTCGAGCCAACTTGCCGTATAACGGGACATTCAATGCTACTGCTTTCGGACCTTCATGCCCTCAACAGACCTCTTCGATTCCAGCGACTAGTCTTGCAGTACTGGCTCCTTTCTTGGGCGAACTCTCCGGGTTAACTGGGGGTTCGTCGACGAACGTGCAGAGTGAAGATTGTGAGTGCTCTGATTTACGATGAGGAGCCCATTGTGATGATGGTTTATGTCGTGTTCAAGGTCTCAACCTCGACGTAATCCTCCCCAATGACACACCTTCCGAGGCTAAGCTCCCGGTAGTAGTGGTGGGCGTCTTTATATAATTCGCCTTCAACACTGTCTCATCCTGTCTTCTTCATAGTGGATATATGGTGGTATGATTAATCATCTGCATTTGGTATTTGTTCGTCCGATTTTTGACCATCAACAACATAGGTGGATTTGAGGATGGGGAGCTATTAAAGTACGTACATCTTCTTGTTTGCCTTTATCTCAAGTTTAACACGCGACGGACAGTGATGACGGAGGTGTGATCGTTCAGCGATCCATCGACCTCGGAACACCAGTCATTTATGTAGCAATGAACTACCGGTGCGTCCAAGCTATCTAGGTGTTTCGTCGCGAAGTGCAAGCAAACTGACTTCACCCTACTGAATTCACCCTACAGCCTATCCGGTGAGCGGTATAACTTAAGGTTTCAGTTCAGAGCTTGTGATTGCTGAGATTGTTCCTGTAGCCTTCGGCTTCTTGCCGGGTCAAGAAGTTAAAGAGGCAGGGGTGGGAAATCTCGGTCTACAAGACCGTGAGTGTGTCCCTGACATGTATTTCTCAATTGGTTCATATATTTCCTACAGAGCGACTGGCGCTGCGCTGGGTCCAGAAATACATCGGTGCATTTGGTGGCGACCCCGACCGTGTGATTATGTGAGCTCATCCGTCTTTATTATATGACCATTCCTTCTGATCGTTCCGCCCTCCGACACCCTTAAGATGGGGAGAAAGCGCGGGTGCAATCTCGGTTGCTTCACAAATGATCACAAACGGCGGTGACACGGAAGGCCTCTTCCACGGAGCGATTATGGAGTCGGGTTCACCCACGCCATCCGGCGACATCGCCGACGAAGAGTCTCAGGCCGTGTACGATTCCATCGTGGATGCGACAGGGTGTACGGGTGCGGAAGATACGCTGCAATGTTTGCGGGAGCTTCCCTTTAGCGTGTTGAACGATGCGTCTAACAATACTTTTGGGATTGACTCTTTCTCGGCAAGTTCTACCTTCTGTAAATGAAGCAGTCATTTCTGACCACCTGTTTCTAGTCCTTGAACCTGGCATTCCAGCCTCGTGTAGACGGGATATTCTTCACCGAAGATCCTCAACAGTTGGTCCTTGACGGACAGGTGGCAGATGTTCCATTCATCACCGGTGCGCGGAATGTTAGATCTTATACCCTTTCTGTTGTCTGATGAGCCATCTTTACAGGGGACTGTTCTGACGAGGGAACCTTATTTTCTCTGTCGTCTGTCAATCTCACGTACGTTCTTCTCCCGCCCTCAGTTCACATTTTCTCATAATCTCTACCCGAAGGACGGACGCGGAAGCTGAGGCATACATTCAGTCGACCTACTTTTCCACCCTCTCCCTTGACGACCTCGCATCTGTGTTTCAAGCATACCCATCTGATCCCACCGTAGGGTCTCCTTTCGACACTGGTTCAGCCAACGTCATCACTCCTCAGTTCAAACGTATCGCCGCCATTCAAGGAGACCTTGTGTTCCAGGCGCCTCGTAGGTTCTTTTTGCAGCAACGTTCCGATAAACAGAAGACCTGGGCATTCCGTAAGAAATTGTTCCTCTTGCTATTATCTTATCTCGCTGATGTGTCTCTTTCAGTATCCGATCGTCTCAAAAGCACCCCGCTTCTAGGTTCGGTACGTATCTTGCAGATTCCATATTGAAAAAAAAAATCAACCGCTAATTCCAACCATCAGTTCCACAGCAGCGACCTGCTGAACGCCTATGGCCCAGGCGATCTTACAGACGTCATCGTCAACTTTGCCAACAACCTCGATCCCAACGGTCCGACAATTATCGAATGGCCCAACTATTCAACAGACGCACCAACGCTATTAACGCTATTGGATGGAGCGGTGCCGCAAACCCTGACGAACGATACGTTTCGTGTCGATGGGATGGCGGCTTTGACGAACATCTCCCTGATAGCTCCTATCTAGGTGCGCGGAGATATTGTATGTGTTTGCAGCCTGCTTTTGTTTTTACACGAAAATGGACAATCACTTTGATACCCGAAGTAGGCAGTAGATTTGGCCATATTGGTGATGGGCTGAATATATCCGATAATGAGACTGTTTGAGATCTTCATTTTGAAGGCAACGCTACGAGCTAATGAACGAATGTCCATTGCGGCATCAGAACGCTGGGCCACGGTGGCACCTGCTTCATTGTTGCAAGTCACTCTCTGAGCTCTGAATTCGTCTGGATGCTCCCAGGCGTCACATCCTGATTTGTGGGGTTTTTTTTTGCTGTGATGATCTTCTGACGGCGAACACCCATAACTTGTATCATAGTCGTTCTCGGTGACGGTTCAAACGCTCATGCTGTCTTTCCCCGTGTCAATGCTCAGAGCGGATGGCAATTCTATTGCATGGCAAAGCAAGGAGCCCACAATCGAGTACATGATGCACTTCGTGCCTTCAATTAATTGTACCATAGCCAGAGAGTCACTTACTTATTTTCTACGTACACATTTCTGCTTCACTGGGTGTGGCCCACAGCAAAGATGTGGCGACCGTGGGAAACATTATTCTTCTCCGCGCGTCAACAACGCGTGGTTAACGCGCCTTCCTCACATCCAACTGCGATCCGACAACTCTGTCCAGACTTGGGTTCCTCTTCTGCTCGTGGATCTCGTCGACCGACTCTTTCTAACACAGTCATTTGTCGCGTTTTTTTATCTGCACACATACCCTATTGCTTGACCTTACCGAGCACTGAAACGTTTTTTCACGCGTCATACAAATCATGCCACTTTCACACAAGGGCCTCCGAGTCAAAGTCGTTACTGGAGGTGAAGAACTACCCGTATATAAACAAAGTCTCGAGGATGATAAAATAGTGATGGGATACATTGCTAGCGTTGTTGGGAAGGTAACATAACGGACTTTTGCCCGATGTGAGCACCTGTTGACCTACAGCCGTAACCCATCTCCTTCTAGTCATTCACCGTAGTCATAGATCACGTTGCAGGCGATGATGGCTATAGGTGTGAACTCGCAATAGATGGACAACACGTAGTCTCCCGACTGCTGAGTAGTCGCCGCCCCTCAACCCACGAGAGTGGCGTAAGGACAGGGCCCGCTTCAGAGAGACCGTTCAGATTCTCGGACATCCGTTTTCAAGGTTTGTCTCCTATTTATCTACCTTATTTGACCCAGAAGATCTTACTGTACCCAGAGGATAAGGAGATCATGGACTTGAGTCAGAGACTGCATGATTTTTCGAATATAGGGTTGATTGAGATCAAGTGTTTGCTTGCCGTGGAGGTCAAGCTGAAGAAACCGCAGAATCGCAGGTTCAAGTCGAAGTTCATAACGGAAGACGTGCCTGAAACTAGTAAGAAAGCCGGGTGGCACCGTGTCTCGTAAGTGTCTCCGTACTTCGGTCTTTTATAGGCTGACGGATTCAGTCTTGGAGACGAGACGTCGACGGAAGGGCAGCGCTGGAGCAAGATCGTCAAAAGCAAAATCAAGACCCTAGATAAGAACCCACGTATCGTGTTTCGTATTCGATATCAACCAGCCGGTGCGTTCTGTTATGTGCTCTTACTGTCATTATTTAGCGCTAACACTTGAAATACCTATCATCAGAACTACTGCGAGCGAACGGTATTTTACCTATGACAACGGCAACCTCGTCTGCGAACACAGCAGAAACTGTCGCAGATCAGGGGATGTCTTCTCAAAATCCAACCAATGGAAAACGCACGCGGTGTGCCGAACCTTTGGACCAAACCTCCAAGCGCCTCAAACCGTCGAGCACAAACAATCGTGATCCAGAGCCTGTTGTGAGCTTGTAACGCCTCTGTATGATGGATCTATAATGACGGCTCTTCTTCCATATCCAGCCATCCTCAAGCATCGCTCATACGAGACCAAAAATAAATCCGGACGCTGCTTTGGGCGACGTAGTGGTTAAAAATGAGGCGAACGAAGAATCGGGTGAGACTGAGGACTCCGACGAGGAGCTGCAGGCGTTGCAGGAAGGTTCACTTCCTCTCCCATAAATGCGTTACCTAACCTTTGACTACCCTTTCATGTAGAACTCGCTGCAGCTCATTCAATCTCAGATAGAAAGGAAGAAGAAACGGAAGAATAAGAGCGGCCCGCATGCAAAAATGCGAGTCAAGCCCGAGAGAGCTGCATCTCCCATCGTTGTCGGAGCCGGGAACGGAGAACTCATTGACCTCACTTTGGATTCTGATTAACTACATCTTATCTTATTTTGGCCTTCCATATGTTTTCTTGTATGTTCTCGATTCTGCTTAGCTCACTATGCTCAGTCTAATTCTAGTCGAATGTTGCTTGCACGAGTATACTCGGCGAGATACGGCCACTCTATGTCTTGCTCTATACTTTTTTTATATACCTTCTCCATACTTTATCACTACATATTGGACCAATTCGTTCGCCGGTGCGGTTTCCTCAACCTCCTTGCACTCTATCGTGGGCCACACAGTCAGGATTGCCACACTGCGCCTGTCTCGGTCCGATCGAACCGGATTGCTCACCCACGTTGCGCACCAAACTGTTGCGCCTCAATTTCTCTCCCTCCACGTTGACGAAGTCGTTGGTCTTGTCACCCGAAGCGTTCTTTATGACGACATGGCTGGGCTGAAGCTCTCTCAAAAAATCTGGACTGGTTTATGGGCTACCAGTTCACTCTAATTTGGACGCTACCTTGGGGGACTTTCAGTCAAATTTTGACCAACTTCGAAAACTGCCGTTTCCACGAGTCTATTCGTTATTCCATGGCTCCTGAGCTGCCATTCGTCTGCACGTTCATGTCTTATTCCCCGTAGACCTCATATGCCTTGAGACATCAGATAAGTACACGTCATGCTGTTTCGCACCGACGGCGAGAAGCAAATTTGTATCCTCCGCCGTCTCCCCGCCAGGCGTTTGCCAACATCCCAAACGTCGAGTGAGCACGTTCGTACACACTCTACAACCGCTCGTGCGCGAAACATGAGTTTCGCGGGCCATGATTCGTTACTCACGAGGAGAACATACTTCTTGTTCACGGCTAAGACAGATCAAGGTCTGCGTGCGAGAACAAACGCTCGTCAGCGCTTCGCCGATAGGTCTTTATGAACGCGTCTTTAGTACTCGAAGACCCCCGGTGATTTTCCCATTCGCTCTACCCAGTCTCTAGCACTACTTTCTCCAACACCCTCATGGACTCTCCAGCTTGCGTTCTGCGGTACGTCACTTCATCCATATCTATGCCGCATGCTATGCTCAATCTGTGACAGACGGTTTCTTCGCGATTCGCCCGTCCTCATGAACTTCTTCTTATGGGGTTTTCTCGTTTTTTCCATCTGGGTTATGTCTCTCATTTTGGTGCCACGGCTACGACCACTCCTGAAGTTCGTGTGGCACTGCTTCTTGAGACCAATAGGTGTGTCCGATCAGAGGACGAGACTTGACAAGGTGCGCCGGACTAGCATTCCTTCGAACATAACTCCCTCTTGCTCACAAGCAGATCGTAGTTCTACGAGGGGCAGGCTGAGGTTTATGATACGACTCGCAACGGTCTCCTTCGCGGCCGGCGCACCATGTTGAGTCTCTCTGCTGGGCATCTCCATGCTCTGCGCTCGCAAAACCCGGGCAAACCCCTCATATGGGTGGATATTGGTGGAGGTACAGGTATGTATCGTTTTCTCATCTTCATTACTCTGGTTCTAGCGCTCACCCGGGGACGTAGGTCATAACATTGAGATGATGGACAAACACTACCCGATATCGTCCTTCGACAAAGTCTACCTCATCGACCTTTGCGAGCCTCTTCTGCAAGTTGCTCGTAAACGCTTTGCGAAGAGGGGCTGGAACAACGTCGTCGTACTCTGTCAAGACGCATCCGAATTCTCTCTTCCCGAATGGGGCAACGACGTGGATCCGAAGGGAAGCGTAGGCTTCATCACCATGAGCTATTCTCTCTCCATGGTTTGTGTTCTATTTCTGTCATGTCATTCCATCTAACATAGCATTTAAACATTCTGTGCGCCACCACAGATTCCCAGCTTCTACGCACTTATGGACCGTATTGACTACGTTCTAGCCCCAGAGGACGGTCTCTTGGGTGTCGTCGACTTCTACACTTCAGGTCGTCAGCCATCTCTTCATGAGAAAGCTATTGGGGGTGGGGGCAAGGAATGCGGTTGGCTCAGTCGGTGGTTCTGGCAGATCTGGTTTGACTTCGATCACGTTTCTCTCTCACCACACCGACGTGACTACCTGGAGTACAAGTTTGGAACAGTGAGTTCTTCATGAATATTCGAAACGAAAACTAAAGCTCCCTTCGCTCAGGTCAAAAGCTACAACGGGCGTAATCGATTCGTTCTTCCGTTCATCATCCGGATGTAGGTCTACGTTCTGGGCTACAACGCTCACGTACTCGTTCTAACTTACGACACAGACCCTATTACATCTGGCTCGGCCGCCCGCGCTCATGCGACGTTTCTCGATTCTGTCATGCCTTCGAAGTTGAAGGGGGCAACACTGTTGGAAACTGTTCTCCCTCGTCACTCATGCCTGTGAAAGAGACAGAAATGGTTCCATCGCTGACTATCGGCGAGCCGGTGGTTCCGTCACCTTACCCAGAGAAATCTCGCGCGTTGACTAGGTCTCCTTCACCTCAGAGAGAGTTGACGAGGAGTGAGACTGTCATCGATGTTACCATGCCATTGAGCTCCTTCCATTACCAGGTCAACAGCGTGCGTATCCGTCTTACACCTTGAAAACCTAGTCCACTCAACCATTGCTCCAATTATAGACATGGCGCCTACCTTACTACGAGCACCCGGTCCATAAAGAATTTAGGACCTTCATTTATTCATTCACTTGGGCCAGTCGGATCATTTCTAATCCCTCTGTTGTATTCTTATCTTCGACTTGTCTTTCAGGAGGATCCTTTCGAGGACATGAAGCATCTGGACCTTACTGAGCACGACTCTGTGTTCGTCATCACGAGTGCCGGGGACAATGCATTGCACTACGCTATTGGCGCACGACCTAAACGCGTATGCCCAGTACATTTCATCTTTTGCAACAGGCTTTGTTGACCATAAATCCATATAGATACATTGTGTCGACATGAACCCATGGTAGGACGCTCGCTCTCACTGCTCTATATCCTGCACCTTCTTATTCGCGCGTCTATCTCAGCCAAGGCCATTTACTCGAGCTGAAACTCGCTGCCATCCAAGCGCTCTCTTACACCGACTTCTTCTCTCTGTTCGGACGCGGCTCCCATCCTTCCTTCCGGTCTCTCCTCGATACCCACCTTGCACCACATCTCTCTTCTAATGCCTACCAATTCTGGCGGATCAACTCATCTGCGTTTCACTCATCTTTCTACCTCCACGGCTACTCGGGCTGGGCGCTTCGATTGGCCCGGGTTCTTTTCTCCATGGCCGGTGTGTCACAAGAGGTCAAGAATCTGTGTAACGCCGGTACGCTAGAGGAGCAGACGAGAATATGGAAGGAGAAGCTGAGGCCAGTACTGTTAAACCCGTTGGTGGTGGCACTGTTGAAAAGCCCGGTGTTCTGCTGGAATGCGCTGGGTGTTCCTAAAAACCAGAGGAAGATGTTGTTGGACGAGGGGAGTATGTGGGAGTTCGTGAGAGATACTCTGGACCCGATTCCGAGTTCGTACCTTCTCAAGAAGGGCGCCTATCATTACCTCCTGGTCAGTTCCTTGGTTTCCTGTCCTTCGTGGCAGACTATTTCTGACGTCGTGTGAATCTCCATGTAGACGCTTTTGGGCCACTATACCCCCGAGTCCTGTCCAGCATATCTTTCTAAAGAGGGTTATGATGCTCTAAGAGCTGACAGTGGCGCAGCTCTGAACGCCTTCCGTCTTCATACCGACTCCATCCTGAAGTTTGTACTCCGCTCATACCCTCTTCGTCTCAGATTTACATTTACTAATCACTTTCTCTCGTCCAAATAGCGTGCTTCGTGGCCTCGCCAAGCACTCCTTAACGCGTGCCGTCATCATGGATCATCTGGACTGGTTCGCTCCTGGCTCAGAGGAAGTCGAGGAGGAGGTTACGGAGTTCCGCAGGGTGCTGGCGCCCGGTGGGTTCGTCCTGTGGCGTTCGGCGGCAAGGCAGCCCTGGTATAACGAAGTGTGAGTCGTTCCTCAGACGTTTCTCGCGTAATATTCGACACTGAGGATCGCGTCGATGTAGGTTCGAGAGACAAGGTTTTGAGTTGACCTCGCTGGGCGTGAGGCAAGGGCCAAAGGTAGCGATTGACAGGGTCAATATGTGAGTGTCTGTGATCGTGATCTTGAGTTAATATCTGACCTAGAATAAAATCTCACAATAGGTATGCTTCGTTTTGGAAGGCGGTTAGAGTTTGATCTTTTGTTGTGGACTTATGACCTGGAGAATGATACAAGTACATCTACGCGTTTTGTAGTATTATGAGCTTACATGCTGATCGAGAATATTGACTCTTGGGCGGAAAACGAAAGATGAGAATTTCGCACCGATATATGATGGGTTTCCATCAATTGCTCGATGATTGCTTGATGGGTGACGTCCGACCCACTTTGGCGCGACGACTTATCTTGCTGGGTCCAATTCGAGTCACCTTGAGACATCAAGAGGCGTCCTGTGCATTGAGAACATACCACTTCACTTCAGCACGCTTTCAGCTGTCTAGCACCGCCTTAAGGACCGACAGCAGGTCAATTTCGCAATCTGAAAGGTGAGTTACACCGTAAACTTCTAAAGCAGGTTGCTCTTTGACCAAGATAGTCATTATGTACCCGACAGCTTGAAAAGTCTCGCTCCGAATAGCCAACGAATGTCAGGTACTCCTTCCCCGAGTCCCAGTGTGAATAAAGATAAAGAGAGCGTCGAAGATGACGATGGTCCAGATCAGAATTTCGTGGACCTCATTGCGTCTTTGAAATTGGTTGATCTCCAGGAGCTTGCTCTTTCTACACGCCGTCTCCTTTCCATCACAAGTATCGACGAAAATCTGTCATGTTCATTAGAGCTACCCCCTCTCGAAGGCGGTTTCCACGTCTTCTACAAGGTCTCTTTCTCCGATGGCGTTTGCTGGGGCATTCGCATAGCATTGGATGAACGGACGCCCTCTGCGGCTCGTTCCATGCAGCTCGATATCGCTGCCCAACGCTACATCACTTCTCACACCTCTATCCCTATTCCTTCGATCCATCACTTCTCCTTGGATTGCGACAACCCGATATCACACCCCTTCACTATCATGGATTTCATACCTGGTACCCCGCTATCTAAGTCCTTGGCAAACAAGGAATGGATGACGAACACCAAGCGTACCTACATCTTCGAACAACTCGCAAAGTGGATGACGGAGCTATCTTCCCTAGAATTCGACGAAATCGGTCCACTCGATGTCGACCCTACTACCGGCGTAGCACACGTAGTTCCCTTTCCGGATGGATCCTCCTTGGTCAAAACTGAACTTGGAGACTCCAGCGCAGTACAGGGTTCACAGCGAGTTGCGCAGAGTGCCGGTCCTTTCTCCTCCACCCATGCGCTCCTCTCGTATCAACTCTCCCTCAGACGTCAAACCGAGGACTCTCCCAAGCTTCGTCTACTGCAGCTCTTTTCCACCGCTCTTCTTGATCCCGAGCTCGACGGTCCTCCTTTCACACTTCGGCCCCCTGACTTCGAGTCCCAAAACGTTCTGGTCACTGACGATGGCACGATAACGGCACTCATAGACTGGGATGGCGTTTGCACATGCCCGCGCCAGGGTGGTGCAGCCGCGTACCCATCTTGGCTCACGACCGATTGGGACCCTCTTTACTACGGCTGGTACGAGGGGGCATCAGCAGAGCACAATGCGAGATACGACTCACCGGCGGAGCTCGCGAGCTATCGAGAGATGTATCTGGAAGCAATAGATCGTGCATCAGGAGGGAAGCTGACGCACATAACGCGGAACTCTCACATATACGAATCGCTGAGCATTGGCGTGGGCTCGCCAGAGACAACGATTGCGATGGTATTGCATCTGGGGAAGTATGTTTGGGGTCCGGGGTTGAGTTTTGATGTCATGGATAGGATAGGGAATGGTCCGTGGTTCAATCAAGGGAAAGGTGAAATTGCACGTGTTTCGGGTACGCCTTTTGTAAAGTATTTTCGAGTTTCCTGTGTGACTGACGCTTAATCATTTGCAGAGAAATCGTCGTCTCTGTATGATACAACTTCTGAATCTGGGTCTAGTACTTCGTCAGCACAGTCGAGTCGTGGCACCTCACCCACAGCCGATCCACAGTAAGCAGACGGGAGTTCGGGGACATCCAGGTCGGAGAGGGAGTAGAGTTATGTTATAAGAGGTCCTGATCGATATTGAAAAATATAAGAAGGCAAGCAGAGAGGGATAGCTCTTGAGGATCGGCTAGCTTTCAGCTCAAAGACGCGACTCGATGAGGTGGACAAAATCCTGGTTGGTGTCTTCAATCTTTCGGACTGTCGTTTGCACTTTGAGTCACCACGGGGATTGAAGCCTGTCCGTCAACTTAAAACTATCCGTGCTTCCTGATTGCGCTCACTTGTGGGATAGCAGTAGACCGTCAAGCCGACTAAGCACATATTTTGAGTCGCCCATCTAGATGTTGAAGGCGGCCGTCTCGAGAGTCGACGTGTTGAACAGACGCGCGGTCGTCGCGACTCGCGAACTTAACGCGGTCCCGTGACACTTGTCTGCGCTATCGCCACACGGATAGGTCCGCCCGGATTTGTCAGCCCAGCAGTAAAGGCTTGAGAAAACATATATCGCTCTTGTTTTGTTTCTGACCACAGATCATTATAACTGAGGCTATATTGCAGTCAAAACCTCTTGGTAGTAAGCATGAGCTCTTTTGTATCCTGGCCGCCGTCGCTGCAACCCGATGAACTGGAGCACCTCACTCTCCTCGCCACAACCTACGCTCTATCTCACTCTCTTCTCTACCTTCCTCCTCATTCGCATGAATCGCCCCCACCACCCACTCCAACTTCAGCTATTCATGCACCATTCTCTTTGTTTCCAACGCCGATACCTAGAGCTCAGTTCGATCTCGCGAAGAGGCTCCAGAAGGCTTACAATGTCCTCTATGCTCGTGTGGCGATGGATGAACAGTTCTTGGATGAGGTGATGGGTGAGGGCGGTGTGGCGAGTGTTGACGAGTTCACGGGAGAGTTGTGGAAGCGATGGAAGGCAATAAGGGTGCAAGGCATTGTCCAGGTCAGCCGTTTCAACACAATGCAGACTCGCAGTATCGTTGAATTATTCTTGCGTGGCACTGTACAATGTGTAGCCATTACACCTGGGACTCTTCCGCTCTGATTATCTGCTACATCAACCATCGGAGAGCGAAGGCGCTTCTTTGGGTATCAAGCAGGTCGAGTTCAACACCATATCTTCCTCATTCGGTGCGCTCTCTCAACAGGTCTCGTCCCTACACAAGTGCTTGCTCTCTGTTCTTCCAAATCATACGGCATACTGATGTATTATTGATCGTATAGTCATCTACTTGCGGCAACGGGATATTTTAATTCTTCCCCGTTGTTGAAAGCACCCAACCTACCGCCCAACGAGACTATCGCAGGTCTGGCGAGCGGACTTGTAGAAGCGCATAAGGCATATGGCGTCCCAGGGTACGTGATCGCTCCAATATACTATCTGTCATCTTTTGCTCCCCAGCATGGACTGCATGCTTTGACTGCGATCGAGTGACCATCATCGAAGATTTCGCGAAAGCGGATGCGCATCCTTTCCTTCGCCTTCTTCCCATTTTCACAGAAAGAGTGACTTACTCAGACGAGAGCCGTATGCACTATCAGATAATGCTCGAATGTTCTTCATATCGTGACATTCGTCAGACTGGCAAATGTGCAGCCACTCGATGGTCCGTCGCCATAATTGCGTGACGAGCCGTGATACGTTCCAGTGCCACTCTCCAGTCATACGGTGGCCCTGGAGAAGCCGTCCTATTGTCACGCTACATCACTGAACTATCTAAGCTCAAACTATGTCTATTATAGATCGTCTATCCTCTTCGTGGTACAGCCAAATGAGCGCAACGTTTTCGATCAACGCCTCATCGAATACGAGCTCCTCGAGAAGTGAGTCCATACCAGCCTTACCCCACTCCCCGAGGCTCGCCCTCAACAACTAATCTACCCTTCAATCCTTCCCCAAAGACACCAGATCCCAGTCATCCGCCGCACCTTCGCCGAACTCGCCACCGCCACCGTCGACCCAACCACCCGAACCCTGCACATTCCCTCTTCCTTCTCCACCACTCCCTCTTCCACAACAGAAATATCAGTAGTCTACTACCGCGCCGGCTACACCCCGACCGACTACCCCGCCCCCTCCATTTACGCCACCCGCCAACTCCTCGAATCCTCCCTCGCCATCCAATGTCCCTCCCTCGCCCTCCAACTCGCAGGAGGCAAGAAAGTCCAGGAAGTCCTCACGCGGCCGGGGGTATTGAAGCGGTATCTGAGTGAAGAGGAGGGAGCGGGGGAAGTGAGAGCGAGTTGGATGGATATGTGGGGATTGGACGCGGATGGTGATACTTTACCTGACGCTCCGCCCCTCACTTCGGAGGGCGCGAATGAACCGGAACCGGCGGGTACGAGGAACGCTAGAGCAGAGTCCGAGCAGCTCGTGCTCAAGCCTCAACGCGAGGGCGGAGGCAACAACATCTATCGTGCCTCGATCCCTGCGTTCCTTTCTTCCCTTCCGGCGCAGGAACGGCCCGCGTGGATAGCTATGAGATTGATTCAGCCGCCAAGGGGCGTGGGTGGGTATTTGGTTAGGGCTGGGGAGGGGAGCAAGGGGTTGGTGAGGAGCGAGGTCATTAGTGAATTGGGAATTTATGGGTGGGCGCTGTTTGGAAAGGTGAATGACAAGGTGACGTTGAAGGAGAAGGAAGTGGGATGGTTGGTCAGGACGAAGGGAGAGGGGACGGATGAGGGAGGTGTGGCGACGGGGTTCTCGGTGCTGGATAGTGTGGTTTTGGTCGACTGAAGGACGTGTTTGAACACATGAGATATGGTGGGATTAGAGGTGAGTTGCTCAACCGTTTCATTTTCAGGATATTGATATGAACCCTTGGCAATAATATAGATGTTTGCGATAAGATTGTTGTATGCTTGTGCCTGTACAGTGTAAGTTATCCTGTTACAGTATCAGAAAGAAGAAGTGCAGAAGAGTCTACTCAACAAATAGAAATGGTTATGACAATATCTATGCTGCCAAAGATCATGTCTCGAAGTAGAATAATCGCCCATCTTCATCGCCAACACTGGATTCGACTAAGTCGAACGCTACCCCGACTCCTCGATCTACCCGTACTGTCCCATTTGACTCCTTTCTCCCGCCATAGGTATCGTAACCGCACCTCGCAGTTCCTACTAGCGGATCACTCGTCGATCTACCAAGCAACAAATGTTTCAATTGTAACGTGCGAGATCGTTGTAATGCGTATGTACTTGACCTTGAAATCATGAATGGAACAGACAGGAGTAGTTTCTTGCGCCTTCTCAACCCCCGCTCCTTGATGTTGCTTAATCTTCACGTTCGCATTTGCCGCTATCTGATCCTCAAAAGTGCCAAGCCAACTGTGAGTCTGTTCATCGTCTAGGGTCCTTGATCTCTAACTGATATCTTCTGTCGGTGTTTTCTGAAGAATACACAGCTAATCAATCCCAGGAGACTAGCTCCCACGTTCTTGTCCCCTGGATCAGTTTCGTGACTTTATATACACAGGGTGCGGGTCAGAGACGTACGCACCGGGTCGATATGCTCTGGCCACTCGACAGAGGTGCTATCGCACTCCAGCAGCAGCACATGAAGGACGCGGGATATATTGATCTAGATCAGGGTACTATTTTTTTTGTTTCCCTTTTGTTTCCTCAATCTATTCTCAGCTTGATTCGTTCTACAGACACCCGACATAACGAATGAGCTACCCCGGCAGCACCCTCGTCAATAATTTCAGAGTCCTGCTGTAGCATCATAATTAACGTGCATCCTCGGACCTAACCCACGGTAAGTATGATCGTTGATCTTAGAACTCAAGGTTTGTCGATGCTCGCCACATTGAAGCTCGATCTCAGTAAGTGCACTGCAAGTAACTCTTCGATTAGGAACGAATGGCTGATGGTTTCCTCTCGGTAGCACTCGTTCAGCTACTGTATGAATCGATAATCCATATGACTCTGCAGCGATGCTATTGATGCAGCTGGTATGGAGAATGCCGCTCTCCCACGTCCGGTGAACGAGATGAGCACCATTTTGCCACATACAGAGACCTTGGTATCTCCGACATGGCCACCCTCACGGAATCAAGGAACAATATGATGCTCTGCTGATCATCCAATTTCACAGCGGGTGTCGGATGGGATTGTATGGCCGCATGAGCTGGACAGCAGCGGAATACTCGTCAAGATTAGGCGTTGGGTCTCTCGGGGATCTTCTGCACCACATATGTTTTCCATCACCATCCCTCAAACCGAGTATAAGAACCTCATCGTTGTATCTGAATCTAATCTTCTCCAGCAGCTTTCGGTCCCCATCTTTTCCGTGCTCCTTTCCAGTACCGTCAAAGCCTCAATATGCTCGCGTCTCTCTTCATGTTCCCCCTTCTCGCGGCTTCGTCCGTCGTTGCCAGTGTCAAGGATGACTTAAAGAGTGCTTTCGGAGGCCTCAAGCTCAACGTATGGGATGACGCCCTGGACCTTCTTTCTGACACCCTCATCGACGAGCTTGTTCAACTCTTAACTGGTGGCTCCGGCCGTACCTTCTTTATACCGGAGTACGTCGTCTTGCTCCCTCTACCATTGTCTGCGCTCTGACTCATGGGACGGTTACTTCTAGTGGAGATGCTTGTATGTAGTCACCCCCTCATGTCCTGGCACAGTGCTCTGATTAGGAACCTTGATATTAGTATCCGCGACAGCGTTGGCGTCGCTCATAACTCAAGACAGTTTCCTGGACACTGTCAAATATCATATCGCCAACCAAAAAGGAGAGGACGTCGCCTCGTCCCCTAGCCATACTGTTGCCTCCACCACGTTGACCAGCAACACGACCGTCTTCTTGGAAAACGGCGACGCTCAGGTGCTTGTACTCACAAAACAGTCCGATGGCAACGTCCATATCCTCTATCAGCCGTGAGTTCCTAATCAGCTAGCTCTACATACCTGGCCCACTATATACTTCAACTAACATGTCTCCCTACTTAGCAACGACGTAGCCTCGACCGATTTGGTCACCGTCAACATCAATGGCACCTCCGTGACGTTCAGCGTTATCAATGCTATTTTGCAAGTTCCGAGCGATTTCAATACCACCGCTGCCGCGCATAACGTTTCCCAATTCATCCAAGATGCCGTCTCCACCGGCATCGAAGATGATTTCGAGAACCAACACGGTATCACTCTCTTTGTTCCCGTTGGTGAGTGTCGCGTCGCCTACTCCGTTAAGCATGTAGGCTGATGCATGAGATGCAGATACTGCGTTCTCTACTACCAATGGTTCCCTGGCGTCTCTATCCGCCAATGATCTGGCCAACATCCTCAATAACCATGTAAGGAATTTGCTTCAACATGACGCTGAGAAGTGCTAGTACACCTTGACTCATTCGATTCTCCAGGTCATGAACGGCACGGTCTACTCCCAAGACTTCCAAGGTACCAAGGAGACCGTCTCAGGACACAATCTCAGCCTCTCTGCGGCGTCGGTCGGTTTCTCTGGCGGAAGCAGCGCCAACATTGTGACCAGTGATATACCTATCCAAAACGGCGTGATGCACATCATCGACACGGTTTTGACCGACACTGAGAAAGCCTCCGATGAAAGCTCGGGAGGAATTAGGGGAATGACTGTGCGCAGGGTGATCGCTGTTGTTGCTACCGCAGGTGCGCTTTATGTCGCCATGTGAGATCCTTTGCAGATCCAGTCACGAGCAACCACTATACCCATTTTCTGTTTGGTATACTTTTTCTTGTCAAGTTTTATACGTAATATATATTTCTGGGTGGTCCACTGGATTTCAATCTTCATTCCTGCCTTTGAAAAAGTATCAATGCGCAAGACAACACATTGTATAGGTACCGAAACTTTCCGGATACAATACGTCTAAAGGAATCCCTATTCGTAGCGAGATTCAACAGACTACTGTACACTCGTATAAGATGGGTGATACAACTGGATATCCTTGCATAGAGGAAATATCTACATCTCTCGACGCAACAAAAAGAGGAAACTGACTATGAAATGACCCCGACCCGATTTGAACGGATGACCTTGTGGATATCCACCTACTTGCTGGAATCACACGCTCTACCACTGAGCCACGGGGCCCTTCCTTGAACATCTCAATAAAGTATATGAAAAGATGTAATACATGGTACATATCCACACCAAAAGTCTGCCTTTTCGACAGATCCGGAGGGAATTGTTCAACTCATGTGATCGTGTCCGAGTCCCGCCGTCGCGTCGCGTTGTCTTCCATCTTCTTGTGTGACTGCCTTTGTACTTGGTCCTTTCGATTCTCACTCCCTAGAATCCTACTGTGTTTTCGGATTTGCATGCCAGTGCTCATGATCGCTCATCGTGGAGTCGAGTTCGCAATAGTTTGCAACGGGCAGGCGCTACCTATTTATAAACGGACTATCGAAGACGATGTCACGGTCTCTGGGTATATTGCTAGTGTGGAGGGCCAGGTGAGTTTTTGAATCCTCTGTACAACGCCGACCTGATAATACACGTTCCCGTCATGTATTAGCCATTTGTTTTCCACTTCCGGAACGCAGAATCCGATCATGAGCTCTGCTGTCGCTTGAATGTTGATGGTCAAGTGGCCTCAAATCCTTTCCTTTCTTCCACGGACCGCTCGTGGCGCGTGTGCTCCGGGATGCGCACTAGCACCGAAACAGAGAGGGTCTTTCGGTTCTCAAGCATACAGTTCACTGGTACCTTATTGTGTCCCCCCCCCCTCTCTGCTTGACGCTAACAACTAGGCATATAGAATCGAATCCCGACGAAATTGGGGCGACAGAAGCCAAATGGGATTTCTCTCAGATCGGAATCATCGAATTTGTTGTTTGGCGGGGAACAAACACTAGAAGAAAACTGCAAGAATTCTCATCTTCAAGGACATTGCATGTTTCCCCAGTTCCGGAGGGAAGCAAAAAAGCAGGATGGCATCGTGTGGCGTCAGTAAATATACACTGTTCTTATGTGGATGACTACTGAAGTTTTATCAACGACAGTCTCGGAGAAGAAGTGAAGATAGAACGAAGACGGCCATGTGTACCCAAACTGTTAGATCCAAAAGACAAGCCGTATGCGGTGATACGTATTCGATACCGGCCAGCTCGTATGTGTTTTCAACGAGTTTTTTTGGGATGACATTAATAAAAACACGTCTGCCAGCCCTTCTACGTGCAAATGGGATCCTTCCAACGATTTCTTCATCGGAAGCAGTGACGACGACACGCACGAAGCGCGTGCGTACTGGAGATGAACCCGACGCAACATCCAGCCGCAAGCGTCGTAAGCCTTTAGTATCAGAAGAGATTGAGGTCAGTGTGAATAGTTACAGTCCCTGATACCCGCCTAATGCCGTATATCTCTCAATTCGTAGTGCCACCAAATTAAGGCTGAGGTGGATGCTGCCAGTGTGCAGGTAGAGAACCATGGTTCGTATACCGACCACGAAGACAAGGGACACTCAGAGGAGATCCAAGTTTGCACATTTCTCCTCTTTATCGCTGTTTCCCCTTGCTAAACATCTGCGCTGATCTCCCACTCTGAAGACCCTCCAAAATCGATTGCGCTTCTTGAAGGAGAAGACGGAGGTGAAGAAAGGTAAGCCGAGGGTCAAATAAGAAAATTCACATTCGCCTGTCGTCGTTCCAGAGGACGAACGCGGTGTTGTTGGCTACGCGGGATAGCGGGATTTTTCTGGCTACTATCATCTATTACCTTACTTTATTATTCACTTGCCACATTTGTTTGGCTTTATTTCTGTGGTTGTCTACGTCACTCTATACTTGCTTAATGATTGTCTTGGATATATAAGATGGGACCGGTTTTTGCTGCTCCACGATGCTACCACTCACCGTTCGGAAGGATCTACCGCTTGTCTACCTATTGTATATCCTTCTCAACTTGAATAACCCCCATTGCCTTGACGCGTAGGAAGTTTGCATCAACTTAGACATGTCACTTCTGTGCACTGTGGCGCAGCGGGTACATACTCGGGCGCAGCTGAGTTTTGTATCCGAGTCATCGACTGTAGGTAAGGTAAGGTAAGGTAAGGTAAGTTTATTCGGGGTACAAAATAGATTAATGACGTCGAAAAATGGTCATTCTACCTTTATATCTGCGCGCAACGCTGAGAAACGTCTTTGTTGACGCTTGTGCAGGTGGATGTGTTGCTGCGCACGGTAGACGCCACAACACCGAGCACTCGAGACCGAGCGCTACACAAATGGTACGCCATCGAGGGCCGCATGGAGAAGTATCATTGTGAGTCATTCATTGAGCGTTCCGGTTCCGTAGACTGCGATGAAGGAAGCCAGGTGGGAATCGAGTTGGGCGAAGTGATTATTGGCTTCAAGCATGGCTTGCCAACTTGTGCGAGTGATAAGCTCAGAGAGCTTGTTCGTTCGGTATAAAGGGGACAGTACGAACGCTCTGCCCAAATATCATCAGGTTCCCTTGTCTGCTCATCTCTCAGTGATATAACGTCGGAGCTATACTGCGTTGTGCACTAAGCTCTACCGCAAGATGTCTTCCTCGAATTCCTCATCCACGACCACCCTTGTCGCCGACCAAGCCATCACCAAAAACGACACTAGCAAGAAGATCGGTGAGTAGTGTCTATTACCGTCAAAGGCCCTCGACGTATTCAATACCGTCCGTTCGTAGTAGCAGACGATAAGGATCAAAAGATAGATGAGCCTACCACTCCCAAAGCAAAGGCGGGAGATCTCGCGTCCGATACTGGGTTCTCGAAGGCCGCGAAGGACCAAGGCTGGGCTTCTTCCACCATGTACAGGCCCTCCTTGGGTCAGTGAATGAGCTGATCACTCGTAGCCAGTGAGCCATTTGCCAGTGTCTTGTCCAAATACTCATCGCCGCTCACCGCTAGTTCAAGTTCTATTCAGGAATGACCTAGCATGGTGCAACCATCATCCGTTAGCGTCGTGCCGAAGTGGGGCGAGATGTATTAGTTTAGTAGTGCCGATATGATATAGGAGGGGATAGTGAAGGATAGTACAGGCGGCATAGCAGGCTTGCAGCTAAAAGGTATTCTGCTCGACGCCCAAGAATGAGATATGAGATTTGAGCCACACAAACCGCGACTCGTGGAAAAGATGCTGCTTGAGCCTCCGGTTAGCGACATTCTTCGAATTCGGACAGAACGCAATGGTAGAACTTGCGATCGCTGGCAAGTTCTTTGTGTATCCCAATCAAGCTGTTTCAAACCGTGGGAGTCGGAGTTCTAACCTTCACACGCGCTGACCTGTGGCGCGTCTCAACGGGCACTTCATCTTGTTCTTCAAAACTCGAGAGCGCTCTACCCCAATACAACACAATAGACATCAACATCAACGGAGAAGGACTCCTATACTCCGGCTTCCCTTATTCCTTTCTACTCAGCCACATTTCAACAGGTCATGTCGGGGTCCACTAGCATGCTCTCGCAGCGTGGTATCAATGTCAGAATCAGCTCAGGAAGGGATTGGCTGCCTATGTATAGGAAGGAAGTCAATGGTGATGTGAATATTGGGACAGCCTATATTGCCAGTGCAGTCGGCAAGGTCAGTCGCACCTAGACCATCGAGAACACTCATCTGACGCAACAGACTCGGGCGACGCAGCATTTTGGGGTATCATACGAGAACACATTAGACGACACGTCATTGTCGCTCAGCATCTATATTGACGGGCAGCTTGCTCGTAAGAACAGACTCCTTGATCGCCATAAGACCGGTCAGACCAAATCATTGAGAACCGGACACGATACCGAGCGGCCGCTTCAGTTCTCAAAGCTGCAAACCACCGGTATATCTTCTCCCTTCTGGCTTGTGGTCATTTATCTGAATGCCACGTTTTGCTAGATGCGGACGATGACTCTTTCCCCCAAACCGACGTTTCTAAGCTTGGTGTTATAGAAATCAGAGTGTGGCGGGTTACCCTCCTCCATCGTCATAGTTGGCGTCCTAAGCCTCTCGAAGCTCTCGAGTCTGGAGCCGTCTCGGAGAAGTCGAAGAAAGCTGGCTGGCATAGTGTTTCGTGAGTATGATTCTCTGATTGTGTACTTCGACGTGACTGATAACTGGAAATTAGCTTGGGTGTGGAGAGAAAATCAAGACGTATGCGAAAGGCACCACAGCAGATTCGGCGCATCGACCCCAAGGATAATCCTTGGCTCGTCTTCCGCATACACTATCAGCCGGAAGGTAAGCTACAACATCCATGGGAGCATTACGTTGTTCACTGAATTTCCTCCGTGTACAGACCTTCTCCGGGCTCAGGGAATCATCTCACAGCCTACTCGTTCAACTATCGCGAACGCCACCAGAATTCCAAAAGATGAACCTTCTACCGTCAAACCATCTAAGCATTCAAACAGAATAGTACCACACAGGAGTAACGAAGATACTCGGTCGAAACTGCAAAAGCTGAAGCCTGATCCCATTCATGACGAAGACGTGATAATAATCGAGAGTAGTGATGATGATGGAGGCGCTGGCTTGCAGGTACGTCTTTCCATCGTGATTCCTTCGAGTGACAGCGGCTGAGTAGCTATGCACGATCTGTCGAAGCGCAAACAAAGAGTGAAATATGAAAGAGCTCCTATTTCTGCTCCGTCTGGCTCCGCGGACGTTATTGACCTTACCTTGGACTAACCTGCATGATATAGTATAAGTTTTCATAATATCACTTCTCATGCCGTTTATTTGTTGTTGCCTGCTTTCGAACGTACGATTCCACTGATACTCATCTCTGAAGAAATACCCACATGTACACATGAGGACATGTACGCATGAGGACATGACACATGCCACGGAGCTCCTGTTTGTCATTCCTCGTACGAAACACCTACCGTGGTTTCTGAATAGAGCTCCCGCCGTCGGACAGCGTTGCCAGCCTTGGCCATTAATCTCCGATGAATATCCCTTCGGAATGAATTTCTCCGTCTGGGTTTTCTCCGACACCTATAAAGTTTGCTACGTCGACCACCACCAAAGCCGTCCGGCGGTCCACGCTGGTCTGCTTCGCTGTTTCTAAAATGTTATCATTTATTCTACTTTGTGTCTCCTCTCTCGTAGCGGCTACTCCTATCCTATATGACGGACGCGCACCGCTCAACCTGACTGAAGCTGGCATTGACGCTTCTACTGGGCCGTACTTGAGGTATCTTCAATTTTGTTCTCTTTCGCTGGATTGTGATTAACCTTTACTACAGTGCGGTGAAAGGAACGCAGAATGCCACTCACGTATGACCTCCTCTCTTCTGCCTTGGCCCATGCTGACACTTCCATTAGTATGAAACCCTTTTGAATACCACTCTCGCACCTACCCCTCTCTGGAGTAACCAGCTCCAAGAGCAACCCATCTCGATCATAATCGACAACACGTCCATTTTCACTCCGGGTGGCTCCGCCCCTCAAAACGGTTTCCGAAGAACCGACCTCATCGCCCAGCCAACACCTCCTAACTCAGACCCAGACCGTACGGCGTTCAACTCGTTGATCGAATCGAACGTGACCGCCTTCCACTTCTCTGTCATGGCGGACGAGAATAGGTCTTTGAATCTCAGCCATGAGTATCAGGTCGTGTGGATCGAGCCGAGCGACGGGTCTCATGTTTTCGAGTTACAGATCGGTATGTGGATTTTATGACTATCTTTTCACTGACTTTGAACCCTGTGAATTGTTTGTGCAGGGAATCCCTTCAATTCCACCCCTTCAGATGATTCCAACTCCCTCAAAATCCGATCTCACGACCTCACCGAACTCTTCGCCACACCCTTCACTCCCGCCACCTGGCACAACTTCGCCGTCGTCATCGACTGGAACAACAAAACTTTGACAACGTTATACTCTACAAATGCAACCACACTGCAGACTGTCACCGCCGCCGAACCCAACTTAAGCGAGGCTAGCGGAGCGACTGGTCAGGGAGACTTCCACTTCGGCGTTCTGAAGGTATTGTGACATTCTTTTATCATCATTGCGTGTGTCGTTAGGAGCTGATTGGGGTGGCCGGATAGCTTCCTCTCATTGACCCGACTGAGACACCGACTGAGCAAGCCGACGTGGTACATTTCGGGATTCAGGAGGGCACGACCGAGGGATTGATCTATTCGGGCATATTTGTGGAAAGCGTCGTTGATGGTGTGAGCGTCGGACAAGGAAGAGTGGTTCGCGTCTAGGAACCAGACAAGTCTAGTGAGGAGTCGTGAATGGAGGTTGATTATCAAGTGACATGGGGCTGGTATGCATGGGTAACTATCTTATCGATACAAATAACACTGCTACATCAGTCTAATATGCGAGCAAAACAACATGACGCGACACAAAGAAGCATATCATGAACGAAAGCAAATAGGACTAAGCCTGCTGGTATGGATAAATATGCAGGATATTGTCCGTGATAGTCTACATCTCTATGTTCGCCTCGAGGAAATGTTATCATAGTTGATCGCATTCGCGGGTCACGACTCGAGCAGCCCCCTGATCCTCTCCAATATGCGATCACTCCCCCACCCTCGCACCCACTCCAATCTCGTCTTCTTCCTCTCCACCGACAACTCAAAGCACCCATCCGGAAGGACCACATTGCCCTTCTTCACCTGCCAATAACACACCGTGTCCCTCACATCCTCCACTCTTCCCTGCATGACCACAGCCTCCAGCAACTTCCTCGCTCTCTCTTCCGCCGCCGCCACAGCCACACCATCATCCCCATCCCTCAAATCCGGCCACACATTCCCAGCTATATGATGTAGCACCAACACCCTTACGAATCCATCCACCTTACCCCTGCCCCTCTTCCCCACCAACACGCCAAGGTACGCCCCTAACACCTCCGCGTCCTCCTCCAAAGGCCACAAAAACTCGCCCACGTTCCTACCCACGACCTGCTCGATCGGCGTCCGAACGGTGCCCAGCACATGTGCCGTATCGGAGAACAGCAACTTGCGATAATCGGGGGCGTAGCGCTGAGACGTCAGTGGCAGGAGCAGTGAGGCGAAAAGAGGGTGCGCGAAGGAAATGGCATCGTACAGCGCCACGAAATCCGTATAGAACTGATAGAAAGGCGTCCCGGAGCCCAGGAATCGTGTGGCGACGGCCTCGATATTATCTTGATCGTCCTCTTCGTCTGCTCCCTTGTTGGGCTGATGGAACGAAATACCAGATGCGGCGGAAAGACCGAGGGGGGAGGACTGCAACATACAAGGCCTCAGCAAGTCCTCCATCAAGCCACCGACGACCGTATCCCTAAACACCTCCCCACCGCCCATCGTCCCCATCTCGTCTTCTGCTCGATCGCCCATCGCGCCCTGCACCTGCCCATGCTCCAACATAAACACCTTCATGCACCCAAGCACACACTCCGCCCTCCCCATCACGAACTGCCCACCCGCCGGTCCAGTCCCACCCAGCCCATTGACGACCAAGGCCTCCCTGATGACTTTCGCGAGCAACAAAGACGCTCTGACGACGTCCGTCTCCGACGAATCCCATTCGGATGGAAGCATGCTCCATATTGGGGACGTCCCGCTCCGCAATAAATGGTCGAGTGAAGTTAACATCCAATCCCTCGTCAATGGAAGCCCCAGCACCGGGATCGCCGACGATGGGACACGACTCTTCCTCACAATCCACGAAGGCGGCAATCTCTGGGTCATTGCGTTCTTGATAGACGTCGTGGTAGGTACGAGCGGACCGAGGCGGGTTTCTTGGTCCTGTTCCAGTGCGAAAGTGAGGAACGGAGAGAGAATGCTCATGCCGCCTCGGTCCCAGATGACGGTATCTCCAGGGGAGGACCAGCCACGGACGGTGGTGAAGTCTTGGTTGACGAGCTGTGTGATACGTGCGATGGTGGATAGAGCGAAGTCTTCGTCCCCAGGGATGAGACGAAGGAGAGTGGCAGATGCTTGTGCGAGCCAAAGATCGTCTGTCGTGGTCGGTAGACGGCGGGAGAGGTTGACGTAGGTCGCGAGGACGGCGGTGAGTGGTCTGCAGAAAGCAGGGAGATATGAGGGCGCATCTGATGCGTAGATCTTCGACGGCAGTGGATGCGTGGCGAGCTTAGAAGAAAGAGCGAAGAGCTCGTCGAATGGAAGGGCGAACGGCGGTTCAGCAAGGGGAACAGGAGGCACAGCGAGAGAAGGCAAGCATCCAAGCCAAAGCCTCATTCCCGCCACGACCGTCCCCGCCAACACACCCATCCTCTCCAACTTCCTCAACCCACCCTTCTCCCTGCCATGCTCCGCAACCCAATCCAACGCCTCCCCCAACTCCCTCACAACTCCCCACAACACCCTCCTCTCCATGCCCTCCGCCCCTTCACTCCCAAGCCCAAACCCGTCCTTCAACACCACCAAACACTCTTCCCTCTCCCTCTCCCCACTCCTCACCCCATTAACCCGCGCACCCTCCAACCAGACCGCCAACGCTCCCCAAACCGCTCCCCAAGCTTCCACCACTCCTGTCTCTTTCACCTCATCACTCAACACCATCCTCGCTTCCAACAGATCCTGCGCCCATCCCCATCCCGAAACCTGAGACCACAGGATATCGTGCGGAGGTGTCGTCTGATGCGGGTCCGTAGCGCACACGATCCACGATTCGAGTAACCTCGCATACGACGCCACCAGACCCAAATTCTTCGCCCTTCCCGTTGTACCAGCAGGAGAGAACACGTAGTTCCCCACCCTCGCGAAATAAGCCGCCGCCGTCGTCGCGATGTTCGCATACATCCCATACTCAGCCAACGCAGCATAAAGCTCCAACGTCTCCCTCAACAACTCATCCGCCACGTCACGCAGGTACCCTCCTATCGTGTCTTCCTCGTTGCGTCCAAGAGGAGGTATGCTGGTCACGAATCGGAGGAGCGAATCCGCCGGTGCACAGATCGTGCTCGCGTTCGTCCTCGAAGCTCGTACCAACGTCCTCAACAGTTCTATCGCCCTCGGATCTGGCGCAGGCACTGGCGACGAGGGTGTGGATGTGGATGCAGTGGGGATAGGAAGCAACACGAACGTCCGCAAAACATTCCCGACAAGCGAAGGCGTAGCCGCAATCTCGTTCGCGAGCGCATTGCTGTGTTTCGCGAGCCGGGAGAGGATGGAGAGGAGTTGGAGGAGGGATTCGTGGGGGAGGGAGGCGAAGGAAAGGAGGGTTGCGATTTGGGGGAGGAGGTAAGTCGTCGGGAGAGTGGAGATCGCGTCTCCTCCACGGATTCTTGCGACACCTCCGTCATCATCGCCGCCTCCTTCATCGGCCTGAGCATCTTCCACTCCCGCGCCAGAAGGAGATCGCCTTGGCAAAGGCGCAGCGGCCAATTCGATCCCCTCGATCCCCGCAAACACCTCATCGTCCCCGTATCGATCCCATCCAACCACACATTCCCACATCAACTCCACCGCTCTCGCGCCCACCCCTCCTTTCTCTCCCAATGCCTCGACAGCAACAGCCAACGCCCTCTTCCTCACGCCCTCACCTCCATCTCCCATCCTCAACACTTCCAGCCCATCCTTGTCTTCCCCTTCCCTCGATGCCGTGTTCAACCCCGAATCTGAATCCGCATAGGAAGAGGAAGGAGCAGAAGATGACGACGACGGTGGATGCCCAACCCGCCTAACAACCCTCCCCACAACACCCAACATCACCGCCCTCTGCGCTGGCACGCTACTCCTACACAACAACAACAGATCGTCGAGCGTATATCCCGCTCTTGTACCTTCGGCGTGATGGTGCAGTCCTAGGTGGGTCGGTAAGGTCTCGGAGAGGGAGGCGGGGATGGGTGTGCCGCGGAGGTCGAAGCGAATGGTGTGAGAGGGTGTGGATGTAGATGAAGATGGTGGTTGAAGAGGAGAGGCGGAGGCGGTGGAGGAGGGAATGGGGAGGGAGGATGATTTCATCCATTCGAGGTTTGGATCGTCAGCAGGCGCATCGGGGAAATATTTCCTCCGTATCCACTCTGGCGTTCCTTCCTCTGGCTCTGGCTCGTCATTCCCTTTTTCTGGCTCTGCCTGATGTGGTTTTGGTTTTGGTTCAGTCAGACTTGTTGGTGGTAGCTGCTGTGGCGGTGCCGGTGCCGGATTTGACATATTCGTCGACATCCACGGTCGTTTTTGCGTAGGTGACGAAGGCGATGAAGGCTTCACTTTCACGGGACTATCCATCCTCACATCCTCCACGAACTCTTCTTCCGCCTCCACATTCTCTCCGTCCGAAGTCGACCAGGGCTGTCCCGACGAAACTATCGGTGGCAGAGAAGAAGGGCCAGAAGTCGCCAGTGTCATGTCTTGGTCCTTTTCCTTGTCCTTGATAGGACTCTCCATCGCCACATCCTCCACGAACTCTTCGCCCGCTTCTTCCCCGCTGAGTTTCACCCTCTCCAACACCATCGCCTTCGCTTTCCCATTCCCATTCCCAGTCACCCCACCGACACCCGAAGCCGAAGCCTTCCCACCGTCACTGCTAGTACTCGTACTGGCACCTCCCGCACCCCAGATCCCCACACTCCCTTTCCAGGGCCCCAAACTGACCACCCTCTCCCCATCCTTCCCTTGTCTCCCCACCTCTCCCCCCACATGTCCACCTGACACACCACCACCATCCCACCCCAACGCCAAAACTCTTCTCTTCTCCTTCGGCGACGGCGGCGCGCTCTCATATATATGTACGTCTTCCGGCTGGACGTCTGCGAAGCGGAGTTTACGGTTGGCGAGGCGGGATTGGGGGCGGGAGGAGGGGTGGGTGAGGATTGGGGTTGGGGGGGAATGCGAAGAGGAGTGGGAGGAGGGGCGGGAACAAGGGGGAGCTGGGGGGTTTGAGTGGGCTGTGTTGGGGTGGGTAGTTGGTGGGAGAGGGAAGGGGCAGGGGAGGAGAGGAGGGAGGGGAAGTGTAGGTTAGTGAGTGTAGAAGGAGAAGGCAAAGGGGAGAGGGGAGCGCAGGGGAAGGTTTGACGTACATCGGGCTATAGATAGACGAAAGAGGATCGTGGAAAGAAAATGAAGTGTGAGCGAGAGAATGAGAATGAGGAGAGGAGTGAAGCCGTCCGGTGCGGGACGTACGTCGTGATGCGCTCGGACCTGCGCTGGGTTCATACTCTATGGAACAGAGCGAAGTTTCATGTCAGTGTTCTGGCGGCATATACATATACATAAGATATTGAACAATGAAGAATGGATGGAGGATATGTAAAGCACGATATATGCGCCTCTATATGTCGAGGAACGCCCAAAACATCTCACAAGCACGATATATGCGTTCAGAGCTCAGAGTTCCGAAGCCCCTGTGGCACCACTCCGTCGCCACAGACCCTTTTCACACGACCCCAATTCTAGATCACCACTCTCCAACGACAGCGAAGATAGACATAAAACATAAAACACAAACACACCTTCACGTCCCTCCATTTTCGGCAATCCGCCCAAAAACGCGAAATCGACAGACTTGGGTTTTTGGCGGGATGCTAGAGCGCCACAATACGGTCAGTATAGCATCGAGGATGGGTAAGGCAATGAGTTGGGCCCGACGAAGGGAGAGACATGCCTCTGAGTTCATTGGCTGTGGTTGCTGATGTGGTTAAGGGGGTGGGTGTCGTTGAGCCGGAGGTCGAGGTTGAATCCGAAGTTGGAGTTGTTGAAGTTGGTGGAGCGTCTGGCGTGGATGATGAGGGTGGATCTACTGTGAATTGATTTACTGGTGTTTATGTCGAAGAAACGAACGTTCAAATGTATGAAACAATACACGCAAAAAAAACAAAAACTGACCTAGCGCCTTCCCCTTCTCCCTCCTCTCCCTCGCCTTCCTCAACACATCCCCAACGCCACCCCCAAACATCCGCTCAATCTCTCTCCTCTCCTCGTCCCTCTCCTCCTCCGTCATCCCCGCCACCCGCCGCTCATTCTCCTCCGCCATCATTCGCCGCCATTCTTCGTCGCTTGATACTAATCCTGGTAGGGGCGTCTGCATGGGTAGGCCGAGTGGCTGAGGTGGAGGTGTTGTGGGCATGGGCATGGGTGTGGGCGTCGTGGAGGAGGTAGAGGGTGTATGCCAGTCTTCGATACGGGACCCGAGCGGTGCAGACGATTTTGAACTCGACTTTTCTGGTTCTTGGGAGGATGATGATGATGAAGGAATGACGACCGGAGGCTCCGACGGCCTTTCTTTTCTTACTTCTCCTTCCCCAGCAGCAGCAGCCTCCCTGCTCCTCGCGAATGCGCTTTTTCCCTTCGTCACTCCTGCTCTCGAACCCATACCGATCCCCGATCCCGCACCCGTCCCATTTATCCCCCCGAGTCCTCCGAACCCTGTTCCCGCTCTTCCTCCTACCGAACGATGCTGCACGACCGGAAACCCTGTCTTGCTCGTGTTCGAAAGGAATGGGCGTGGTGTCGATGATGCTGGTGATGAGGAAGAGGATAGAGAAGAGGAAGAGGAGGGAGAAGGAGAAGGGAGCGGCTTTCGTTCGAGTATGGAGCCGATGAGCGGTCTGTGGGTTTGTGTGTGTTGTTGCGCCATCGAAGGGTCGTATCGTAGTCTCTCCTCGTAGGTCAAGTTACTACAAAGCTCAGAAGGGACGAGGACTAGGACAAGTGAAAAACAGCGAGAAGAATGTCGTCCACGACTACGAGGTAGAAAATGAAGATACAGCTAGACGGGGATGCGTCGATGAGGGTTTGCAGTAAAAGTCAAAGCCTCGGTCGAAATCGCAGCAGCGTGGTAAGTCCTTCCGTCCTGTCGCTGTCGTCTGTCGTCACTCTTCCACGTTCCGTTTTTAACTAGCTCGACCGACGGCTTCAACAGGTCGAGGCTTTCGAATGAATAGGTACAGCCGCCTTCGATGGTCGATGGTGGAGCGAGGAAGTCGAGAACAGTGGTGTGGGACAGGAACTGAGGAACGAACGGGTAAATATACGAGAATTGATATCGGTCTCGGTCAAAGCCTAAGGCGAAGGTTAACGTTTATTTCCATCGATCAGGCTGTCAGAGTCATGTTTTCTCCGAGCCTTATATCTGCATCGTAAAGCTCATCCGTTCATCCGTAAAAAAAATGTTGAGCTGAGGCTGAAGGGTTCGTCGCGTCATTGGCTGCACGCTTTGAAATTCAGTGTGGCGAGCATCGTGATTGGCTGAATATCGTCATTTGATTTGATTGAGAGTTGTGGCCCACTATACACCCACTTTCAAGACACGCAGACTACAGCAAGTCATCATCGTCGACCTCGAAAATCCAAAAACCATGCACCCAACCCATACACCCAAAATCCCTCAATCACAAACTACTCGAAACATATCACACCCTCACACTCTCACACGCTCACATAAAATCCTCCTCCATCTCCCTTACATTCGCATACTTCGACTTCTCCTTCCCTCCCGCCCCTCCCCCTC